TTGAATAATTTCAAATGTGGAAAATTTAACCCGTCAACGACACAACAGTTGAAAATTTCTTTGATTACTTTGAAATAAAATGCGAAATATTAGACGACAACATAAACAACGGGGTTAAAAAGACCTATTATTTAACTGTTTAACTCCAGAAGTTTTCCATGAAATTAAAGTAGCCTCATTTTGAATCATCATCAATCAATTAATGGGCTTATACCGTACTAAGAAAACCAGATATCGAGCACTAACTGAATTCTGGAATTGTATACGACAGAATGATGAATCAATGGAACACTATGCAAATAGACTAAGAGTTAAGTAAAGATTGTGGGTATAACGACACACTACTAGAACGACAACTTCGTGACCACTTTGCTATACTGGTCTTAACCACACACAACTTGAAATAGACTTAAAACAAAAATGGCCGAATCTCGTAGAAAACCTTCAGGATACATCATGGGAAATAACATTTGCGCAAATATTTGCAGTCACGTGCACAATCACGTGAGTTAGCGGAGGGGATCAAAATGAAAAAATAATCGGCATTTACAACATTAAAAAAAACAGAATAATTATACTGATCCAAAACAAAGACGAAAGTAAACAGGTACATAGAGACAATAAAAGGCAATAAAAGGAACTCAGACCATAGCGATGACGATACGAAGGGTGAACATGATTCCGTGTATAAAATTTAAAATAAATGTGGTAATGACAGTAAAAAAATTGATGCTATGATCAACGGTAAGTCATGCACGATGGATTGGGACTCAGGATCTCTCTATTCTATCATAAGCGCCGACTTCTGGAAGCAGATAGGGTCTCCTCCATTAGGCGATGTACCGCGACTACGTGCTTATGGAAATTTAAAACTTAAAAAGTCACTGGGTTTGACAGAAGTAACAGTAAAAATACAGGATAAAGAAAGGGTATTGCCAGTGGTAGTTATGAAGAAAGCTGTTCCTATGCTCTTTGGTCTACAATGGAGTGACATGTTTGAAATGGAATTTCCCAAACCTGTCTATAGAATACGTACTCTACAACAACCTACGACCCCAAATCAAGTTTTAAATACATATAAAACACTATTCGATGATCGTCTTGGCAGAGTAAAGAACTACGAAGTTAATATTCATATTAGGCCTGGTACACAGCCGAAACATCTCCCTCAAAGACCTGTTAAATTCTCTATGAAAAGAAATATTGAATCTGAACTGAAACGGCAGATAGACACTGGAATAGTAACTGAAGTCGATCCTAATATGACACCCGTCGAATGGGCAACACCCACAGTTAATGTTGTAATTACAACTCATAAAGGATATTTCCAATATAAAAGAATGCCGTTTGGAATCTCGACAGCTCCATCTATTTTTCAACATTTCTTTGACAAACTACTTGATAATATTCCAAATGTTGCAGTATATTTTGATGATATCGCCATAACCGGTAAAAATGATTTGGATCACCTTAGAACACTATCAGTAGTACTTGGAAAGCTGGAACAAGCTGGTCTTAAAGTAAATTTAAAAAAATGTACTTTCTTTCATAAAAGAAATTGAATACCTTGGACACACTATAGACAAAAGTGGTATACGTCCTACGAAATCAAAATTAGAAGCTATTTTGAAAACACCGCCTCCGAGTAACCCTCAAGAACTTAGATCTTTCTTAGGATTAGTTAATTTTTACGAACGTTTCATACCACATTTACCCAGCATATGCGCAGATCTACATACCCTAACTGGAAATCGCCGCAAATGGCAGTGGACAGAAAAAGAAGATACAATATTTAGTAAAGCAAAAAAATTAATCACCCTTCTTAAACCTCTTGCTGCTTTTATTGAAAATTTGCCACTGTTTTTAGCTTGTGATGCATCTGAGAAAGGTGTTGGTGCTGTTTTGTATCATAAAACCAACAATACCGTACAACCAATTGCTTTTGCATCACGAAAACTTAAACAGGCAGAAGTTAAGTATTCAGTTATTGATCGAAAGGCACTTGCGATCTTCTTTGGAATTAAAAAATTTGAACAATATATACGCGGCGGGAAATTTACTTTAGTTAGTGATCATAAACCTTTAATACTTTTACTAGGGACTCGGCGTAACTTACTTAAGTTATGCAACAATCGACGAGTCCGTTGGGCCCTTTTGATTGGTAGTTACAACTATGATGTCAAATATACAAAAGGCAAACTGAATGTCATGACTGACTATCTCTCACAAATGCCTAATCCATATGAAAAACCATCGACTGCTGAAGAAATAGTTCGCAAAATAGTGACACGCCACCAATCAGACAAATTGCATGATTTACCTATATCCGAAGAAACTCTCAGAGGAGAAGTAAAAAAGAACCTATTTTCAAAAATGTCACTAATTCCTAAAAGACTAGATGGCGTTTAGATGGTTTGTCAGAAGACTTAAAATCCTGATGTGGCAAGGTCGAATCGTAGTTCCATATTCACTAAGAAGATCCATAATGACATTCCTTCACAATGGACATCCGGGGATATCTGCCATGAAACCACTGGCCCGCTTTTATGTGTGGTGGCCGACAATCGATGATGATAACGTGGCGGAGCTGCCGGTGTACTCGTGGTCTGTGCCTGATGAGCCATGGGAGAGAGTTCACGTGGATTGGGGTTCCTTTTGAGGGCAAATATTGGTTGGGCTATGTGACGCACTTTACAAATGGATCGAAATTAAACCAATGTCTACATCACAACAAGCAGGTTCTGCAGTGAACTAGATACTATTTTTACTTCACTTGGACTTCTACAAATTATAGTTTCGGACAATGGTCCTCAATTCGCATCTCAAGAATTTCATGAATACTGCAGATTACAATGGTATCAGACACGTTAAGTCTTCATCTTACCATCCAAGAACGAACGGGTTGGCTGAACGGCTAGTTCGTACTTACCGTATTACCCCTCGAACCGATACTAGTAAATCATCAGCAGAAATACTTTTAGGGCGACAACTACGTTGTCTCTTAGACAACATTAAACCAAATCCTAGAATATCCCTCCGCTTCAAACAATTTCAAGCTAACATTGAAAATGACAAGGAAATATAATTCAAGAGAAACTGTTTTTGTACGCTCTCGAGATAATAAATCATGGAAGCAAGCCACAGTAGGCCGTCGTACACATCGTTATTCGTATTTAATTAATACACCTATTGGGGTGAAGAAATACTATGCGGATCAAATAAGAAAATGTGTAATTGAAAGAGAGGATGTACCGGTAGATCAGTCCTGTAATGCCCATACCCAAGATGTCCAGAAAATGCAACACAATACACTAGTGTCTCCTCAAAGAGACTCTCTTTGAGGATATTATGCTCCTTTGGAGTTTAGAAACCAATTCGAGACATTGGGTACTACGTGTAATAATGAAACGCCGAAACATTCGAGTGTATTAGCACACAATTCAAATGACGTGGTTAGACATATTGAAACACCAGCAGTTGAGGGGTTACGTCGTAGTAAGCGCGAAGCCAAGCCACCAAGACGTCTTATCACAGAACTGTCATAATTTGATAGACTCGCATGGTAACGAGTCTTTTGTTAGGGATGAACGAATGTTATAAACTCTTTAGTATTAATAAGATATATGATGTGTTTTTTGACGTAGATTATTATCTATGAATTCAATAAACTGTTACTACTAACTATAAGTCCTTATTTTAATTTATAAAACTATATAGTATGGGTACCGTGAGTACTGAAGGTAGCGAATTTTTGTTAGACAATCTAATGACAGTAGTTGAACAAATTGCTCACACCTACTGACTTTGACATCGCTGTACTTGAATAAGCTCGTGACCAGGACTTTGCATTCCGTCCCAATCGAACCTTAGAGAGAGGTACCTTATCTATACATATAAATAAAACGCCGATACCGCTGCATGTGGAAGCAGCGCTAACAAAATCCTCGGTGCAACCACAGCGTCGAGATTTTGCCGCCGTCATCGCTAGCAAACCGGCTGCTTCAGTACAGCGGCGTGTGCCAAAAACGGCACTGAACATTGACCCTTCGTGTGCTGCCACTGGTAACCGCGACGATGATGGCTTCGTTGTTGTACAAAAGAAGAGGCGCACAAACAGGGTCAATAGGAATCATTGTGGCACTGCACTCACTGGGCCCAACTTTCTGCTGCGTGCTGTTACACCGACCACGACAATGTACCTGTCCCGTCTACATTACGCCACTAAAGAGCAGGACATTGTCGATTATATTCGTACCAAGAGTAACCTGACATTGAGGGTAACGCAGCTGAAGTTGAGTCACAACGCGAGTTTTAAAACGTTTGTGGCCCTGGTCCCCACCGACTTGCTGCCCACCTTCATGAAAGAGGACTACTGGCCGAAAGGTGTAGTGTATCGGCGCTACCGTGGCATTGGTTTTTAAATATTATATTATATGTATGTTAGTCTATAAGGTATTTATAATATGGGCCTAGTTGCCTGAAATAAATGAATAAATAAATAAATAAAATAATTGGAGTATCTGTATGTAATATTGAAATAACCGATTTTTACTACATGCATATGATTATAAATACGGTACATACACCAAAATATCATTTTTTTACAATTTTTGTCTGTCTGTCTGTTTGTTCCGGCTAATCTCTGAAATGGCTGGACCGATTTTGACAGCTAGCTGATGTAATAAGGAGTAACTTAGGCTACTTTTATTTTAGAAAAAAAGTTAAATTCCATGCGGACGTAGTCGTGTGTACAGCTAGTTTAGAATAACATTATTCGTGTTGAGAAATATTAATATAATGTCTCAAGTAACTGTACAAACGTGTAACTTATTCATAATTCGTTCCTTAATTAGATTCTTAATTGGCTGAAGAGCCAATCGACCCTTTGACCCCATTTATGTAATGTATTACACTTTACTTTAATGTACTTAAAGGAAGAGAGAACTTAGAGGAAACATAGTCTAATATAGATAATTTAGGTAATGTTATCAAATTTTTACCAGTAGCCCAATGTACTACGGTGTGATGTTCATCGTCCCTCGCATTCACATCAGCCCCAGCCGCCAGTAATGTTTGCACCAGCGGCACGTTACCGTGGACAACAGCGAGGTGCAACGGTGTGAGACCGTCAGCGTCGCGGGCGTCAGCCAGAGCTGGCGCGGCCATAAGCACGCGGTCTGCACAAGCGGCGCGGGCAGCTTGATTAGCGCCCGCACCGCTCGACGCGCAGTAATGCAACGCGCAGCGCAGTCCTCTATCGCGGATACGCACTGATGCTGGCTGTAAGTCATATAGATTTCTATACATGGGTTAGGAATAGGAAAGTTATAATCTTACGGCTAAACCTTTAATACAGATACGGTAATTCTGTATGTAAAAGAAAATAATTAGTCGTAGAGGTACTATTATTCAAAATCCAGTGATTTTTTTGTATCACTGGAATGGTAATGTAACACGGTAACCGTTTACCATCAGATGGACCGTATGCTTGTTTGCCACCTAAGTGGTATAAAAAAAAATGGTAAATAAACTGGCAGTACATGATAGAGAGTAAAACTAAACTTAAACGTAAACTTTACGTAGTTGCCTCTATACACGGACATTATAAAATACATTTTAACTTCATGTTTTGCCATAACTACTCGTAAGACTTAAAGAAACAAATAACTCAATAATATACAGAAAATCTTTGTAGAATTGTGTTTTTTATACCACGATAAAGAGATATGAAATATTATCGAAATTGCAATAAATATAAATTAAATTTCATATATAAGTATTATTAAAAATTAATAGATAATATTCGTATAAAGTACTAAACTTTAAAAGGTTAGCTTCAAAGAAAATATTTAGGACTATTGTGAACTTTCTGACATGTAACATGTATAGATAATGATTGTGCCGTGAAATAGAAGCTAGAACTTTGACCCATACTGTACCAAAATAGTTAGTACCGTTACCGTCAATAGTTAGTTAACGTAGTAAGGTTAAATGGAGGTAACACGAGCGACATGATTTCAAGCGGTATTATCGCCACACGAACTAGCGAGAATGAATCCCTAATAGCTATAGCAGTGTGTGGTAGTCGATTTCTACACCTATTTATTGATTGTGACCCTCCCCCCCGCCCCGACCGAGATTGCCCCCGTGCTTAGGTGCATTTCCTTGAAAGCTCTTCAATTTGACAGTTTTTCTATGTACTGCTATCACAATCCATAATAAAATCGTGATTTTGTAGATTACTCAAATACTTTCCTCGTGTCATAGTTAATGTCATAGCAAGCGTAATATAATATAAGCTATAAGTCATTGGACAGACACTTGTGTATGTCTACCAGTAGGTATCTAATTAGAACAAAAATATTGACGGAAGCATTACGGCGCAGTTTGCTGGGTTGTTTACTTGCAGGTGTGAGGTGATGCTCGGGCAATCGCCGGCCGTAACATTGCATCGCGTGCAAAACACACGGACTCGTTTTATTTTATCTCTGGTATTTTTGCTAGCGGCATGAATCCTGACTCTGAGATAATGGTTACATTCATGAAACATGTGCCATACGACTTCATTATATGCAATTAAATCTTACACTACTACTAAAATGACTCTTGATAATGCAATAAAGCAATGATCAATGATCATGCTGATGAAGAACTCACGTCCTTGTTTAATGTATCGACGACAGATTTGTAGTCAGCCTGTTGACAGGCGTACATGAGGGGTGTGCAACCCTGTGGTAGTGGGGCACTCACATCCTCGCCCTTCTTAGTGTCGTCTACCTTCTCGCGCTTAATTTTAGTGCTTTTGTCGAGGAACCCGCCTTTTATTCGACTCTTGGGCTTCTTGAGAATGCTCGAGATGGGCTCGCCCCTGCTGCTGGTGCGCTTGTCCATAACAAAATATTAGTTCTAGCGGCGGGTAGTGTACATGTCATATGTAAAGTGGCGCGCCGTTTTTGTTCAATGAGTGGTACAACCCGGTATAAACGGAGCGAGCGAGCACGGTGGGCGCGTACCACCGACTGGCCGCAGCCGTCGCGCTGCCCGCTTGGACATGGAGAGGTGGTGTTGGGCGGCCGCAGTCGCGGCAACCTGGCCCACACGCAACGCCGCCTAACACCTAATCTATTAACTTATTGCACAAAAGGAGGTCACCTTTTCTTTTGTAGCAAAATGTTTGTAGAAATTGTACTTGTAACAGTGATTACAAAATGTTATTGATACTTTTGAAAACGATTATTTTATACACACAAATAACATTATCTTGAGATATACCAGTATTATAGCATTTAGTTTAATTTATTTTCAATAGTGTGTCTTTACAAGCTGTTAGCTAAATCAAAGCTTAAGGTAGGCACTTCATTGATTACTAAGACTACCTAAAAATTAATATAAAAATTATATAAATTGATTGATTATATAAAAATGAACAGCAATATCTATGAGGAGGAAACAGAGACCGCTGGGAGTTATAACGAACTCTGTAACAGGGTGCTTATCTTTAGACGCAAATATAACAATATTTCTCACCTCTAGAATGCTCTAAATATCACAACAAATCCAAGACCTCTATGTGGCCCTCGCATTGTTGTGGTGGATTCTATGTAGCGACAAAGTTTTAAACTTCACACAATTCATCTCAAGATGTTGTAGGAAGCGAAGAGAAAAAAATAAACCTACCAAGACGCCTGACCAACTATTAAGCAGGTAATTTTTTTATGTGGAACGATCAGAAAAAAAAATGTAATGAATGTGGATAATGAAGCAAGAATACGCGAGCACTTACAAGTCGGCATTTATTTCACGAATACAGTGACTGACTGAATCGGAATCTAATTTAAAATCTACACTGTGGTGGTCATCATTTGTTTATAAAAGGTAACGTTAACGTTGAACTCAAAAGACCGGTACTATCTGTCTATCTAGGGAGAACCAACACAGAGACCGTGACCGGAGACCGGGCAGCAAGTTCTGGGAGCGGCTCTCTCTAACTTGCCGCCCAGCGGCGCTCTCGACATCTCACCATTAATGCATCTTTGACACCTTGACCTTGACGTGAAATAAATTGTTTGTTTTTGAAAATGGCACAATAGTTAACAGCAATACTAATTTGACAAATTATATGATAATACATATATATATATTGACCGGAGGAGGAGAGCTGGAAAGTATTACGGGGGGGGGGGGGGGTATATTTTATAGTTTTTGCCCCGCCTCGAAAATAATGAAGATCCAGGGCTGATGTCAAGTCAGATGTTACATTTACCTTTTGTGCTAATACGTCGATGACGGTGACTACCTCATATAGGTTTCAAATAGGATAGAGATGTAAAAAATATAAATATACATGTTAACGTAAAGTCTGTAAAGAAACTATTCAACTCATCCGAAGTAAACTTGAACTTCGCAAGAACTTTTTCCATTATGAATGTATAGACGTGTTAGCAATTGTTTCAACCATGAATCATCAATTTTTGTAGAGGTAACTATGCTCGTGCGTGTTCTTAGCAACATTACTCTATCCCCAGCTACTTGGTATACCAGAACGTAACACTGTGGTATTATGAAATGTCAAAAGTAAGTCACTACACTACCATAATTTACTCAAGGCTGCATTTTATTGCTAGGTATTTTGGCTATATATTACTACTAATGAGTATGTAGGCACTGCCACAACTACTAAATTTTGGAGACTAAATATCTGGCCGTCAGTCGCAATGGCTATTATATTGATAGTGGCTAGGGGTTACAGTACGTTTTATAAAGGGGGTGCGGTGACGTCATCGGGTGAGCCATCGCCGTGCCGCTCTCAGCCACCACTGATTCTAATCGCCCTAACATGATTTACATTGTGAGTTTGTGAGTTACAGATGATTTAGCTCGTGATTACAGTATGATAAAATTTTGCAATTTATTCAGGCGATGCCGTTAGACGGCAATCTTTAAGTTAGTTATTTGCGGATATCTCTCTTATATAGAAATATATCCACAGGTAACCATTCGTATAGAATAAAAGATGTACTACACCTGCAGAAGATAAAAAATTTACAATTTAGAAATCTACTAGACAGTATTATCTTGTAAAGTAATAACTAATATTCATTATGAATTTCCCTTTGCAATGTGATTAATAGCGTTCACAATAACTATTTCTTTTAATTTCTTACTTCTTTAGTGAATTGTGATACTATGACAACAGGCGGGCGGTGAAGTAGGACAAATAATATTTTATTTAGAATCCTAAAAAAATAGTCAAAATAAGCAACGAAATAACAGTTGTGAAAGTTACAATGTACTTATCTCTAATAAAATCTTTCTAATTTATCTTGCTCAATTTGGTCGACATTGTAGCCTTAGTTAATTCCTTATCGGCTACTTTATTGAGTGTTCGTACTCAATACTATAACAGTATAATTATTCGGCTTCAAAGTATGTAGTAATGTACCTACATATTATTATGTATGTATTCGACGAAATACCACTACTCAATTATAGGTACTCAAATAATTTGCTATAATATATACAACTTAGGGGTATGAAAAATAGATAAGGGTTGTCCACCCCTAACATTTATTGTTTAATATGGCATTATAAAATACATATAACCTTAAATTTTCACCCTTCTACCACCAGCCCCCAATTTTTAATAGAGATATTAATATTTAAATTTATTTGGCAAAGGCATAATTGATTGAACTCAATAATTATAGACCTAACAGGAGTGAGTTTCATTTAGGTGTCTCAATTGTTAAATATAGAAAACAATTGTGGTGGGAAATATTATAGAATAAATATTTGCATTGAAACTATATCTATTAAGTCTGCTTATCTACATTCACTTAAAGAGATTCGTAATCTTTATTGTGGATCACACCTCCGTAAGATTAATTGTTAAAACGAAACATTAAAAACATTAGTCTAAGTTATAAAACTTCAAGTTCAACTTTTCAGTGTTGTTTATAACTAAATTTTCGATGTAGGTCGGGGCTCTTTTCACGTTACGCGTGATTTAACACGCAACCCCTTCGGCGGCGTTACGCAACATAGCCCAAGTGGAGAAACCCCTCTCGTGTTGCTCCGTCGTTTCTACAGATCTGAAGTACAGTTGACCTACTACCCTCGATTACCATCGTGAGACTGCCAGCAGTGCCCTTATAAATTAAAGGCGCCATTAAAACTGGGCTCTTTCAGAATCAGATGGGATGGAACAGTTCCAATCGCTATTTATTGAGCTGGCTTTTTTTTTCAGGCACAACAGCTTCAGCATTCAGAACTCGTAATTAACTTAAAAGTTAAGAAAATCATTCTAGAAATAATTAGACCAATATTCAGACGTTCACATTTCTATTAGGGTTGCATATTCGGTTACGATGTCATAAACAAAAAATTGTCATTCTATGTTCCGCAAAGATACACCAAAGATTAATACACCGCCTGAACCGAAGACATCAAGTATTGTCATTTTATAGTTGCTTCAATTTTGGCATTCAACAACCTGCAGTCATATTTAATTTACGTACTAGCGACTCCACCAGGCTTCGGACAAATCATTGAACTTCTCGATTTGTTCTATACTATGTATACCACGCATGTATTATACCTTCCTCTTGAATCACTATATCTATTATTATTTAAATTATTAACCGGGTCTTAACACGAATAATTTTATGGCAAATAAACCTCTCTCGACGTTTCTGTTTTGTTATCTGTGACTTAACCTTGCTTTTACTGAAGAGATTCATTCAGCGTGACTGCCACGCTGATGCCGTGCGTAAAGTTTCAGACAAATGGTTGTGGAAATGAGATATATTGTTTATTGATTATTTATTTTTGCTCATTCTGAAAATAATAAAACATGCGTAAATATAATTTATATTTCTTATTATATTTAGCTGGTTATAATTAGTAATTACCTACTGTCAAAGAAAAACGTTATTAGGTATTTACTGTAGTAGTAACATTAATGTTGACAATGCCTGTGATTTCAATCGTCTAGTATTGTACAGTAGTGTGTACAACAAAGAATTCGCGTAATACTTGTATTATATATTAGCGGCATTGGTGGTCTGACGATTTAACATTCCGCGCACGGTACAAACATTTGTCATAAGTTTGATTGTTTGTATTTTATGTATGTATTAAATTATATTAGTCCTCTCATACCCATAACACAAGTTCTGTTTGGTTTGAAACTAGAAGGCACTATGTGAATTGTCCTGAGATATTAATATTACCTATTATCTAAGTGTCAGTACCTACTAACAAAAGTCTGATATTTTTAATACAATTAAATATTATTTGATTCAAACAAGGCTTTCTAAATAAATCTGGTACTACCTTGTCGAATGTTTGTGATGATTTGCTCCAATGATGATTTTATATTATTCGCCTTAAATAAATGAAGTAATTTAAGGTATTGATTATAGCATATTTAAAACATATACCTACTAGCTTTCCTGGAAAGATATATATTTTTAACACGCTGTGAAATGGTTGGTAGGCACCTGTACTGGACTGTTAATTATCTATGTAACAAGTAGGTCATGTTAACCTACTTCTACTCACGATATTTACTTTCACCATCAGCAAACTGTCAAGATTTTGACGCGTCAAATAATCTCAGCCTGCAGCAGTACGTAGGTAACTACGTAAAGCATTAATCAAGCACGATCATGTGAACTTTACACGCTATTCACAAAAGCCAACTTCGCGATGCCTAGTTACCGCTGGTAATAAATTTGTGTCAAAGGCTACATTTTCTCGTTTTATTTCTTTGTTTCGTTTCTGTTCAAATGCGATGTATCTAAGATCGTAATGAGATGTATTTCAGAAGTTACCAAATCAAAATAAGTAAGTATGAGACTGTATTCATACTCGTACAATTCACTAGTTCAGTAAAGTACTTAAATAATAAAATCATTATATTTTTAAATACGTATAATGTTGTAGAATTGACTTATTCCTTACCTTTTATCATTTACTTTCAATATCCAAAAACAGGCAATGATTTTGTCTGTCAGACAAATAATCAATGTGCAAATAAAACAAACCTAAACACGATGGAGTGGTATTGTTTTGTTACATTCTAACTCTATTAACAAACCAGCTCACTCACTAATTGTCTAAAAATTAATATAATATTAAGTTGTCATAACTAGATAGACAAAACAACCGGAAAGATTTATGCATGGAAATAAGTAAATACATTTAAACAAATTCTTATAATGACATTATTTATTTTTGTCAACGATACATAAATAAAAATACCTTCTGTTAAATAAGTATCTACAGCATTTATTCGTAATTCATTATAACACTAGCGACGATTTCTTAATATTTGTTTTTCTTTTAAATATACCTAACTATGTTTGTCTCTTATAATTTCAATTACGATTTTTAATTACTTGAAGATTCTCTATCTAATTGATTGATAATTGAAAATAAAAGTTAAAACTATAAGTATACTCTACCAGTTAACACAGGCGAGTTTAAACATAAATTATAAAGTTGTACAATACTTATAGAAGTATTTTATAGCATGAATTAGAAATTATAATAGAGTCCAAGACCTCTGGTGTCCATTGGTAATGATTTCTGCTATAATATTTTCTTCTGTATAAATATTTAAAATATTGTGAGATAGAATAATTATTTTAACAATATATCCTTTTCCATACGCTAGTTATTTCCTAAACGATCTAGAGCTAAAACTAGAATTATAATACCAAATTAATTTAAGTTAATCTATTCATTTAATTTCGTTCTTTATCTAACACTTCGTCGATTCATGTGGCCTTTATATTTAGAGATGACGAATTTCACAATTATTTTATTGCTATTTGTGAAAGCCTGCTCATGGCATAATACTTAGTATACCCTTATTATTCCTATAATAAATAACATATCGTAGACGCGGCGCGGCGTATCAAGATGACTAAGTACCAGTTACTTAGTCATTATGTGATTGAAAAGAAATGATGACATTTTATTTCTACTTTGTAACCACACAGAGAAGGCCTTTTTCTTTACGACTTAGGTATTACATTGTTAAACATAAACAAGCAAAAATGTACCTATATTTTCTTAATGAAAATTAGATTTCGGTCAGTGGACGTATAAAATCGGCGAAGGTCGTCGTAGCTCCATTAAAACTGCTCAAAATCAGTACGTTAGGTATTGCTGGTGACCAGCAGCTACTGTATGTAGGTCAGCCTGCGATCAATCGCGATAGAGTTAAGCTCGCTTACGATTGCAATTTTATGTAAATTTTAAGACCCTTAGAAACGTAAGTTACGATGTTATTCACTTACTATTTAAAACAAACAACAAAAAACATACTTTTTTAAAAAGTGTTGTAGGTACCATACAGAAAATGGTAATATGCCATATTTTTATACTATTAAATAAATAAACATAAGTAGTATTAGATATGCCATCAAATGCTACACAGATAATAAAAAAGAACAATCGCAACCAGATTGATTTATAATATTTATGTTAACGTTGAAAGTTTAAATCACGAAAATCAGTCATATCAATGCAAATTAACAAAAATTACAATAATAATAAAATACCTACATCTTAAACAAACTTCTCTTTAAATTAAAATATTGAATTATATTTATAAATATATTGAATTATATCAGTTAAAAATATAATATATACTTATTATATAATAAATAAAAACTATTCTTGATGAAATATATAACATCAAATGCGGAATTGCTTTATAAATTTCAATCACAGCGGTTCCTATGAACACGTGTATTTAATAAAATGTTTCAAACTCGTAATCAATATTTTGAGTGAAATATGTAAAATGATAAATTAAAAATTACACTTATCATTATTTATAACAGATACGTAAACTATAAACTTACCAAATCCTATACCTATTTTCACTCAATTTGGTACAATAATGTACCTACACTTTACACTGTTACGTTACGTATTTTATTAAACCAATAATCGACCTTAACCTTCCGAACTCGATGACTCTTCTAGATGGAATAACATAAAATCAACGAATTTCAACACACTTTGACATAATGTACAAAAATGATTACAATCTGGATTATCGATATTTGAAAGCGTGTGGACAATAACCTCGAATGTCCGATGAAATGGATGGTAAATAAACGTTAATGATACGTTAAAATTGTGGCTTACATGCGGTCTGGTTGCCATGGTTACTATACAGGACGCTATCAGTTTCCATAGAACTGGAAGCCCTCGTGTGCCACGCTGTGCAAGGTTACACAAATTCTAACAATTTTAAAGCACGAAGTTAAATTAACGATATTACTATTGATTTGTACTACAAAAACAAATAGATTACTACTTACCAAACGTTCGTGGTAATGAATTGTAGTTTCATACTCGGACCTGTTCCGAGTATGAAACTAACATGGGAGTATAACCCATTAATTTCAAATAGAGAACCGTTCATATTTAATAATAATACTATAAACAGGATTTTATGTAAGTAATGGAATAACGCAAAAAAACGTTTGACAGATTTTAAAAATGGTTTCATATCTAGAAAGAAGCTTTATCAGTGAGTGAAATAGGCAGCGCCGATGTACATAAACAAATTTTGACGACCTTTTTTTAGCTAATTTAATAAATAACTATGTTAAACGCATATAAGTGACTAGAAATCTAACACTTTTATATAGATACTCTTATGTATATAGGATCTATCTAATAAGAATTCCAACCTACTTATAGAATATCCAATGGCATAAAAAAAACTTATTTATTTTCGAACATTTATTAAATGGTACACTTTCCATTTACACTTCTTTTGAAGCCGGGTAAACATTTGGGTATAGTAGACACGGGTACAGTACTACCAAACCTTAGCTCTATGTTCAATTTCTCGCAATTGACAACTAATGTGGTCGCATTTACTCCAAGGGCTGCAGGAACAGGGTACAAATTATCACACGGTCGTGTCGTTCCAAGAAGTTCACATTGGCCGTTCCACTCTACGTATCTGTCGACCCTGCAAGGATTCGGTCGACAGACCGGTATTACGGAGTTTTCAGGCAGTATCAAGTATTGTTCATTTTGACACGGTCCTCTTTGAAACGCTGGCCAACATTTATCAGATGTTGGATGATATATGTACCCTGAAAACACAATACATTTATGGTAATTATAAAATCTAAAATATATAAAAAATACTTTTTTGCAACTATTTCTATTGGATTTCAATAGACGGCCGACATTTTAACCGAAAAGTGCAGTTCGTTACCCACTGGCCTCTAACATAAGCCACAACAAAACCGCGGAAGGATTTATAGAACAGCTGGAGATCAACACATGCCTAACGAAGGGCACCGCTACTAGTTTGATCTTCGGCTCAAATCACCGTAAATTTTAGCTCCGTTAATACTTGAGTTGTCATATACACATATCATCGGGGTTTAAATTTACGTAAATTACTTCATTTAAGAGGCAAAAATCCTATGAATAGGATGAAGATCGTAATGCAATCCGTAATTTGACATCGGTAGTAGTCTATGTAACCGATGTAAGCTCTATTCATTTTCACTGTACCGTGATACAATCCCAATCATCATATTGCATATGTATAAAAATTTAAGAATAATAAATAAATATTCAGTTGATTACATAATTCGTTTCTTTTCTCCTTTAATGACTCGACATGTATTGTTTATATTAATTTTTATATCATAACGATATTTTCAAAACGTCATTCTTTTGAATTTATGAAGACAGTCAATGTAGTTGTTTTATTGATAATCTTTACAAAGACCTTAGAAAGTAGGTACTGGTATCAGTGAAATAAACCTGTAACAATTACGTTTATAAGTTTATATTTAACTTGTAAGTTAAATAAAACCAGTTGCTTAAACCGCTTCACCATCAAGGTTATATAGATTATATCTATAAATAAACTTTTAAAAAATCTAAATATAACATACAATCTCGTTTTACTTTGACATTTTTTTAACGTTTATAATTGGCAAAAGTTCAAGTTCGAATTAAAATATTAATTATTTTAAATCAATTAAAATAATTAGTATTTTAAATCAAGTATTTTTATTACAAGATACATTTACATTCTGCTAGTGTTGTGTTGGAATAACTTGCTTCATCCCATTCGCACTGTAAATACTAAAAAAAAAAATTAAAAATAATTAGAAAACACTTATTAACTGAGCCATTGACTTTAAAATAAGAGATCTTTTTTCTGTAGAGATTTTTAAACTGCCTGCATGACCATCTAAGTCTGTACACATGGCTGGCATATCAGTATCACGGAACGTTTGACCATATGAATATATATAATAGAATAGAATAAATAATTTATAACATAAAATTACATCACATTATTTTTAATTTATTTATATATTAGGTATATGGTAACAAACACTGAGCCACTTGATATAAATACTTATACATATATTACAGTTACTGTTACAAGTGCAGTTCACTGAAAAAACATACATTTAAAATCCAGATAAAAAATTAATACTGTTCTATTCATGATAAGCATAATTTTAAAACTTTGGGTATATATTGTTCTCTAATTAATACCTTAGATTTAGAGATGTAAATACTAAATCTAAGGTATCTTATATACTTACTGAAGATTTATACATATATATTATAATAATAAATACACCACGTGTCACTTGCACTGTTTTTTTTTTCAGACTACTCTAATGCTGTTGGCCGTAGCTGGCCTTTACAGCTTCACCGGACGTTAGGGGCGAGTGCAGATGGCACTCCAAACCCGCGGAAGGACTTATGGAGCGGCTGAAGGCCAACTCCTGCCTGACGGATACGACTTTAGTCTGAGGGCACCACTAGGGGTTCGAACCTCGGCTCACGCCGTCGTAATTTCGATCCCCGTTTGAATTGGACGGGGGATCGATCGGAGGGGCGCCCGGGGGCGCCGGTGTGGAGCGCACGGGCGCGCGCAAGCGCCCGGTTGAATGCATGATATTGTGTGTTTGAGGTCGTCGTCTTCGCCGGCGAGGACGGTGTCGTGTGTGTGTGTAAAAGTGTGGTCGGGGTGGTACTTGCACTGTATACTCGTGCGAAGCAAGTATGGATCACTAAATATATTATTACTCTATTTCTTTAGCATATTAACCTTAATGTAACTCTTATAATAGGTATTAAGTATATAGTATTGTTTTCAAAATAATAAACGAAAAGAACCAAGTAATAAAATTTTTAAATATAAAGTAATCACCTGGTCTGCAATCGCATATCCAATCATCTTTTTGATCACCTGGGTAGTACAACTCGTTATCAGGACATACAGTTGGTAAGAATACCGGTTGCCGGTTCTGTAATAAATAATCCATTTTAAATTTAGAATGAAAATATTGTGGTTTCGCACCCTACAATTTCACTGTCAATTCTATAATCTCACCCTCCAACTGGAACACAACTTACAAAGAAGCTGCTTTGTGGTTGGCTGAAATGGATGAGAGAGGGGCAACTTTGTACAAAGTCTCTGATTATAAAACTATCGTAACCAAGGAATTGTGGGTAATATGAACTTTAAATATCAATATAAGACAACCGTGTTCAACCTTTAGATATCTTAGAACAGTTTAAAGTTTTTTTGTTGAATAACGCGTTTTGTTTTTATACTACTACTACAAGGTAAATATTTTATCAGTTACAAGGAAAAATAACCTGTATGTTAATAATTAAATTTATTACAACACAATGACTTGCAAAAATTATAGTCGTAGCTTAATTTAATTTATTATTATATGAAGAATAGCATACTTGAATAATTAAGTTCTTTCGTATGTCATACAATAATTCAGAAATTACAACAAAACTAGTTAAGGTAATTAATTGTACCACAATTTGTAGAAATATATATTTCATTATAGAGAATTAATGCTTACGTATAGTAAGTATAAGTAGGAATGAATTCTCTAAAGAAACTCACACATAAATAAGGTTATCGTTCACCCATCTAACAATATAATGACGTAAGCTATTAAATTGCCCCAGGAAAAATCGCTATGATTATTACTGTTAGGTTGGAGCAATCACGATTTTATGATTGAGGGAACTTCGAAGAGAACCAACGTGAGCCAGATAAATCACTTTACTAACGAAGTAATTAGTAGTCAGTTATTGTAACTTATCTACGGTTTACCACTAAGTTCAATAACGCTTGACCACGCTTACGTTATACAGATGATAAGAAAATGTTTGATAGTAATCAAGCAATAAATAATGTTCATTTTTAAATGTCATAATATCCTGTATACTAAAATTATTAATCGTACGAATAACGTGAATATTCTACCGTACTCCTCCAAATACCAAATTTAATGTGACAATATTATCAAAGAGGCTATCCGCTATATTTTAAAATCTTTACGATTTTAGATATTTGGCCCTCCCATAACACACGTGAATACGTATAAAAAGAAATTACTTTCTCTCCAAAAAAGAGCTAAATAACAAGCTTGTAGGTATTTCATTATATCTTCGGCTATTCTGTATCAATTTTGGTAACTCTATCTGTATTCTATAATAAACCGATTATAGTATAACAAAATACAAAATGTTCCAAAAATTAATTATTTTACACTAAAAGAAGTTGGTACTTCCAATAAAGTTTAATCTAAAACCTGCGTACAGTTATAGTGGTGCCCGATTACACCAATAATTTCGACTTCAACTATGATAGTTGTACACCAAACCTGCTCTAAATGTAATAATATACATTCAACTTCCCATGGATGTATGTCTCCTAGTTAGCCTTAGGAATCAGACTTTAAAAAAGGAGGAGCTGAACTTAAGATCTAACGTCTCTTGCCTAACGCTAGGTACATTATTGATTTACAATAATGTACTGGATGCTTTTGTTTAAAATTTCGTATCGTTGTATATCTTAACTCTTTAGCTACAGAGGAAGAAGCGCATTTAACTATTTATTTCTCTATCCATAGTTAGAGTTAGTCCCTGTTGGTCTAAAAAAATTCCTTGACACTTCTATTTATAGTTTTATTTATACGTAACCTATAGTTTTAATTTTATTTAAAGCTAAACAGTGCAGTAATGAAAACATCATTAAGATTACGACATTGTAGCTAGAACTGGTTTTACAAATTGATATAGATATACATTTATTTGGTGCAACTTTGCAGGACAAACTCATAGATGCATGAATTTCTAATAAATTTGTTGACGCAGAATAGTATAAAAGTATACTAGTACTAGTAACTAATAGATAAATCACAAGCAATTAGGACAAATCACGGGATCTTACCACGTTTTATTTATTTTTATTGAGTTCCAGAATACGTGGTAATATCCCGTGATTTGTCCTAATTGTATGTATAAATAATACCTACTACTAATGACCACGTCAAGTTTAAAAAGTATATCCTGCCTAGATAGATTGTTTGTAACTTAAAAATTACAAACAATCTATCTAGGCAGGATAAAATCTAGATGGGATATTCAGACATAGCTACCCACAAAATGTACATAGTTATTGTTTGCCTATTTACATAGATATGGAATCAATTATGCATTGCGCATAAGCATACAATAAATAAGAATGGCTAAGGCATAGCGAATTAAAGTAGGTAAATAATTGCGGTAATTACCTCTTTGTTTTTCGAGTGCTCAACTTCCTCAACTTCGGGGAAACCGAACAAATCCGTCTTCTTAAAATTTTGAGCGTTCAATGTGACAAACAACAAGCTCGCGATCATAAAACTATTTAAATTTAGACAATACATTTCTTTAATTTAAAATGTCGTTTTAAGACTATTATACCATTCACTTTTACACTAAGAGCTTCAGTAGTTGACTAGAAGAAAATAAATTAAAACATAATTAAACTCGCTTGTGTATTACACGAGCGAGTAAACGCTCTGTTCAGATCGGACTAGAGAGATGCTAAATGTGAATGATCAAGTTATGTTTATAATTATGACCGTACGACGTCATCTTTACAAATCGAAACAAGTTTTCGATAAAATAAATCTGGGTGAGTCCCGCCAAGGGTTCATTACTCATTGAAAAGTTTACAAAGCCAATATTATGGTGACGTAGGTAGATAAGTAGATGACGGATTGCAAATGTACTTAATACAGGATAAAATATCATAATAGAAAGGCTTTACGATTTAAGTACATATGTAGACAGACAAAAATAGATTCCTATCAACATTCCATTTTATGGAAGTATTTAAATCATACATAGTGTAAGCGCCCAATAGAAAAAGATTTTTGTAAAGTAAAACTATTTAATCTCATACCTTTATAGGTATTTTAGGTAGAACCACAGATAACATAATATTACATACAGATACCCCATCCCATACAAGAAAATGGTTCCTTCCTAACTCGGGCTATTCTTCGGGCTATTTTATTTCGCCACCGTAGCCGCTAGATGTCGCTAGATCTGAAGCAGTTCGGATTACTAGTGGGTGCTTAGTAACAAAGCATGAAAATAGATGGCAGTCAATTCAGTCTACATGACATCTGTTTTGCAAAGATATGTATATAATAGATATGTAGGTAGCTGTATCGTGTACCTCATTAGGGACGATTCAAGATTCAATGTAAATGTGTAGGTATAATATCGTTAGCCGACACTCTGCAGATATGGCTTATGTGCCAATGTATATACCTATTGTGTTATGGTTTATTTTACATTCCATGCCTATTTTTTTGATATGTTGTAACGCGTCTGCGCTATACGTATAGCCTGATTTTGATACGTTTATACTCGTACGTATCAAAATCGGGCTATACGATTTTTTATTTCAATCGTTATATGTATGAGACTGATTTTAGCTACAATTAATTTACTGGTATATACCTCATGTATTCTACGATGTACCCCTCTTTTACCTAATGAGAATTCCGCTATATCTTATATATAAATTTTGTATCACAGTGTTAGTTGCCATATTTCTCCCACATTTTGATGAAATTTGATATGTATACTTGCCAGGTCTGAGGTAGGGTTGTTATCTATTTTTTATACCCCTAAGTCATAGGGGTGGCCTACCCCGAAAAAATATTTTTTTGTATTATGGACAATTTTTTATTTATTTATAATGTTACATTGAAAATACATACACGCCTAAATTTTCACCCGTCTTTCACCAACCCCTATTTTTAATAGCGATATTCTTACAAATATTATAAATGCTAAAGTAACTCAGTCTGTCTGTTTGTCTCGCTTTCACGCCAAAACTACTGAACTTTTGGTAGACAGATAATGTAGACCCTGAGAAAGGCTACTTTTTAATGCGAAAAAGTATTGAAAGGGGAAATGAAAGGCTATATGAGGATATCGTAATTTTTAAAGTCAGATCTTGTAAGATTAAGTGAACAGGGTCGGTCTAGGTTTTTCATTATTAGAAATGTGTAACGGGGTAACACGTTATTTAGTGCGAAATTGTGTATATTACAATAAAATTTAACGAGAAAATATTATAATGATATCACTGGGACACTCATTGCCTTACTACTATATCGTCCGTTAGTCGCGAACTTTCTGGAAACACGAGAGGCGCGCTCCTATTGGTCGGTCGGCGCGTAGATGAGTAGATGAGGTACTTAGACGAGTCTCACGGCGCCGCAGCGTAAGTACTTACTATACATACGTAGTATACATATGGGTGTTACAAATGTTTTTATTACTAGTAATATTACTCTGTTATCTAAGCAAGTAATTGCAAGCAAGTAATTGATAACATTCCGAATTACTCGTATATCTTTCAATATCTTTAGCGGTATAAACCAGGTTATGTACTACTACTAGTATTGTTAGTGAGGGATAAAGTTGATGAACAAAAATAAAACAATATTCGTATTAAAAATATATTCATCTAATATTTTTGGCATTATTTTTAAGTTTCTTCCAAATATAAGGGGTCTGACATGGGGTGTTATGTACCTACATTAAAAAATACTTTTTGAAATGTATGAAAGAAACGTATTGTATGAAATTTTTGAAATGTGTGAAATGTATGCACCTACATTAAAAGATAATTTTTGAAATGTATGAAAGAAATGTATTGTATGAAATTTTTGAAATGTATGAAATGTAAGGACCTACATTAAAAGATAATTTTTGAAATGTATGAAATTTTTGGAATGTATGAAATGTATGAAAGAAATGTATGTACCTACATAAAAAGTTCATTTTTGAAATGTATGAAATGTATGAAAGAAATGTATGTACCTACATTAAAATATAATTTTTGAAATGTATGAGATGTATGAAAACAATGTATGTACCTACATAAAAAGTTCATTTTTGAAATGTATGAAATGTATGAAAGAAATGTATGTACCTACATTAAAAGATAATTTTTGACATGTATGAAATGTATGAAAGAAATGTATGTACCTACATTAAAATATAATTTTTGAAATGTATGAGATGTATGAAAGAAATGTATGTACCTACATAAAAGTTCATTTTTGAAATGTATGAAATGTATGAAAGAAATGTATGTACATTAAAATATAATTTTTGAAATGTATGAGATGTATGAAAACAATGTATGTACCTACATAAAAAGTTCATTTTTGAAATGTATGAAATGTATGAAAGAAATGTATGTACCTACATTAAAAGATATTTTTGACATGTATGAAATGTATGAAAGAAATGTATGTACCTACATTAAAAGATAATTTTTGACATGTATGAAATGTATGAAAGAAATGTTTGTACCTACATTAAAATATAATTTTTGAAATGTATGCACCGTACAATAACAATACACGTTAAACATCATACCACAGAGTCATATGCAAGTTAAAAACAAACTGCTATGATATTAATGTGAAAGGAAAATAAACTTTATGGTATTCGAGTTAGGGTCGATTTCTCTCTTTTTTTTTAAACTATTTTAATCTTACCAGTTGCCAGTATTCGAAGACAGCTACGATTCGTACTCGATATTTTAAATTATTATGTAATCGATTTTTCAGAACAAATGTAAATAACCAACGACACTAATAATGTACTACTATTATATTCCGTTCTTTGAAACGGAACACTGCTATACAAATAATGAAAATTTACTGTTCACAACGACTCATTAAAAGCATCATCGAATAATGCGCTGTAATAAAATCCTGTTATCGATTATTCAAAAAAATCGATAATACATGTATTTATTTTTAATATGACAACACTTCATACATAAGTATTATTGGAAATAGTATTACTTGCTTGTTCGGCTATTTTTAATTTACTTAAACTTTTTTTATATGTTTGATTTACAATAACAATATATTAAGTGCTTATTATTGGAAAATATAAAAAAGACATTTAATTAGGCCGATACAAATGACAACAATGCCATCTATGAAAGCATTTTGAAAACATTGAGCCCCGTATTAGCACTGATTAAAGTGTAATTAAGTACTGGAAAATAACAAAATGAGTAAATATATGAAAATTACTTTTCTAAACGCATTATTTCATTTTAACAGGTATATATAATTTTTTAAAAATGGATTAAACTATTTTGAAAACACAGTTTTGTTTTTTAAAACGTTTGCAAAACTATAAAGAATTCCATCGATACCAATCACGCCATCTATATGCAACTTTTAGCAATAATAATGGCTATTTCCTCATTGAGTGCCACTGGTAGAACTATCTTTAATACCTGATCCCTTGAATTTCAAATGTTCACGTCACGTGCTCATTTAATGAAGTTAAAAACATTCATTATAAACGATTTGCTCTTGAATGCCTTTCATCACAGATTACATAATATTACATAGTTTTATATTGAAATTCATATTGGGATTACTACACAGATACAGATACAGTGGGACAAAATATATGTAAAATCTGTAGCAAGTGCGGCTTCAAATCCCAATATTTTAAAACTATTTCAATCGCTATTATCGGAGTATAATTTTCAACTTCTATAGAAATAATGATTATTATACCACTTTTATAATAATTTAAACCTGCCCTTGTGTGAAAATTGTGAAGGTATAGTATTAATATTTAATAGTTAGCATTATATATTATTTTTACCTAACATTAATAATTATACAATTATCCCGTCATAATTGCTAAACAACATAATTAGCGTAAAAGCCATCATCCTGGCAAATTCATTACAAACTAGCTGTTCCCGCGACTTCATCCGCGTGGAATTTAACTTCATTTTCTAAATTTTTTTTTTTCTGAAATAAAAGTAGCCTAAATTTATTATTCCTTATTACATCAGTTACCTCTAAAAAAAAGTTCCGTCAAAATTGGTCCAGCCATTTCAGAGATTAGCCGGAACAAACAGACACAGACAAAAATAAAAAAAAAAGATATTTTGGTGTAAGTACCGTATTTATATTCATATATATACATGTAGTAAAAATGCTTATTTCAATATTACAAACAGACACAATAATTTTATTTATATGTATAGATAACGTTATGTATGTCTCATAATAGATGAATGATTGATGATGAAATAATCTGAGTAGATCCTAATGGTCCATTTATAAAGTATTTAATAATAATGATTTATTCAGCATCATAGTACAGAGTATTTGTCAGTATTATTGGTGCTGGTATGGATCAGCAGAGTATACAGTACCGTAAGTGCAGGTGGATACACTATTCCAAGGAACATAATCACTATACAATCTCGCCTTCCGATACTAGTATACGTTGGACCAATGAATTGGGCCAATACTTAGCTTGGCAAACAAACGTCAACAATTTCAAAAAGAAAAACAATCAAGTTTCATAATTTTAAATAAAAGTTAAAGAGTACAACATTAGCAATACGACATGTAGAAAATTATCTTTAGAAAAGAAAAAATCATGCTATAAATATTTTCATGTTCCACTTTGTTTTATTGTGAATGTGATTCAGTTTCCGAACGTTTACCCAGCTTTTCGCTTTATATAATCAAATCCTACATTATCCTGTATAATTTCACTATTAAGAAAAAAATACTAGCAGACCTTTGTATAAATAATGAAATTCACAGCTTCAGCTTAAGACACTACAAAAGTTATTCCATGATAAATATTATAAATCTATGAACTAGTTTTTGAACGAAATTTAAAATGAATAGATTTCTTTCCTTAGCCGTAAAAAAAAAAGTACCGTATCTGTTTACGTCAACTTGATTTTTTTTGACGAAATGTCAAAATGGCAATGAAAATCTTACAAAACAATATAAAATTATTAAAAATCTTCATATAATAATGTAACAGTTAACTACGTTATGACTCTATAATATTATTGCCGACATGTTTACCAAGAAATCTCATCAAGATGTTAAAAAATCAACAGTTAAAATACAAGATTCCAAAAAGGATTCTGCGACTCGTTTAAAGCACTTAAAAATCGTTCTTGGTAAGCTTTTACGCTTATAATATCTAATAATGAAAGCCTTAGAAAGTTTTTTACTTATATTCTTAATTGGTTTATACTTTTCAATGACAAAAGATGCGAAATTCTGAGTAATATGATAATAAGTAAAATGTAACTGTATTAGTGCATACACTTAAAAATCTTATTGTTTGTAATACAATATCTACTGCTTAATCTATATTATATATAATATCATTTATATTGAGTATTATCTGAATGATGTCATGTCCTAATGAGAAAATATATGTGTTTAATTCATGTAATAAAAATGTTATATATTTCATATTATTTTAATGTAACTGTAATAGCAACCAAGCAGATGATGGACCTGCTAGAAGTTAGTGACCATTGACTGCCATAAATATAAATGAACTACACAAGGATCTCCACAATACATACTGAGATACCTGTCATAACTAATATATTACCATTCAGAGTGACTGAAGAAGGAAAATTTATTTTAAGTATTCTTAATAAATTAACTCCATTTATCAATGTTGTCTTTCAGAACACTTTGATGTTGATGAAGCAAAGACATATTTTGAAAATAACTTTAGCCATGTCTACTTTATACTGTATGATAACTTTATACAGGCAGAAAATAACCTTCGGCAAAGAGGTATGTATTGTAACATTTAGCAACTTGTAATTTTAATAGTAGATATACTTGTAATACTAAGTTAACTGATTAACTGTTGTAAACTATAACTTTATTTTTTATATATACTTAATAGTGATTGTCATGATATAATTAAAATTAAATAGTAGTAATGTTATTTAATTTTGAGTTGTAATTAAATTTATATTTTTATAAGAACAGTGTTGATTAAATTGAAAGTTTTTTGATAATAGCCTAAAATTTTAATAGTGTTACTATCAATATGCATGTTTCTAACTGACTGTTAAATTCATGTAATATATGTTAAATGTATCTAAAGTCTGTTCTATCCACAATGGAATCTGATGACAGGTGCCTTATTTAGTTTACAAACTCTCCATATTATTACCATATATATATATATATTATTAATGTAATATAGGGAAATTTGAATTAAATATGTAATATATTTCAAATGTTGTGTGATATTACAATTTTATTATTATAATTAAATAACTTTTTTTTATTTATGTACTTATTTTTTCTGTTTTTGCCGTACAGAACTTCCGTTTCATCTTGGTGAGTTATTTATGACTTTGACAGACATACCATAAACCATGGTCCCATCAATATAATGCTTTACATTAATCATGAATGTTATCATGTAGTCCCACACATGCTTTTCTAATGCCTTTATTATTATCAATATTGTTATGACTAGAGCCTGGGTAAATATTTCAAATAAGAAAATGTATTTACATAATTTATATACAAAAATTTAAAATATTATAAAGGTATATAGTAAATATTAATAAGGTATAATTTTTAAAACAAAGGAGAAATATGTTGTATTTGAAAATTGTTGTCTTCTTTTCTATAAAACAAATTTTATGAATCAGCATTTTTTTTCATGTCATTGTATTAAATATTACCATACATAAATATCCTGTTATACATATAGTATAGTGTGTACCATTTGATGTGACCTATTTTTGTTGTAAATCAAGAATGGTTTACATACTATGTTTTTGTTCTATACTAATTTTGTCAAATTTAAAATTGATTATAATTTGTGTCAAGTTACATAATCTATGTAGATATATAATAATCCTTATTACATAATATATATAGGAGAATGCATTAGACTATGTATGTGTGTATGTTCCTCTATGTAAAGCCTAACCAAAAAATAAAAGTATAGAAATAACTAGTCTGTAATATGGGGCTTGACTTTAAAATATGTATTACAGAAATCACAGCAACAAATCTAAGTTATACTTAGATTAGATTAGTTAATTACATTAAGAATCAAAATATGCAATATTAATAATGTACCTTAGCAATGCAGGCCCTAGTTCATAGTAATTTATAGAAGTCACAATATTTTATATGGTTGTGTCATAACACTGCTGTCATTTTATTATAACACCAAGTGCCAGTACAACTGCTCTTACAGACCGATATTTAAACTAGTATCATCATCTACACTAGACCCATGCCAATCTATTATCACCAGGATATTTTATTTTCTGCTGATCACCAAACCATGAAAGTAACTAAATTTAAAGCATGCATACTCATTTCAGAGACTCATTCTGTTCTGCAGCTAGCATACAATTTGTCTGTTTCAGTCTGAGATTTGTCTGTATTATTCGAAATATCTCATGGTGACTACATCAAGTTATATGTTTCTTAATAATATTTGCATAATTAATTTTAAACAGTACCAAACTATCAATCCTTCACCATCTGCATGTTTTTTCTACTTTTTTCATATTATCAAAAATAATTCGAATATTATAACAAGTTTATTTCATACTAGCTGGAGCTACAATGCCATATAATGGGGCTAATTCAGAGGTGATAGTTACTTAATGTTCGTAATATAATTATTTTTTAATTACCCCACTAAACAACATCTTAATATGCTTTTTCTTCACAATAACCCATATATTTTACACATTTCAAAAAAATCACTAATTTGTCGTTTTTAGTTCACAAGGCTGGCAGAGAAGAATTGGAAGGAACTTTATCTTTATTAGAAAAAGTATTACGTCTTTTACCAGAGCTAATAGGAAAGAGATGGCAGTTACACTCTCTTACAAGAATATTTTCAAAACTCCTCCATAGATGGAATTCTCAAAAATTAAGAGCAGAGGCAACCAGGTATTTTAATTCTATTTATTACAATGATTATTTTTATTATTATATATGTATGTCCAAATTTAATATAACATTTTTATTTTTTAGATATTTTCTTTTGTGGTATCAAGCATTGGGAGATAATGCACCACTCGAAGTACACAAGATGTTTGCGACGCTCGTGCCCGGATTGCCAGAGCCTATAATGTTGCACACTGGATCACCACTCAAATGTAAAACATATGATGATAACTCTAACCCATGTAATGAATCTAGCGATTTTAGCATGGAGGATATCTTACACCATCCAAACTTCATCTCAACCACAGACAACGCTAAAAAAGTAGTAGTAGAGCAAACATCTTCAGGTATAATGGGCAAAATCGTTAATGTGTCGGCTTCTATATTTCATGACACAAATGCTTTGAATCCTGTGCAAACTGTTGAAATACAGCCATTACTGCCTGCAAGTGCTAATGAGAAACCAGTCGAGAATGAAACCAAATATTTTTTTGATAATCTGCTGGAAGCAATGTCATCATCTGTTACTAAAATACATTGGAGAGATAGGTCACATGCTAAAGCAATGAGATGTTTCGCATTTTTATTAGAAAGATTCAAGATGTATTATTTACCCATAATATGCCCACAGTTCAATCATAAGAACTCTTTATATAAACCAAATCTTGGTAAGTATCAATCTTTAAAACTCTTTTGTTGTAAAAATGTTATGTAAAATTATGTATTTCATTATATGTATTTCATTTTCTTAATACATATTTTTTTAGAACTGCCTGTACAACACACTATATTAGAAGATGATAATGTATTATGTCGCGTAATATTAATCAAGTGGGTAGCTAACTACGCGCATTTCATGAAGAAACAAGGCAGTGACGCTGGACAACCCTCATCAATGACGAGTATTGGATCTCACTTTCCGCATTCTAACACACTCACACCCGGTTCATCTTTGCATCATGAAGAGGAGACTTCATTTACAGTTGGACAACCAGTAGATTCGTGCAGAGCATCACCTCACGAATCTGCTTTTAATACGCCGCACCCTAGTTTAGAATCAGGTATTTTTTTGTTGTAATCTTTAAACTATAGTAAAATCATTAGAAACTATTTCCTTCTTAACTTATATTTATATTTAGAAACTTATATTTAGCACAAGTACTGTACCATTAATTGAACTAATTATAGAATTGCGATCATAAGCACTTGTTTTACTAATGTGGATACTGCGAGATTTGTGTAGTTCAGTTATTTTCATTGTCGTATGGAATTTTACCGAAGAGTAATATACAGATTGTATTTATTTTACAAAAATATGCATAAAGATAAAAAATTTAATTTATGCTAATAATCAAACATATGAGGATACCTCAATGTATATACGCAAAAATATTATGTACAAAGAGAAAAGATTATTTATTTCTTAAAATAGTGATCTTGATAACCTTTATATAATAACTTATAAATGTAAACTAACAGTCCCCAAGGTTTTTTAGATAAAGTAAACTGAATAATATGTCTCTCATATTAAAAATTTTATTCCCTAAAATTTTTTAATATGATACGAAAAAATATTTTAGATCTATTGCTATATTTGAAGGAGTACCTTTGTATGACGTTAGTTGTAGACAAGGGATTTCAGATATTTTAAATTCTGATAGACATATACACTACATGAGGCAGCACTCGGAATCCTGTAATTGGTTTACTTATATTAGTCGTATTACTCTATATTGTTAATCATAATTATATTTTATATTTCTACAGGATGCAGTGTCGTGGAAGAACTCAGCTCAGATCAAGTGGTACGAGACGTGTTGTGTTGCTGGTCACGCGAGCATGTGGATTTCACTATCGAAGTGCTGCGACAAGCTTTCCTGCTGCCATTCTCGCATGCCGCCGCCACCAGGCGGGTCATCGCTCTTTACAAAGATTGGATACAGATGAATGTGCGTGAAAGAACTTTAACCTAAAAACATAACATACTCAATCTTCTATCACAAGTATTCCACAACAGCGTATTTTTATTTTTAACCTTTTTCAACTTACTTTTATAGCCATGGAACTCAAAATTCACTGTTCGGCTATCGGTGTTTAATATATTTTGTCTATGGACCAACCTGATGGTAAATGTCACTATAAACATCACATTACCATATAACACCTGTGATACCACTCATGTGTTGCCATTGTCCTTCACAATGGCACTAAGATGCATTCTTCCTAACCTATAATTTCACTGCTTTTATCTCACTCTTCAACCGAAACATGTTTCAACAGCAAGCATGCTTTGTAAGTTGCTTGGAAGGTAGGAGGTACGATTTTTAACAAAGTCTACTTTGATGCTCCTTCTACTGTAATGGAAGACAGGTGTAACATATTGTATAAAATAAACACTATTACCCAGGTGGCGGAGATTCCACCATTTCTGGTGGAGAATACATACGAACAGCAAATGGCAGGAAGCGGAGAGCCGTTGGCGCCACCACGTCGACTGCGGAACGACTCGTACCTCGGCGCTGTCGGCCGCGATAACGTCATGGTGCGCGCCGGCATGCAGGTACGCAGTAGCAGCACACCAACTCTTAACACGTTAACACCAGTGAGGAACGTTTATAAATAAAAAAAATTGAATTGAGGTTTCAATACAAATGCTCTCAAATCTGGTTCTGAAAGAATTAATAAATTGTCAAATTTATGTATATATTTATACATATATATATATATATATATATATGTATATTTAAAATACACTGTTATCTCATAGTTACCTCATAATTGATGGCCACGGTGGTTTAACGGTTTAAATATCTAAGTATTTATATCAGTTGTCTAGTACCCATAACACAAACTCTGCTGACCTTGTGACTAGCTGACATTGTATTAATTGTCTAGGAGTATTATTTATTTAGTTATTTATAATAATTAATCAACGAGTACATTAGTTATACATATAATACCTACATGTTACATATTTACTGATAATTATGAGGCCTTTCACATTTTTTGGCCTAAAAGCAGTGTCTTTGGGGTTCTGGTTCTAAGAAATTAAGAGTCGGATATACATTTTGATTCCTGAATTATATAGATAGATATCTAATCTTAAAAACAACATCTTTGAAATGTTAATTTTCTCTTTGTTAGTCTTCCTAATTTCTAAAATAGTTTATTCAAAAACGCTAAATGACAGAAGTTTGGGGTCGTCGTTCATTAATAAACAAACATAAATTGTTATGATATCTTTACTAAAACTTGATAATTACTTTATAAATTGAGACAGCATCGTCCTTTTTTTCATTTTCAACTTAAATATCTAAAAAATTGAACCCGAAATTTCAACAAAACTTTGCCATAATCATTTCTAATTTTCTCATAAATACAACGAAATTTTTGCATAAAAAAAACATAATAATAAAGTTAATATACTTGTAAATTAGAAATATGAAAAAAAAAATATAAGTTTCTAAGAAAAAAATAAACAATAATAATAATTTAAAGTTGTATAAATTCCGTTGCGCCAAAAGTAAATTCTCAGTGCTGCGCTAGCGCTCGTCGAGGTAGGACCTATGCCATTTTTTACAACACCGCTAAGATAAGACATTCGTCAGTGAACATTAGTATAGAGCGACTAAACAATTTTGATAATTTAAGTAATATTTAATTAATTTTGCTAATATATACTTATTTCTACGAATATTAATTTAAAGTTGTTGTTAAATATATATATATAAATAATATTTATTTTAGCATGCCAAGACAAAAGTACAGTTATGCTACAAATAAAACCTACCTACCCTGCTGCACTATGAAAAGCACAAGAGCATGGTATTTCGTCACACTAATGGGAATTAATTGTTAAAATTAAAAAAGAGAACATTTTAGTATTTTTAAAAATAACGCTTATCTGAGAGAAAAATGTAAGAAAATGTAAACCAATTTTACTCTATGTTTATTTTGTAGTTTTTTTCTAAATTAAAATAGGGTTATTGTTTATAAAAATACCATTATTATTTTTACGTACATTTGTCTTGTGTTATATAGTGTATATCATCTAGTATGCAATGTGGATTGTAAATAAATTACCAAATTATATATAAATTATATTCCTTAATGTTTAGAGATATTTTATCCAATTTTATTTTATTTTACACAATACAGATATTTCTAAATTGCAGCTATTCTGTTATTATACTCGTTGGACTTTCATTACTGTACAGTTATGTTAAATAATTATGCGTGTTTGGGTGAAAAGTCAACAACATTATAAATGTTTTTATTTAGAGACTAGCTTTTAGCTCGCGGCTTCGCCCGCGTGAATATGGGATATATAGGTTATCGCGCGTTTAAAGATCCGTGTACAGTATTGGGACGTTATATATAAACCTTCCTCTTGAGTCTATCTATTCTGTCTATCTGAGCTCTCAAATTTGTCAGTAGTTTTAAACTTTCAATTAAAGTCCATAAGGGAGACGATGTTAATGACACAGAGAGTCTTTCAGAAATCTCCAGCAAAAGTATAAAAGTAATCCCGCCAATGAGAGCAGAGGTGTTTCTAAGGTCTTTTAAGGTTCTGTCCAAAATCTCTATAGCTCATGGTGATTTCATTACATATAATCAATGAGGCGTCTTATAATAATTTATAAAAAGGTTTGACATTAACAATTAATTATTTATCAAGAATCAAGAATCGGCCAACCAAGAACGAGAAGCTGCAATATCAGCCAATATCATGCGGCGACGTCAATGATGCAGGAACAGCAATGATAGCAGTTGAAGCTTTTTTTTTACAACTTAGAATGGCAAACAAGCTGACGGCTCTCCTGATGGAAAGGGGTAACCGTCGCCTATATACATGAGCAGTACCTGACATGTTCATATCAGCACATTGTTTCCCTCATGCGTTGCCATTCCTGAAAACTCGGGTGTTATTCCCCTGTACCTTGTAAATTCACTACCATATATATACACAGGTAGTCTATGACCTTTCTCAGGGTATACTATCTGTGTATATGTATATCTATAGAGAGAGAAACTACTCACACACACTATAAAGTAGTCTATGACCTTTCTCCGTGAGAAAGGTCATAGACTACTTTTATAGTACGAAAAAAGTTTTGTAAGGGATTAAAAGCGGAGATGAAAGGTTGTATAAAAGTATCGTCATTGTTTAAGTGAAACAAAGAAACTTTTTTAGGTTATAATCTAAATATATTTCCTTTATTTGGTCAATTTCATTATACCACGCTGACGAAGTCGCGGACACACCTAATATACATATAAGGATGGGACCTTTAAATCAAAACAAAGCCTTGAAAACACAACTATTATATATAAATAAAATAATTATTTCCTAAGTATAATATTTAGAACAAGTGAATATGGCAATAATGTATCCGACTCTTATAATAAATTATATTGTATCTATTAATAAATAAACTGAATTAATATGTAAGAAGAATTAATTAGTAAATTTATGTTATAGTAATTTCATCTTCCTGTCCTTATCCCAATTATTTGTTACTCATATTACTTAAGGTTTTGGCTTTTAGTTGTACAATCGGCCAGCATCCTGACATCAACCCTCTAGGAATAATATAATAAAAAAATATGGTCATTATTAGCACTTTGATAATTAAGATAAATCACGTTATTTAAAAAAATCCAATAAGTAGTTTATGTTACTCAGTTAAGTAGAAACATATCACATTATTAATTAAAATATTACAAGGATCAAAATGGTTCATACTAAATCCACACCGATTGAGCTACACGGTTATTTGCGTCTGTGTGCGTGTATTACTGTATGTGTGCGTAAATCCATGCGATTAAACCTAAAGTTGAGCGGCATCATTTTGTAATAGGCCTCTTAAACAAAAATTGCAAGCATGAATTTAACGAATGCTTAGCTAATAACATTTTTTTTATTTATATAGATTAACATTTATATATAGATTACATTTACATATTTACTACAATACGAATTTTACTTCAATTATCTTGTATTTATTGAAGTTATTTGTTTATATAAAAAGTTATATGCATAACTTTTTATATAGAAAGTAGACCCAATCGGAAGCGTAATTTTCCAGTATTTTTTTATTTAACTGCGCCACATCTACTTAATATTTATATGTGTATGGATGTACAGAATGTGCTGCAAGTGTTCATGACACAAGCGGCGAACGTGTTCCTGGCCAGCGGGTCGCCAGTTGCTGCGGCTGGCGGCGGCGCCCTCACACAGCAGCAGCTGCTCGACGAGCAGACGGATACCTGCAAGCGCGTCCTCAACATATACAGATACTTGGTCATGCACGTCGCTATGGACGCCAACTCCTGGTACGTACTACATACGCACTGCACGTCAATTATACATTATCAGTATTTGTGCGGAAGTAATAAAAGTGTTATTAAATATAATTAATATTAAGTTTTCATTTTTGTTGCAGGGAACAATTATTGTTGGTTTTACTGCAAATTACATCACTTGTTTTAACTAAAGTGCCACCGAAAAGGAAACAGGAATCATTGGGTAATATATTTGTTATTTCAAAAAACTATTATGGTATTATATAATTTTAAACAAAATATAGCTACAAATACAAATAAATAATATTGTTATATATTCTCAAATTAAATAGTTTTTGTGAAAAAGGACACATAACGTACTCTGTAATATAATATAATTGTAAATTTCTCTATTAATTACTTTGTCATTTAACACATTAGATTTTAATTTATTATGAACTGAAGTGATTCCATAATTCAAATAAACCTAAAAACTACTTACGATGAGTTGGCTATCAGCTGGCTCAACATTCCAAGCTATAAAAAAAGCTGAAAGGGAAGTTTTTTAATCTTTTAATATCTCTCCTTCAGGTGGCTTCTTGGCATCGGCTTTATTCCAAACTCTAATAGTGACTTGGATAAAAGCTAATTTGAACGTAGCAGTTAAGCCTGAACTATGGCAGAACTTTATGGAACTCCTAACTCGCCTCACACACTGGGAGGATCTTATAACGGAGTGGGCGGTAAGTATTTATAACTTAATTTAATATATTTGGAATTTTCTGAACAAATTATAATTTAAAAAATGAGCATCAACTCTTTAGTGTGCAAGCGGCAAAGGCGGAATGTCCTAATTTTGCGAACTAGTGATTGAACTAACTTAGCATGCGATTGGTAATATAATCTTTACAATTTGCGCATTTCTCATAGCTATTTTCATTATGTAACACATTTTAACAACTTATTTGCTTTACTACAATTTACATACGTTTATGGATTTAGAAAACAATGGAGACGTTGACCCGCGTGCTGGCCCGGCACGTGTACTCGCTGGACCTGTCGGAAACCGCAAACGTAGGCATGGCGGGCACAGACGGGCGGCGGGGCGGGCGGCGCGGCACCCCCGCACCCGCCGCCGCGCCCCTCCCGCGCCCCGCGCCCCTCCCCGCGCCCGCAGCGCCCGTCGCCAGGACGCCCGGTGCGTATACCCTCCACATGGACCCTTCCGAATTCACACTCTACTAATTCATTATTGAATAGCATTCTTTAACTTACGGAGTATTTAAATTACGGATGGTTGAACAAAATGGCTATTCCGAATTGATAACTATATTCATAATCGAAGGGTATAACATTACAATTTATGTTGTAGTGTTATAGTGTATAAGCCATACTTTTTTTTGTCAAAACGATGACACTGCAATTGAAACTATTCTTTTATCAAATTTAACATATTAGCTATTACAAAAATGAGATTGTTACGATCCCATCCTTCCCAAGAGCAACCATTCATAATATCTTCATTAAATATGTGTAAATTGTTAAAATATATATCAATGGTAAATTATAATATGCAGGCAAATCACCAAAAGTGTACCATGAGCCGCACCCGCGCAAGGAGGCGGCAGCGGCGCGACGGCAGCTGGCGCGCTGCCGCAGCGAGCCGCACCTGTCTGCGCGCGTACACCCGCCCACGCATGCGTACGCGCCCACTCCCCCACTCGCGCTCTATATTAACGCAGGTATACATTCACATTATACAATAATGTAACAACCTCCTATCTGTCTATAGCTCATATTACGTCGTCGTTTCTTACTGAAATGTTAACAGTTTTATTATATATCTATATTTAACTTTTCAACAGAAGAAACCAAACAAACTCTTAGCAACAAATCGAGAAGATGGTATTCACTGGATTCTTTAAGAAACTTGAGTCATCAGGACGAACGCGACTCAGCTAGTGGTATGGAAATATAATTTAGATAAATATATATTTTATTGTCACGTGTACTCCTAAATACCTTCAATAATCGTTTTCTTTTATATTTTAGGTTCTCGTTCACCTTCACCGGCTCCATCTAGTGGAGTAGAAAGTACTTCAATCAAGGACTCGCCATTACAGATTGATTTAGCTTCAGATGGAGGTAATGTAGGCAAGTATTACTATGTATAGTAGTCGCTGCAAATATATTTACGACAGTAAATATGGAGTATCGTCCATCCATATTCAGACACAAACTTTACCTTTACTTACTTACATGTTACTGATCATATCGTATTGTCCTATGCTAATTAATAATATTCACCTATAATAATAGTTATTCTTTCACCCTTCACTGATTACAATTGGCTATTTGACAGTTGTAGAAATAAAATATGAAAACTATTTGTTTGGTAGCTTCTTAGTAAACAGTAATCATACAATATGGTTTTTGCATTAAAATAATGTTTTTTAATATTTTAGTTTTGGAAAATAAATCTGAGTTTTTTTTTATCTGTGGTTGACATGGAGCGGCCATGATTGATCATCGTATTACGCCATAATTCAATAAATAAAACGTTGTTAAGTAATCTCACGTCATTTGTTCTATAGTTTGCTGAGAAAATTCGCTCAAATATTTCAATTTGTGTTGTCTAAAGTTTCACGAAATGTAATTAAGCTATATTAAAACGAATAATGTAAATCTGCCCAGAATAGATTCGTTTATGATCGCAAATCTCTTTGCCTGTAATCCTGATTTTTGTTCTGTCGAGTTTATTATTTAATGTTTATTGTATTGGATGTAATTTTCCATATCATTAAATTATAAAGAAAAACAATATGTCATTACCTAATTACAAACCTAATTTCTACTTAGAAATTAGGTTTGTTTATTCTATAGTTTAAGAAGGTTAGGTTTAATTTATTTTTGGAAAATCAAACTTTGATTTCTTCTAAATACTTACATCAAAGTGATCATCACATAAGAATATCGCAGACATATCAGATGTAAACCGTGGGTCTTGGTGTGCCAATTGTAACCATTGCTTTCGACGTTTTGGGCATTTAGGAACGTGTATAAACAATTTGTTAGGACATTTAATTGTCGTACTTCGACACATAAGCACGGCATACGTTTTGTAGCTTATCACTTTCACAATTCCAATAAAATCTGTATACTTATCACTCAAAACAGTTAGAGCGCCGTATTAACCTTGTTTCGTTTATTGAAATATGACGCCATAGCTCGGAAATGTCACGTGACATAGTGTTTTAGCGCGAATTTCAAACCAAGAGAAATAAAGTTCATGTTTTCTCTATCAAATAAAGCTTACTTTGAAAATTAGATAATTGTAGGGGGTTTTAAATAAGTCTACAAAAAATATAAAATATATTTCAGAAAATTGTCAAGTAACCAATTCGAAGGAGAGATGAATATTCTTAAAATCCTTATTCCTCGAGAATAGTACTTAAAACAGTTACCATGGACATGGTGTTAACTTGCTTGCCATTTCAGGTAACATTACTAGTATACAAGACTGAAATGTATGTAGTAAATTAATAAAATAATGATATCAGAATGGCCAGAGACGGAGGGCGGCGGCGTGGGCAGCATGGCGGGCGGCGGCGAGGAGGACGCGGGGGGCGCGGGCGCGGGCGTGGGCGTGGTGCTGGGCGGCAGCGCGCGCGGCTGGCTGCCCGACGTGGCCGCCGTGCTCTGGCGGCGCATGCTGGCCGCGCTCGGTGACCCCAACGCGCTAAAGGACCCGCAGGCCCACGCACAGTTCTTCAAATACCTCATACTACTCAACTCCACGCTGCTTAAGGTAAGAATTACATGTATAATATATATAATTGTTTACTTTAAACGTAAGCTGAATCAGTGTCGGCCGAAAGTTAATTATTTAAAATCATAATCAAAAGTTCGATTTACGATTAACAATGAATTCCATATAAATCATATATAATTTAAGCTTTGAAAAACATAATTATTATTAGTGAGTAAGGAAGTTACAATAACAGTCATTCAATAGTATATACTTCCTCTGTCACAATTTTAATTTTTAATTAGTCAGTCGTATTTGTCATGATGTATAATAAAATTAGTTACATGAAACATTCAATAGATTAATCAAAATATGCAATAAATTGCTTATTTTTTATTTGTAATGCTTTTAGTCTTCAGTTGACAGTCTATGATCGGGTTAGTGACCTCTTTGTTTACCTTTTATGTTAGTTCTATTGCATCGGAATATAAAATAACACATGAATAAATTTCGATTTACTGTGACAGACCTATCTCATTAAGGGACCTCTTTCGGTCTGAAAGAAGATCGACAAAGTAATATAAGATACACTCGCAACTCTTATCCCAGATGGGCTTGTCATAAGCATTGTTAACAGTCAAGTCGCCTGTGGAGGTAAATTAGTCTCATCTATTTTATAAGCGTCCCGCCGTCTCTCGGATTACTTCCTGGTTGTATATTGGAGCTAGGAACAGGTCCCAAGATGACCAATTTCCTCCCTACCAAAACTTCTAAGATGGTTAAGATAATTGTGTTATGTAGCTGTATGTGGTGCAAAGAGTAAAGAGGATGAATAATAAACCTAGAGAAGAACTGAAGTGGACTTTATATCTATGGTGTATACGATGTATAATTATCAAAACCCAAATTACTAGTATTATAATTAAAAATCAGCTGACGGGTATCCTATCACATTATAGTCGGCTGACAATTTATTTACTCAAAATAGCATATTATGTAATATGTGCAAATTTTGGAGTGTGAAGAAATCACAGATTTTTTACATGTTCATGCTATCAGCTGAAGTATAATACACAGTTCAACCAGCTGACTATTTTTTATATAAGTTTAACTATGTTTTCATAGCAATTTAAACTGGGAGGAAATGTTAAATTTTTTTTATATGTTGCTGGGGTGCCACTTCTCAACTCATCTTCGGTACCGCAACAGACTTTTACTAGGCTTCATAATACAACTTTCTTAACCATCTTAAAAGTTTTCAACTGGTAGGAAATAATTGACTAAAAAAAGCCTGTGACTCACTACTATATAGGAGTTTCCTTGACCGGAGAGTCAGTCAGAAATATTTTTAGTGCCTTCCAAATTTGTACTACCTCTTGGATATAATTCATCTATACTTATATTATAAAGAGGTAATGTTTGTTTGTGGTAATCTCCGGTCCTACCTATCCGATTTTAAAATTTCTTTCACTGATTGAAAGGTATATTATCCCCGAGTACTATAAGCTATATAGCATAACGCTACGACTAATACGACCGGAGCAGCAATGGAAAAAATATTCATTTTGACTATTTCCGCTGAGTAAATGCGAAAGTGTATATATTATTTTACGTGTATATGTTATAATACATGTACACCCGTGCGAAGCCGGGGTGGGTGGCTAGTTAATAATATTAATAAAATATCATTCTCTATTTTTATTCTTTTTTATTCACTTTCAAAAAGCAGAATATTTTTTAATCAAATATTATTTCTTAGTATGTTACCCGGAGTGATCACCGGTTGTATAATTGTACTAAATGTATAATCATTCGTTTATTTCCGTAGTGATCCATGCTAATTTTGTCAGGATATTTTTTTTTACTTTTGTAATAGAATGAATTCAATGTAATAGGATGTATTTAAAAAAAATGCTAAAAATAATCGTGCTTTTGTGATTTTTATACATACTAAATAGTATTACACGTACGATAATAATAACTACAGCTAATATTATGAGCTGCCCTTATGCTTTAGTTGTAAACCTTGTTGAACAAACTACGAAAATTATTCTATACATACGTATCCGCATAGTTATAAAAAGGTATAAACCGTTAGTATCAATCAACACATACGTAATACAATCATGTCATCTGGTACACAAGGCATCTGTTAATGTTTATCGCAAATATGACACTTAGTAGGATTTATCTGTTGGTATCTCAATGTTTGGGCGATGGTGCAATAGAAAAATGCCCGCCACATCTCACTGACTCACACATATCTATTGTTTTGTTAGTATTTTATTTGAATTAATTAATATAGCGTGTGCACTCCGCGCGTGTAGTTCTATGCATGGTGTTACTAAAGTTGTGCGAACTGTTATCCAATTCGAAGGTATTCAAAGATTGCCAATGCGAAAGAAGAGCAGGAAAAAGAAGACTACTCAGGCGACTGAGGAAAAAGGTTGTTTGTCAAACTTAAAAATCACCACTAAAATATATTTTCATTCTATATTATGTAGGTAGTTAACGTTTTTTAAAGTTAGTTGTCAGTTGCTAATATTTAGTTACGTATTTTAAGTTATTTGTAAAACAAAGTGGAATTTCAATTCTTATAAATAATTTTAACCTTAGATATTCTGTTTGACGAAATAACCTTTATTAGTAAAGACAAGGCATTTTTAATCCTCGTCATCATATTTAAGAAATAATAATTTCTGTAAAGTTTTGTTATGTTAAAAAACAATAAGAAAACTATTGTGTCTAATGAAAAGAAATGTGAATAACTTTATTTATAAATAAACGATGACGCATTATTCAGAATCACTTATAGATATTGTATTTGTTGTTTTAGATAAGCGCAAATCAAACTCTAAATGGAAATACGGAGATCCACGTGCCGTTCAATCTTGTGGCGGGATGGTGTCTCGAGGCGGAATCTTTGCCTTCGTCCCACCGGTGTGTATACATGTTTTTATTTCACTATTATTGAATAAATTAATAGTTTTTAAATATCACACAAAAGGATTTAAATGTATTTTTTGATCTCATCTGTTGTCACTTTTATGTGTATCTATCTGTATGATATAATAGTTATTTATGCTAATTGAACGTCTCATTTTTTCTCAAGTATCTTTTTGTGATCATTATGCCCTTATTTGTTTTCATTGAGTATATAATCTTGATTGCTATGATTTAGTAGTAGTAATTACAATATACAAATGAAATAAGTAAATCAAAATTCTTTATAAACTATTCAATTGTTTTGTAAAATCCTTGATTAACATAATACTTACATAACGTAATAATATATATATATATATAACTATACAATATATATTATTCATTCATATTATATTAGTGAAATATTTTGTTTCAATGTCTATTTCGCTATGACGAATCTCGAAAAGACATAACAAACATCAATTAGTAATGACTGGTTAGTATTCAACCTTATTAGATATATTGGCTTGTCGGAAAATCGATCTGGGTATATACTATCAAGAATTCTATCTAAATCATATTGGAAAATACCCCTCGGATTGATAACTCATGTGTTAACATTGTTAATTTACCCTTGAAACATGTAGCTGTTTGTTTATGGTGCGTTTGTATTCGATCGTGTATAATTACGTATAATTGAGTTTTATAATTTCGTATAATTTAGTAACGGATTCCAGTGACCCCATTGCTTGTATATATTGCAATGACTTATCGACCTCTACCTGGTCACCGCTTAAAATCATCGTAGTTAATTCCTGGTGAATTTATCTCGATTAGGTAACAAGGGAGACAGAGTATACTGTTAGCACAGGCGGTTGCACAATTCCAATATGGGCTTAAAAACTTATAACGAATTGAAACGTATAAAGTTCTTGAACAGTAATTTCATAGCTAATTAGATATTATTAAAGTGTACAATACATCAGAGCATGATGCACGCACAATTCGTGCAGAGTGAGAATTAAGTATTGTTCGTATTTCACTCATGTGCTGTATACAGTGGCCTAAATGCAAATTTTTGTACAAATGTCGACGAAAACGAATCTAAATAAAGTGTTATTATTTTATTATTATGACTGTTTATACGTTCTTATATAATTAATGTTTTATCTAGAATGGTATTATAAAGAAAAGGTGTAAATTTCTTGAGTTTGTGTGTATGTAATGGTTTACTGAACAATGGATATATAAATAAACATCATAATTGGTGTAATAACACCGATTTGGAAAAATTTATGACATTTTGCAAGGTCCATTATTACAAATGAACCACGGCTATAATATCGTATTAATCAACGGATCACGGACGTAGCCGTGCGTTATAGTCTTATCTCACGCATTTAGCGTTTAGTCCTAATGTGCGATTATATTGTAATACAGGTCAGGAAAGTTACTTGCACTGCGTTTGCTATGCGAGTCAACACAGGCGCAGGGCCCTGGCGCGCCCTCTTCCTGCAACAACAGGTTGCATCTGGCCCATCTAAATCTTTATCAGAGAGCTCTGCATCACGGTAAATTTCATATTTATTTACAACAATGTATACTATTTATTGTAGTAGGTGCAGCAACGGAACACAACATAAATCACTGTAAGGAGATAATATTTGTCATTCGTAGTTGCATTGAGAATTTAGTTCCACAAAACAAAATCAGATCTGCTATAAAAGGAGCAAGACCAGATTAATTAAAATATATAGCTATAATTTTGGCCAAAATGATCATTAAAATCTTCGTACATTGACGAAATCTTCGTTGCATAACACAATATACCTAAGAAATACAGACTAATAGAACACAATTTCAGTACAATATTTGTATACGACTAACACGTTATCGATTTTAAAACAATATAATTTGTTAATGCACGACGAATTTTTATTATTTCGTGTACACTAAAAAAATTTTTCGACTGAGTGTCCTTCTCCAGTTGTATCAAAAATAAAAAACTACAGGGCTAACCGGCGAGGATCGGTCGGTAGTGGACGTACTGGTGGAGTACGCGGCGCCGCGGTACCTTTCCTTGGCTCTCGATGGTTACTCATTGCTGCTACTTGACTTCGTCCACGCATCCACCATCGTGCTCAACTGTACAGATATGGGACCCACTGTAAGGCATATTGTAGCTTCATATACATCATAACTTCAAAAATGTTAAGCACATTGGCAACTTAATAATAGTGATTTTGATCATAAATATCGTGTGTTCAAATGTGACCAGCATCAAAAACCTGTTTCGAAAGTTTATTTCTGATGGCTCTTCGGTCTTATAGTCAGATAAATAAATCGAGGCTTGCCACGTAGAAATATAATAAATCAATATATCAAGTGTCGCGCCTAAGGAATTGCAGTTGAGAAGGTTTATTATTACATTGTCAGATTAATCAGAAATTGTGTCAGAACTAGTTGGTTTATCTAATGATATGTAATGCAAGTATTTATATAAATTTAATTTATTTTAGTGTCCACGTACAGCGGCCGTGACATTCCTCGGATCATTGTTATCGTTGCCTGATGAATTGATGAACGCGCCGATGTTACAACCATATCCACACCAATATAATACCGTCTCATGTCCTGATCTTAAGGTTTGTTATGTTAATGTTATGTTAATCTATAAATCAAAGATTAACTGGAGGTATATAAACTACATATTTATAATTGGGTTGGCTGTTAAAAAAACACTTTATTATGTAGTAAATACTTTTGGAAATCGTATGTTATGTGTAAATAAGTAACATATTTGTGTTTATTTTTATTGTATTGACAATATTCATTGTGCAACGGTATTCAAGCTCCTTTGTATATTTAAAATTTTTATTCTACTCTTGTGATCAGGTGGATTTTGGAATTTATTTTACTTATTAAAATTAAATGGTCGTAGCTTTACGCTACGATATACCACTATGTATAATCATGACAATTGAGGTTATCGTGTGATGTTCTTCGTTACAATTGTACCTCTCCCTATAAAGAGGAACATAGCTAGCAAATCCAACTGCTGGCGCTAGCCATGTATGAAACTCGGTATAAACGCTCTAATATATATATATATATATATATATATATATATATATATATATATATATATATATATATCCTTCAGATAAATCTGTGAAGCGTTTACCGCGTAATTAAAAATATATAAATCCTTAAAACAATGACAGTAATGTCATAATGTTTAGTGGTAACGCTTTGTGACCGTTTGGTTGTGTTGCGATGCGCAGGAGCACGTGCTAAACATAGTGGTGCGCGTGTGTCGGCGGGAGGGAGCGGCGGCGGCGCGTTGTGCGGGTGCGGCCGCGCTCGCCGCACACCTGGCGCACCTGCTGGCCGCGCGCCGCCCCGCGCCCCGACTGCCCGCCTACCTCACCTGCCTGCTCCAGATGCTCATGGTCGGTCCACCCACACACACAAGTCTCGGCGACATCCCTAAACGTACCACATCGCAATCCTATGCACACTTACAAACTACACTATTCCCCGGAACCCACATTCAACCACTAATCGCATATAAACACTACTACCACACACTCTGCATCAAACTTCTACAAACACGTACTTTGCACATCATTCTACACCACGCTTTCACTCTTAATAGTATATGGTAATGTACACTTGATTTAAATTTGAATTCATGTCGGTATACTCCGTCCCAATAGAACTAATATATGTCATATAGTAAAAATACACTCACTAATTGATACTAACAAATACACATTTATTGAAATCCTGAGGGTTACTGCATATATCACGAATATTTTTTTTAAATGTAACAAAAAAAAATTTCTTTCATTTTTTAAATTGCATTTCAAACAAATTATATGTTTGAAAATTGAGAGAAAAATCATCAAATTTTCTACTTTACTATTACTTTTATTTAAGTTCTATTGGAATGTATATAGTATACTCTGTTCCAATAGAACTTAAAAAAACTTGTTTGACTTGGTATAGACCAAGTCAATCAAGTTTTTTTCAAAAATCCAGAGCGATACCATATGATTTAGTTATAGAACTAAATCATATGGTATTGCTCTGGATTTTTCTATATATAATATGTATATATTTACAAAAAAAAAATCTATGTATATGTATCAGTTATCTAGTACCCATAATACAAGCTTAGCTAGCTTAACTTGGGTCTAGATGGCGCTGTGTGAATTGTCCTGAGATTATTATTATTATTTAATTATATTTCTTAAAAAAATAACCTTTAAAATTTCCATATTTTAAAAATTCACCCACATAGAAACTAAATACTATTAGAACTGCTAATATGAGAAATATGTTATCGTTTCCATTTCAGATGAAAAATAAAAACATTGCTAAATTTGTCAGCGACTGTATTTTGATGCTTGCTGATTATACCGATCGCATCGTAGAAATGTATCCAGGACTGGCCGGTAAATAAATTGAAAAGCTTTTTTTGTTGTTGTAACTATATATTATTTTTAATAGCCTCTAAGCAGTAAGCAGGTTATTTTATTTATTTATCCAACTTCTCTAAAACAATTATTCAATTCAACTATTTTTGTGTCATATAGAAACAAGAAACTCCACATATTTTACAATTTCTCTTTCATAGAATATATTAAGATGTCATTGATACTATTTACAATAGAAAGTGTTTTCTCTACTTTTACTCCTATTCTTCTTCTTCGACTGAAGTAGATATTTTTTCTATGATTACAATTTTATCTGTATTGTAATATTTTATCTTCTGATTTGTTTAGAAATTATAGCAAATGAAGTAACGTCTAAATATTTTGAAGTTTCTGTACAATCGTCCTTTCAATAACGTAATAAGCATGATAATGACAAACATAATAATATACCAAATTTGCACGCCTGTATACACTGAATATTATGTTTAATGAGCACTGTATTCTGCAAATAAAATTATGTGATTTTATTTAAATTTCTCAGGTAAAATAATCAGGTGGATATGCGCGTGCCTAGCGCAAATATCGAGTAGTAGCTCGCGCGACTCGGTAAAGCCGCTCGCTGGCTCGCTGTTGCTTTGTTTAGCGGAGTTCGCGGTGCGATGCGGCCCTGCCTACCTTATGCAGGAGAAAGATGGAGAACAAACTTTACTTCTGCTTATATTCAAGGTAAATGTCATTTTATTACTTTACTAAGATTGCGTTTAGTCGCCATAGGGCCTTGAAAAAAGCCAGATATTTACTTTAAATTAGTTTATATTATTAAATATAATAAATAAATAAATAAAATAAATTAAATATAAACGTACTATATTTATCCAAGCCATTTTTTTACTAGTTACTATATCTATCATCTAGTTCAACTGAAGTAGCTAGCCGATCTAGACGATAGGGATCTATATTAATAATTCCGTCAAGGGGTACGGTAGACTCGAACGAAACCTTATGTGAATAACAAAACATAAAAAAATATTAATTTCGAGTCGACAACATATATCCGCAAAATTCGGATTATGGAGTATTTCGTTAAATTTTAATAACACTGACAAACAAACTGCAGTCGCCATCTTTTCATGTCACTAGCTAACAACCAATCAACACTACGCGTGCGTTCGTGCCAAAGAAACAACACAAACAACTGTGACATGTGACATGTGTCGTTGACGTTTCGCGAAAATATAGTCTTTGACATTTTTTATGATAAAAGAGTATACGGTTATGTTTTTTCTTTAAATTGGCCAATTGCGAGACAAATTTAACAATATTTTTTTATTAATTTGTTTCACGGCTTTGGATACAAGTTCTTTTTAGCCCAACTTAAAGTTTTACAATATAAATTACAAAAATTAAAGTCAATGTCCAATGTCAAATAATAATAAATGTCAAATGTTGTTTCTCTGTTCTGATGAACTTATTAAAAAAATCTTAATAACAATCACAATTTCTTCACATTTTATTATTACACGCATAATACCAGGTATTTGCATTTTTAAATAAGGTTTGGCACTATTGGAAATTAATGGTATTTACCCATTTTTATACGTTATACGGAAATAATGTGTGGGTGTTTATTTAAAAAGCATTAACACAAAATTAATAAAGTATAGGTAGGTATTAATAAATAGATAAATATATGGTTGTTGTATCAAAATAGATTTTCTTATTTTTCACTAAAATTTTTTTTATAAAAAAGCCTTTTCATAGTGTCATATATTATTTAACTGATTGTAAGAAAAAAATGTTGGTTTGTAGCTGTAAAAATTACTATTTGTACGACAAAAATGTATTTTTATTCTGTATAACACTACGACAGTAGTGGAAACATTAGTATATGTACTTAAATTATAAAATTCTGTTAAAGAAACGTCATATTAAACTTTAAAACTAATTTGTTAGAATAAAAGTTTCTGATTAAACAAATCGGTATGGCTATCCCGCTACAGGCGGTAACATTTTTTTTTTGTTCTGTTTATCCTTAATCGGAAAGGCAAAGGGAACTACACCCATACAGCTGAGGTGGTAACTTTATTTGAAAATTTGACATTTAAACCTGTCAATTTAGTCTCCCGGATTAAAAAACAAACTATAACCAAGTATTACTAATTAATAATAGTATTACAAATTAATTACTAAGCTACTTGGTGTCCCTATGGCCACGAGCCCCGCATGTTTATGGGGGCTCGACCCCAGAGTGGGAGAATTGCAAATGGCTAACGCGGAGTGATAGGGAAGGTTGAAAGGAAGAGGAAATTGATAAGAAGAAGGGGAAAAGGACGGTGGTGGACCACGTCGTCGTACTGAAAGAGCGACAAAACTAGGAACTCTGCAAATCCCGGAGAGTCGCGCGGAATAAATAAAAAAAATTAATAAAAATGACGGTCAAGAATGGCAAAAATGTTTGGATGAAGCAATTGGTTTTAAATATCTGGCAAAGTAGAGAATGCTTAAAACAAAGAGGTTAACAGAGAATAAACCTTAAAAGTTATAATTATGTTTTGATAATTTATTTTGAATGTTGATTTAAAATAAAAATTATTTGTATAAATACTTTTGCATTTATTATTTACTATTTATTAAACACATTACACATTACATAGTATTTATTAAACACAATGAACGAAGCTTTACGAAACTATGCCTTGCTTACCTTTAATTTAATCAAGCCTGTTAAGCCAAAGCCAATCATCGTCAACGTGCGTAATTTCAACAGAATTGATAGAACTTTACTTTGTCGGGACGCTACACTTATTGATTGGAAGCCGCTGTATGACACTGCGGAAATTAACGACAAAGTATCTGTGTTTAATATGTTTATCTTATTTATGTTCTGACAAACATATATAGTAAAAAATAATGCGTAAATGTGTTTATATATGGATTACAGATGATGTATTATATCTATATGAAGAGAGACATATATTTATTTATATAAAAAGGAGAGAAGTGCTATATAACTTTAGCTGTTCAAATTAGAAATCGTTTAATCATGGTAAAGAGCTGCAAAACGCCGACATATTCATAAAAATATTTTAAATTCACCTTTTACGTATGGACAAAAATCCTCAATTCCCTTGGTTTTGGAAAGCAACCATCTCCGATTTAACAGTGCCATTAAATAATCTTAATAATAGTATTGATCCTCTGTAACAACTCTCAATACAAGTATTAAACAATCCACATTACAGGAAATTAAATCCATGTTGCACTCGCTTTGACTCGTCACACATTTTCTTCAGTATCTGACGACGATATACGCAAAGCAGTCCTAACCATTAAATCAAATGCTAAGGGCTATGACGAAGTGAGTTGAGCTATGGTCTTTCTTCTATTAGATATAATTCTTCCTGTTCTTACTCACATTGTTAATTTCTCGCTATCCTAGCTGTGTTTGACAAATTGTGGCTAAAGGCATTTGTTATACCGGACCTTGCTAAAATCTCAAATCCTTCTCTTCCTTGTCATTTTAGACCTATATCGATCTTGCCATTTCTCTCAAAAGTCCTCGAGGTTATTACTCATAAGCAAGTTTCCTCTTTTATTGCAAATTCCAACATTCTGAGTCCTTTCCAATCTGGTTTTCGACCTGGACTCAGCACCACCACTGCATTACTCAATGTAACGGAAGATTTTCGTGAGGCTATGGAGAACACTCGACTTACCATCTTGGTACTAATTGACTTCTCCAATGCCTTTAATTGTGTTGATCATGACCTGCTACTGATGTTACTCTCCCACCTAAACTTCTCGCCGTCAGTACTGGAATGGTTTTCTTCCTTCTTCGTGGTCGCCAGCAGGCTGTGCGCTCCGGGCAAACTTATTAACTGGTGTGACTTGGTCGTATGTTTTTGTTCCACAAAGCGGTATTCTCTCTCCACTCTGTTTCTATTTTTATTAATCTTGTTATCTCAACCTCATATTTTCTAACCACCTCTAGAGATGTTTTACAACTTTATGTCCAAGAAAAATGTATATAACATAATGCCATCAATGCAGCAGTTAATGAACTAAATGCAGATCTCAACAGTGTATCCCGCTGGTCCGTCGTTTTGGGTTAAAGTTAATAAGTCAAATGCCACAATAATAATAGGCAGCACAAAACTTCTATCCAAGTTAAATACAATCAATTCGTATGTGCGTTTTGAAAAAAATGTTATCGGTCGTTTTGTCACGTTTACCTAGGTATATTGATTGACCCAACAGTCGATGGCATTTACAGGTAGCGGATATATCTAATAGGGTTACATATTCTCCGTGTTCTTTATCGGTTTAAATTTTAGACGAAATTCCACTGAAATTGCTCGATTGATTGTCCAATCACTTATAATAAAATTTTGATTATGTCATGACGTTTGTCTTACTAATCTCTCCCAAGATCAAATGAATAAGTTGGACCGATTACGTTAACAACTGTATTCGGTTCATTCAGTTTTTTAGGAGAAAGTATGACCACGTCTCTAAATCGACGTCACAACTTAAATGGTTGTCAAACGTAACCGCAGAAACTTGCGTATTTTGCACAGCCGATTTCTCCATCATATTCGACTCTTCCTCTAATGTATATTTAAAAATAGATTTCGGTTCAATTAATCTTACTCTCATTCACGTAACCTAATATTCATTCAGATCCTTCTCTCTATCCCATCATACAAGCTTTATGTCAAACTCCTTCACAGTTACGGCAATTAACCTCTGGAATATAATGCCTGTAGACCTGCGTAGAGCACCGAGTAAGACCATTTTTAAAACGAAACTATTTAATTACCTGTTGAGTCGTCAAAATGAGCTTTAACTGTTTGGCGTTGAGTTAAGTAGGTACTTTCAACTGTATTTAGCGTATTTATGTATTTATTCTGTATAATTTATATATTTCAATATATATATATATATATATATATATATATGTGTATATTTAAAGTATATATTATATTTATATAACATAAATTATATATGTACATAGATTTTGTTGACCTAATTATTTAGTACAGTATTAATATCACAAATTTTCGCCATTACTGCCCTACAACGCTTTCTAGTTCTACCCAAAGGTTAGCTGGTAGAGAATGCCATATGGCATTAAGCTCGCCTCTTGTACACTCTTTATAGTGCAATAAATATAAAAAAAAAATATTCTTTGAGAACCAATGACTACAGAAATATCTACCCGAGCGAAGCCGGGTTTTCATCTAGTAGTTATATAAAATTATGACTTCTATAGGTGTCCAAAACAGACATATAACATATAAATTAATTTGAATTAGGCGAGAAATTACGTAGAAATGGTACAATCCTTTATGTTTAATATGTTTATGTACCTAATTTATGACTTTCTGTATGCATAGAAACACTATATAGTAAAAAATAATAAGTAAATGTGTTTATATATGTTGGAATGGAATAATATTATATATAATATGATTTTTAAAACATATATTTATTTATATACAAAAATAAAGAAAGGTACAAAAAATGTATATAATAATTATGGTCTTACGAATCACAATTTCACATTTTAAATTAAACACGTAACTGCACTACCACAAACGTATGTAGCTGTGAAGTGAACATATATTTTTGAGTTCAACTTTATTTATTGACAAAAATCACTTATATGTATGCAGTTACGTGTATAACTTATGCATTTCACATAATCGTGTTATTTACATAGTATGTGATATCGGAGTGTAGTAAAACCTACACAAAACCGATGAGCAAACATTAGAATAATAATAAGTGCTAACATTACGGAATATTTTTAGAAATGTTGGCCCATATTATAACTCACACACGGTAACAATTCACGATATTTGGTTAAGCTTGTGTCATAGTCTGCACTTTATAATTGAACTACTTGATTTACTGTTGGTATTGTTGTTGGTTATTCTGATGCTCGATGTGCTCCTGTGGTTGGAAGCCGTGCTCGTTAGCTGTGTATGTGACAGAGTATGTAATACCGTCGGGCGCGACGTACTTGTAGCTACCGGACACTTCGATCGCCTTGTGATCCTCGCTCACTTGTTTTAATGTGCCTTGCTCCTGACGGGATGTGCCATCGCTTGTTTCAAACCTAATAAATTAATCAAATAAATAATATAAACCTGTATATTTTAGATAGAATTACTTAAAAATGCATGCCGATTTACATAAAACATTAATTAAATTGTTACTCTTATGTATTTATTGCAAATGAGTTTTAAAAAAGAACTATATCACCGAAAAGATACTAACGTCATAGGAACAAAGCCGCATAAAAAGACTAGTATGTTATAAAGAAGTTAGCATAATCCTTACTCGAATTGGTAGCCCTCGGGATTGACATCAGCCGCTTGCTTCAGGATGTAGACGGGGTTTTGTTCTTGTTGTGGAATTGCCAGAGCGACGGCCACAAAGGCTAATGCGAATAACACCTGCAAACAATATTTTAACTGAGTACTGAACTTGTGTATTATTTTGATTTAGTATGTTTTTGTATCAACTGCCAAAGAATTAATCTAAGAAACATTACCCTCCTAGTATTCAGGTGTATATTTAGGCAATGCGTAATTTAAATAACTTAACATATTTTCAAATAAGGTCTCAATAGATTTGTTTTACATAATAGACTAAGAAATATGTATATAACATATTTATGACTATCCTTTTTTACCCCACTAGGTAAAAACATAATTCATATTGTATTCAACTTTGATAGAATTACTTTATATTAATTATTGTGTGTTAAAAATTAATAAAACTTAATCTAACTACTTACGGATTTGTGCATTTTTAGAATAGTTTTTTTACACAAGCGTAACTGTAATCGAAAGCTGCGGCTGACTGTGAAGATAACGGTGCAGACGGCCGTTTTAAACGCTTACCTTAATTGATGACAAAACTTTTTTTAGTGATGCACTGTCCATGTAATATAGTGCTAATAAGAAATCCATATACAACAATAATCATTACATAATATACAATTTTAGACGAAATACATGAAAGCGTCGATTGATTGTTTATGCAAACATGTTAATAAAATTGACCCCATTTGTCATATTATTTTTCAGGTGCTACATGCGGTGATGAAAGGATCAAATGGATCAGACATAGAAGGCCTATCACTACCCGTTGACGAAGACTTTGATTCAAATATTCAGTTGGATAATTTAGGACCCAAAACCACCCCAGCGTCCACAATCGACGTCAAATTGTGGGCTCAAACGGTAGGAAATAAATATTTTTTTATTTACAGCCGATTTACAATGTATGGTCTTATTAATGTATATACACTATCAAATACATTTCGTTCAATATAATCTTATACTGAACGAAATTAATTTAATAGTATGTGTATAAATAGTTAGTTGTCTAAATAGGATCTACCTATAATAAAATTCTAACAATTGCCACACAAATTCTCCTGCATGGAATTGAATGCAATTTTTTTATCCGCTTTATTCCAGGAAAATATCTTACTTGCGAACCAAAGTGGATTACAAGGTGAACACAAGCGACCGCTATATATTTGTCGTTAACAAATACTATTATTAATTAAAAAATCGTATAGTTCACATATACATATTCATTTATGCATATGTGACGTGACTCACATATAATGGTCATATTTCACGCGGCAGATATGCACGCAACTGGTGCTGTTCTTGGGCCATTGGCCTCTATGGAGCGGTTGCCAGCTGTCGTCAAGCGTGTGCGAGCACCACGACAGCCCAACGCTAGGCGGCGGCGGAGAGCTGGGCCCGGCGGTGCTGACGGCGCCGCACGTGCAGATGATGCGGCTCAGCGACACCACGCTCGCATCCTTCGTCGAGCTGCCCGCGCTCGACATGCCCGCCGGCGCCGCTGCCACCACGCCCGGTATACATAGCATTCCATACGTTGGCGTACCCAACGAACAACAACAAGGTTCTGAAATGGAGTATCCCTGCCCTGGTGCCTTGCGACTACGAGGCTCCGTCCCAAACCATGTGCCATCTCTTGTCGAGCCCTTTATGTCCAGCAAAGTTTATAAGACACTTTAATAATGAATTATTATATCTTTTAAGATAATTTATAAATTTTAAACCAAACTCTGAAAGATAAATGTGAAATAAACAATAAAATTTTAAATATAAATGCATTCCACTTACATACTTTTACATAAAACATACTCGCAAACAGGAACAAAAGAGTGAACAAAAAAACTAGTTAAATGATTCCTCACGATTTCGCGCACTGGCTTTCCCGCGCATACTAAATAAATTAAACACTCGCGTGTGATTGAATATGTCGTGGGAAGCCAGCTAATAGTATTGTGCCGCAGGGCTGGCGACGTCGGACCGACAGGTGCGCGTACTGCTGCGTGACATAGCCGGGAAGGCGTGTTGGGACGCGTCCGCGCTCTACTACGACCCGTCCAGCTCATCCACAGAGCCACTAGAACCGTTGCCACTGCCCGACTGGTAAACTCTTCACCACCATTGTTATTTGTTACTATCAGACTTTATCGTTTTGGATACAGAACATCACCCCATTCATGCATTTTTTATATACAGATGGTTACAATTTTTGTCTGTGTTCTGTGCGTTTGTAAATGTAGTGTTTGATTTATTTCAATCGTTTTAAAAACAAAAAAGGAATATGTGTACGGAGCTAAAGGCACTTCATCTATCTGGTACTAGTCATGGAGGTATCATTTTCATTATTTGGACCTCATAAATGATTATTTTTATTTTACAGTTGTCACTCAGAAACGCTTTTGACTATAATGAAATGTTTATTGCAGTATCGACAGTCCGAGAGATAACACGCTGTCCTCATTACCACCCCCTTTACCGCCTGATTTATTGCCGGATTACAAAAACTCGCCACCTGACAAACATCAATTAGATCACGTGAGTACACCATCATTATGGCAAATCATTGGAAAATTTTTGTTCCGCTAAATTATAATTGCTATTTTGAATGTATTTAATAGATACTCTATCCCTCCTTCGTACGGTAACGTTAGGAAGAAATATATGTTCCCACTCCTTTTTGTCCGTAGGATTGTAATAAACAACCGACTAGGAGAACAAACCATGTCACATCGGTATAAGAAAAGAAAAAAATAATATTATTCTACTCGCATTATGAGAAATACCCCATCAGCTAACAGGGGATTATTATTACCAGACCTTTGTGGATCTGTAGCCAGTAAAGAAACATATTTGGTTACTTTCTTGTGAACATCCCACGACGGATCACACTCTAGATATCTATCCTTTTATCCACGTCTATCCTGTTAATCACGACCCCGTCAAATGCCGCCAGATGCGCCAGGTGCCCCGCCAGACTACAACGCAGTGCAGACGTGTGCACCATTATATTCTTTGTCGATTTCTCAAAATGAGGCTTGTGATCACTAGGAATGCTTCTTCCAACCAAAACTCTCCTGGCATCTCTATCCTGTTCCAATTAGACTACCGATTGTATATTTGCCATTATATTATCATACATTAAACATTAAGCGGACGCAACTGTCAAAAGACCGTTTAAAAACAATTCAGTTTACGGTGGCTTCATATTAGCTTTTATAGAATTGTATTTATAGCTGGTTGTACCACTGGTATGTCAGTTTTTATTATGTTTAAAACATGTTTGTGCAGTATTTCGATTGTTTTTGCGAAGTATTGGAGTTTTTGGAAATGTGTAGCACGGCGATTACGCGACCAATCCAATCCAATTGATATAGACAATGAACCTAGCATACATCGGGCACACGTCGCCGGAGGTGTCGTGCGGACGACGGCTGGACGCATGCGGCCCCTCGCCACTACCTGCCAACTCGGAACATGAGCTGGTCGCCGCACTCGTAGCGCATCGGAACACCGAGCGGCAATATCTCAGCACCAAGGACAGGTTTGGATCTTTCTATATATTTTAAAAGGGAGTGTGCACCCGTCAATTCAGGGTTTAATTATGTGACCTACTACATCGAGAATTCGGAAGCTTCAAATGATACAGTCGAGAGACATAAAAGAAGTGGATAATGAAAAGGTGAAAATCAACTTGCTAGCTGAGCACTAGAAATGAATGATATGAAGTCAAATCAGTTGACTTCAGGGCGAAAAACCGGAAGAATGTTGTTAGCTCGATCTCGCCCACCAGAAGCTATACCATCAGGTTTTTTAGCCGGTATTCCAGCAGTATTTTCCTGATTTATTAAATAAAAGGTCAGTTGGAGGTGAATTCACAAAGAATTAATGACGTTGGTTTCCGTAATTCGTGATCAAATAATACACCACCTCCCAATTGCAGCCATGGTTATAGAAGAAAAGTAAATTCATTATCAATTAATAAGATGAAATTATAAAATAACAATAGCACTTTTTAAATTTATACCTAATATAAGTCATTAATCGGTAGTATGGCCCTCACTCAGCATAACCTGTGACAGCTTACAGTCACAGAGTTGATGTTGTAAATTAGATTACTGTATTACCAGCAGAGTGACGTATAATGTGGGCAGGTGCGAGGTATGGGAGCCGGCGGAGAGCGGCGGGGCGGAGGGCGCGCACGCGTTCGCGCAGAGCCGGCGACTGGTAGCGCAGCTCGGCACGCTGGCGCCCGCGCGGCGCCCGCACGCGCACCTGCTGCGACGCACCGACCGACTGCTGCGCGACCTGCGCAACCTCGACGCGCACAGGTAACACGCACACTATACCTATACACACAGGGCCGCTTCGCCCGTCTCTGTGAAGTGTGAGGCGCACACGGGCGCCGAGGCAATACGGGCGCCGCGCGCCGCCATCCAATTATTTTTTTAGTTGAAGCCAACAAAGATAGCATAGACTATTTTAGACCATATGCCATCTATTAAAGACATTTATAATTTTCTATTGTTAATTAATTAAATTCAGTGATATAAACTACAGCAAATAGCGACACCAACGTTTAGATCAGAACTTTTTTCTTGAGGCAAATGCTTACTTATTTATTTAACATTATAATACTATCATAGTAATTTACTTCTCATTTATTTCGGTCAAAATTAACAAATAATAAAATTTAATAAGCTGACACATGAAGATTTGTGAAAAAATATGCGATTGATAGGTTTCGCACACAAGCGCTGTATGGGGAACGCGCGCCCCTGTATACACTCACATACACTATAGATATACACTCACATACCCCCGAACGATCCCCCGTCTAATTCAAACGGACATCGAAATTATGTCTGCCTGAGCCGAGGTTCGAACATCTAGCGGTGACCTCTGACTAAAGTTGTATCCGTCAGGCGGTAGTTTTATTGTATTTATTTATTTAATTAACACAATATAAACTTACAGCTAATTGCCAACACGTTTATATTTTAAAACTATTTATACTACTTAAAATTATACTATGATAAATATATTCTTATTTTAGTAATTATGGAAGGCAAGGCTTCTGTATAAACGTCTTGGACCTTACCTAAAAATAAATTTAATAATTGCAATGCTCTCATAGTGGGAGAATTGCTAGCGTGGCTTGTGCGTACCGTCGCGGTTGCAAACAGTCGGACACGATGACGGGTGACACTTCTCACGTAATTCGGAGGGATATTGAATCCTATCCGTTCTACAACTGCGGGATTATCTATTTGGTTGCGCAGCAGAAAACAGTAATGGACAGCAAGTACTAGTTTCCTTCTAAGTAGTAATGAATCTATGTCTATCATACCTATTACAAATAAAGATGGGAAAAGGAATGGGTAATAACCATATTTTTTCTTATATAAGAAGCGAGCAAATTTCTTTTGTACTTTTTCTAGAAGTTGTGAATATTTTGTAGTACTAGGATCAGATAAGACCAATGCTGGTATATGGGGCCTTGGTTTGGTGGACAAGGTCGAAACTTACGACCACAGTCAACAAACTAAGATCTTTCGTGCTCCTCAGTTACTGGATGTATGAAAACAACCCCAACAATGGCAATGGAAATAGCCCTTAACATAACACCCCTCGACCTATACATACAGCAGGAAGCAGCTATAGCTGCCACAAGATTATACCATCTTGGTCTATGGGGCAAAAACCATTACAGTTCTCACACTACCATCCTGAACCAACCAATCGAATATGAACCCTTGATTGCCGCTCCGTGTGATAGAACTCAAGCATACCACTCATTCAACAGGAAATACCAAATACAATTGAAGGAGGAGGAAAGGGACCAATCTGCAGTAAATGAACTACGCATATACACAGATGGCTCCAAAACACAGAACGGTTCAGGAGCTGGGGCACATTCACTTGACCTCAACATGAACATATATATACCGCTCGGCAAACACAGTTCGATCTTTCAGTGCGAATGTGTTGCCCTGACCGAGGCAGCAAAAGCCGTGTATAGGTTAGGGGTCAACAATTTCAACATTAAATTCATATCGGACAGTGCAGCCGTGCTTAAAGCACTACAGAACAAAAAATCCAACAACAAACTAATAATCGAGTGCCACATCGCCTTGGAAAAAATTGCAACGCACAACGGAGTAATTATCCAGTGGATAAAGGGGCACAGTGGATCATATGGCAATGACGCCGCGGACGAACTAGCGAGAGTAGGTTGCAGGCCCCCTCCCACTTATGCCAATACCATTCTCGCAACTTCGCACCTGGATTCGCCAGAGATCCACCGAAATACAAAACCAAAGATGGAACCTAACCACTGATTGCAAACAATCTAAAGTGGCAATTCCAAAAACGAACCATCGGTTAACAACACGTCTACTTAATCTAGATAGACATAACCTCAAAATAATGATAGGGACAATAACGGGCCATTGTTCCTTAAACAAACACTTATACAAAATTGATTCTACAGACAGCCCCCTTTGTCGGGGCTGCTTTGAAGCTGAAGAAACGGCGGCTCACGTAATCCTGGAGTGCACGGCAGTGGCCCAACAACGAAAACAAATCCTCGGAACGGTGAGGTCGCTCCGTGAAGCCTGTGAAGACACCAGGAGTCTTCTGCGCTTTTGGGAGGAGCTTGGCTGGCTACTTTAGTAGTCTGGCTCTACACGCACAACGGCCCAAATGAGAGGCTAATTGCGGAGACTGGAGTCCAACATACAATACAATACAATACAATAGTACTAGGATCCCAGATAAGTGAACCGTATTCCAGCTTATTGCGCACAAAAGCATTATATAATAAAATTGCAGTATTAGGATCATGAAATTGTGGCACCGTTCGCATTATGAAACCTAATGATTTATTGGCTTGTTTGCAGATGTTGATGATATATGGCCCTGGAAATCAAGTTTGGTATTAAAAGTTATCCCTAGATCACGAACTTCAAATGTCCTGTTGATCCTTCAGCCGCTCCATAAGTCCTTCCGCGAGTTTGAGCTGGTAAAGGCCAGCTGCGGCCAATAACATTAGAGTAGTCCGAAAAATAAACTACGGACGCACACTTTTTTATTTTAGATATTTTACTATTGGTTTTGGGAACATATTCATAAAAAATATTTATTTTAGGTGCCGAGAAACACACAAAATCGCTGTTATATACGTTGGAAAAGGACAAGAGACGCGAAACGAAATTTTGTCCAACCGTTGCGGTAGTCCTGCTTACGAAGCGTTCCTGGCCGCATTAGCTTGGGAGGTAAACTAAAAAACGCGCAAATAAATTATAAATATTTTCTGGCTATACACTTTCTGTGTCACGCTGTTTTAGGTTGACTGGAAGAGAGCTCTATTTGCAAAATTTCTAACATGTATTTAAATCTTGTATATAAAAGTGCAATAAAGATTGATGAAAGTACGTGATATCTCCTACAGGTGGAGTTGGAAAGCCACGTGGGGTTCGCGGGCGGTCTGCGTGGCGGCGGCGGCGGCGGCGTGAGCGCGCCCTATGTGGCCACGTTGACCTTCGAAGCATTATTCCACGTCGCCACACGCATGCCCGCCGACACGCCCGACGCTATACTCAACAAGGTTATTATTTTACTACTATATTTTGGAAGTGAATATTCTATATAGATGTATTAGGATTTTTGGCCACAAAACGAAAGCGTTACCGTAAGAGAAAGAGAAAGGCTGGTGGCGGCGGAGAGACTACGGCGCGCGGTGAACGTGGAGAATGGATGAATGAATACACAAAACTATAAGGCGCATCGTCGATCATATTGGATTCAAATATAAAGTAACGCTTGCATATTATTGATAGTAGTAATATCAGGTATGCATTTAAATACCATCCATGTTTATACATAATAGTTTTATTGGTATTCCTGTTATAGACCCGGCATCTGGGCAACGACGAGGTGCACGTGGTGTGGAGCGAGCACTGGCGACCGTACAAGCGCGACACGCTGCCCACGCAGTTCTGCGACGTACTCATCGTGCTGTACCCACTACCTGGCGGCATGCTGCGCTGCACCGTCTCCAGGAAACCAGATGTTAGTAACACTGACCACCGCTTCTATAGATTTCAGTTAATGAACATTGTTAAAAACAATATAAAATGAGATTTGTACTTTAGTAGCTAAATCAAGATTCACGAATTATGACCTCATGTCTCATAGAAAAGGAAATACGTTATATTTAGTCAAATAAAAAAAAACTTATTATAAAGTGTTCCTTTAACGCTAAATTGAAATTAAAGCAATGCGGGCCAAAGGCATTGGCAAGGGTATGATGATAAGGGCGTTGTGCAGGTGGGTGTGTTCGGGCCGGTGTGGGAGGAGATGGTGGTCCGCGTGGAGTGCGCGGCGGCGCTGGCCCGCGGCGCGGCGGCGGCGGGCGGGCGGGCCGTGCGCGCCACCATGCCGCTCTACCAGCACGCCTACACCGAGCGCGCGCGGGCGCTTCACGCGCTCGTGCACGCGCACACGCACCCCGCCACCTTCGAGCACTTCGTCGAGCGCGTGCGCGAACCCGTGCCTGCGCCCGCGACCGCCGTCCAAGCCGCACACGCAGGTACGTCTACGGCCCAATAATCCTGCTAAATCAAATATGAATAATATTTTTTTCTTGTTGATTTTGATTCTTTTTTTCTCTTTGATTGAGATCTTTGATTCTCTTTGTTGATTGATATTGTTTTAAAGGAAAAAAATACTTGTCTCCATAATTATCACAATATTAAAAACCCGTTTTTTTTTTTTTTTATATTCAGTTACCTACTGATAAAATTTAATTAAATTAATCCAGCGTAAATTATAATTCTTTAATTTTGACATTGGATTGTTCTGTGAAGTAAACGGTATATCAATTATATTCTCTGACTTGTAATAAAATATAAAATAAAGTAAAATTACAGTCAATATAAATTTGTGTTTACGGTACAGAGCAAGGGAGCGGTCGGTTAGCGGCGGCGTTGTTGGACCACGGCGCGAGCACGTGGGGCGCGGCGGCCGACAATCACTCGGTGTCCCCGCGGCCGGCCAAGCGGCTCGGGCCGTTCAAACGGCCGCCCGCGACCCTCGCCGGGCCCGCCACCGCGCCGCCCCACGTGACGCAGCAGCCGCCGCTGGCCCCGCACGTGTCCGGCCCCGCCCCCGCGCCCGCCCCGCCTACAGCCACGCCCCCCGCGCCCGCTCCGCGCCGCAACCGGTGAACTCCTCCATATTATACCACCCGCCGAATAAATAAAGTTGCAGGCAGATATACAAAATTCCACAAAATACAAAATTCCAATTGTAATGCAATTAGTACGCGACGGAAACGGGGATAAAATTTTTAATAAACTGAATAATTATTTTCGGAGAATATGTGTTACACGGAGCATGTTTACTAATTTGGTCATCATTGGCGGGTTTATTTTTGTGAAAAGCATTTTAATTTATATGAATACGTAAATTACTTAGCACTTCGCAGTAATAAAATCGTGGACAAGTTATTTGTTTGCATTTATACAACTTTATACAATTGTTTGGATTACATAGCAATAATAACAAGGAGTAGTATAATATTTATATATTCGACAAATAAAATACGAATTCTAAAAAAAATTGAAAAATACCTAAAATCTATTAAATGTAAAGATGTAATTAAACTATTAATGTAATTCTTCTTTGTATTCGCGGAAGTAAACTACAGCATTATATTAGTCGGAGACCAATTGCTGATAAATACATTACATTTATTGGATATCCAATTATTATTGGCGAATAGGCATGAAGTAAAAAAAGGTTATGGCGACCGCTTTAAAAAACCCAATCTGCCTACTATGCCACGCCTTTTTTATAGCACGTGTATAATGCAAATATTATCTTTCTGTGGAAAAATAATATTTGCATTATACACGTGCCATATCAAGTTGCGATGGCAACCAAAAAGTATTATATTGTCCCATTAACCTAATGTACCTATTATCTTCGTATGCGCTAGAACCTAGATAAGACATCTCAGTTTTTATTACTTTTAATTACCTGTTACACTACAATATCAGTCCTATTGAAATATGTCACGTAAGAATAAAAAGGCCTAAGTTGATAGTTGAATTATAATTTATTGATAATAGTAAAATGACATGTCTTTAATAAAAATAAGTGTATATGTAAAAAATAAGAATGGTTATGTCTACTGCTGCTAAATATTTGCAGTAAGAAAATTGAATTACGCCACGCTACTTACGCAACAAAATAAATCGATAGCGCTACAGATGACATCGCAATCACATAAATATATATATATGTAATTGTTTCGCCTGGGTGCTCATAACTTTGTGAGTTTTGTGTATGTTAACATATATAACTTCTCTCACACACTAAAACAGTGTATGAATTTCTCAAATCACTCGAGGTTCCGGAGTTTACTCCTTACAAGAAAATCCGCTCTCTCTATATCTATACCATAGTACTATTAGTATTAATGAAGTGCTTTGCTATCTTCTAATAGACTCTTATCACTTATTGGAAATGGAAGGTAAGACTAACATTATGTATTCTTACTACTTCATCATTTAAATATAATTTTTTTTTCAATAACGAGTATGAAATAATATAACGAAGTACGAAATTCCATTTCATTTATCTATCAAGAATAATTTATTAAATTGTTGACAGTCTTCAAATTGCTTGAAGTTCAATATTTATTTAAATATTAAGTTGGCAATTATGTACAGCGAACTGTTCATGTGTTGTATTATATATTAAAATTAATATTTTACCTACATACTTAATTATGATATGTATGATGTATATAAAGGTTATGAAAATCTATATCACTTACACCTACTGTAATAAAAGTAGTACTGATAACAGGATAATCCCATATAAATACTTGATCTATGTTATGGTTAGTACAATGTGAAGTATTCACTCACTATAAAATATGAAGTACAGAGAATACTTCTATATCTTTGACAGTCACCTCTCTTCAATGAGCAACCCTCGTATAATCTTTAATTTTTAAAACTATACCAGAGTCAGCCAAATTTTGAGAGTGGCAAACTGTATAAATATTATATTTATAAAAATATACATGGATTTATAAATAATAAATTTGTAGGTTTATACAATATAATTTATAATCAATGATCTGTACTTATTAACACAATATATTTGTAACCTGTAGCTTGATCTTGCTTTAGTACAAACATCTAAAGATTAACAATTGGAAATTATTGCTTTAATTATTATGTATTATATCTTGAGTACAAGAGTATATATTTCTGTTTCTTAGGTTAAAATAAATGTTCATAATTTTTGTTTCATGTGTATTGTTGAGATTTGTGTACAATTACATTGATTTGTTAATTAATTCGTCCAATGAGAGATTCCTAGTAATAGGACTGTAAACTTAATGATTAAAATATGTACTTAATTATTTTTAAGCTTTTTTTTTAGTCTTGCATTTAAAATGTTTATGCTATGTTAAAGTTTGATAAAAACAAACTTTTTAAATAATATACAAGATTAATGCCTATTATCTCTTATTTAATTTTAGTACATTGTGTCTTTACAATATTATAAAAAATATACTTTGTACCAATAATATATTAAGTAATTGGTTTTGTATTCATATTTAACATTTCACCAATGGTTTCTGTAAATATGTAAACTAGTTGTAGAGCTTTAACTGTAATAGTTGAATTTATACTGTAAACCCCCTGTGTATTATTTACACACACATAAATCGCGCTATATTTAATTTATCAGTATTGTCACTATCTTTAATGAATTTATATTTTGTAATCACTATGTTTAATATTACTAATGTAATGATGCAACATTTTTATGCAAAGTAGTAAAATCTGTGAGAACACAAAAAGTTATAATATCTGCATTACATTGCCACTAAATAATAAATGGTGCTTAAGAAACGAAATTCTATATAAATCTACATTCCATGCTGTTATTATGTAGGTATATATTAGCAACAAAAAATAAAAATTGCATATAATTATAAATTAGTAGTACTTCTTTTACATACTTAAAAAAATATTTTGCATTTACTTTATAACACTGTATGCATTATAATTTTGCTGTTAATTATTTTTATGCATTCCATGATATTTTCGAATATACTGTATTTGTTTCAAAACCATAATTGTATTAACTCATATTTCTTGGAAAAAACTTTTCATTTAATCAGTATTTTATAGATACTAAGACTGACACAAGATTCGTAAACTTATAGATAATGAGATCACTAAGTATTAAATTATTAATATAATAATATTAAATAATGTGGTGGATCCTTAATTAATATAATGTTAATTTATAAATAGTTGTTGATCAAAATAATAGCTTAACAAGAAATTTGTCGCTTTATTAATTTATAAACTGGATATTAACCCACAGACATTATGTAATGTAACCAAATTTTTTATATTAAGTATAGCAGGATAAAAATAAAGTTGTTGAAACTTTTTTATATTTTTATTTTCAATCTTACAATACATCATATATTTATTTATGATTTGGGCAACATATACATACCAACTTGTAAAACAAGCTGATGAGATCGTACTTTTGTATCTAAAAATTGTCTTAGTTCCTGAAGACTGCATTCAGTTCCTGGAGCAAACATTTTTAGCATTTGATGAATACGATCTAGTGGCAATGAATTCAAATTAGTCAACATCGCAAATATGTAAGACCAGAACACTTGAAGGTCCCTCTCTCTCTGATCATGTGCTGAAGCCATGGCACTTTCTGCTTCATCATCTTCACAAATCATATCTTGAACTTGATTTGTAGCAACATCTGTTTTGCCTGCATCGGAACCATCTACCAAAACATATACATCTGTACACTTCTCTGAAATTAAGCCCATTGACTGCCAATATGTTATTTTTCTTCTTAATATAGTGACAGGTACTTTCATTACTTGATGAAGATCATCTAGTGACCACTCTGGTTTAGTTTCAAAATGCATAATTAAAGTAGCATTGAAAGGAGAAACTGTTAAATCTAATTTTTTGTTCCCTATTTCAATTTCTATATTGACATTACCAAGATGTGGTTTCCAATCTAGGGTTCTATTTCCTTTTAGTGCTTCATATGATTTAGTATATGTTTTGAAATGATTTTTTATTTCCTCAGGCAACTCTAAAGTTTCATCTTTGAAAGGTGGCCAGAATTGTGCTGATAAAATCATGGCATTTGAAGTAAACTTATTTGCAGCTTCAAATTCTTTATCTTGTTGTATTAGTGCATTAATACGTTTGGAATCAGATATATCTTTGAGCATTACTTCACAAAAGTGTAATTGTGACTCTCCAAATCTCAGTTTTAATAGTTCTAAATACCTTATTTCCTTATCTGTGTTAATAACACTCTGTGCTAATAGTCTATCAGCTAATAATGTTCGGTATTCATTGACAAATAACTCCTTGCTACCATATACATTGACCAACATTGAAATTATATCACCTGCCTTTCTATCACTAGCACTGACTTTAGGATCTGCATCTACTGGATCAGGATTCCACTCATCCCATGCTTCATCTTTGTCACATTCTCCATCAGTTTCTGCTGCAAATTTAGTGAGTTCTTCAGCTAATTCACTACTGGCACCATCCTCAGTGAGACTACTTACTACACTGCGTACAGTATCTTCTCTGTTCCTCAAGTAACTGCGTACAGGCTTTGTGACAGTATCTAGTATGACTCCTGATGGATCCAGATGACGCAATGCTCTTATGGTTGACACATAAGCAGTCAGTATATCAGTTGTATTTACACCATGGTGTAACAGTCTTGTTTCTAAAGCTACTTGCAACTTCCTACAAAGAGTTGGCCGTAAATCAGTTTTCTCTAAACATAATTTAATATCATCCACTGCAGGTTGTGAATCTGGATAATCAATAATAATGTTAAAGAGCTGGTCAATTCTCAGTTTACCATAACTATGGTATAAATAATGGCTAAGCTTTTGTTTAAACTTTGCAATAGCGTTTTGAATATTTTTGTCATCAGGGGGAGGTTTTGAGGACCCTGCACAATATATTCTTGTTAACCAGGACATAACAGTAGTGTCAAGCCAATTTTCTAAGAAACTTATGTGTGATACATCAAATGTTCCATCACACAGTTTTTGTATTTGAGATTCAATTCTTAATTGAATAAAATTTGTTAATACTTGACCTGTTAGTCTCTCCAATAAATTGAGTTCCATCAACTTCCTATTAGTGTCATGAAAAACTTTAACAATGTAAGCACAATTACAATCAGAGTATTCATTCCAACAGCCAGAACACATTACATCTTCCCCCATATCAGAATTTTCATACTCGTTATCAAACACGTTAAAAGATACTTTGTAGAAGTAGTTTATGATGACTTGGTAATCTAAAGGGAGTTGTGACAGAAGGGTTGCCCGCACTAATTGTTTAAAACCAAGTATAACATATTTTTCACCAAATATAGGTTTGTTATCTCCACAGCTACTATTTAGAATAGTTAGTCGCCGTAGCATATCATAAAATTTAGATACCGCCTCATATAAATCGTTTACAGCAGATTTGAACAATTGAAAACCCTTGATCTCCTCTTCAACTTTTACAAATTTAGACCAAAAAGGAGGTGCTATATGCTGCCGGAGATATTTCTCAATGTGAACAAGTATAAGGTCACGTATTCTGACCTGAATGCCCAAACCGACAATTATTTGTTGAATGTTTTCATATTCAGCATCTGTACAGTCACTGGAGATTGAATCGCTGAGAATAGGGAAAGCGTAATTTATTTTATTCCAATAAACCTTCAGATCTCCAGATTTACATGACATTTTAGTATACAATATATTATACTAAATATTTAATTCAAACTTAGAAATTAATATCTTCTAAAAGAAAGAAAAAAAATAAATTTAGAGAGGGTTATGTTTATCGTAGATGATATAGACTGACATAAACATATTGAAGTCTCTGTATTTCTGCATAGGTATGAGACTGCGTAATGAATGACAACTTTGACAAATCGCCAATTTTCTTTTTCCTCGTACAAAGGATTTCAAATATTTCGAATGTTGACCGCTAGACTACTAGCAACTGTTAGTATCTTGCTAATTTGCTAGCAGATATATCGCAATAAGTTCGCTAGAGAATGTGGTTACAGCACGACGATGCCTCCGCTCGCTACTCATGACAAGTACAATTTTTAACAATTTTTAAATGAAACTTACGCATGTCGATGGATTGGAATTGCAGGTACTATTGCATGGCCTCCAATTTGAATCCTTTGATTTAACATATTAGATAGGTATATACTTTTCGATACATATATTAAACTGACTATATACCACTTGATTAATTTTGACCAAGTCCTGTAAAATAGCCGGTTTACCGATCACTACATATGTATATGGTAATTTTTTATGAAATTCCGGTAGTAAAGGTATAAAGGCATGGCAAGAGCTTTTGAAAGTAAACAATTAACTACTATATTTTCCAACGGAATTTTCACGAACAGAGACATTCATTATTCATTTTGTTTAAATCAGTCAGTCAATCAACCTTGGTATAGTATGTTATTTCAGTAATTATGGCACCAACCATGTCGGCCATACGATAAGATTTAAATTTTTAACGCAGGTACTACTCCGAACTAGGTTCATAGAAAGAAGAATACGAGATTAATCAAGGATATAATGAATTATTACAAAATTTTATTTTATGAACTTCATATGGTATTTTTTTACAGTATTTTACATATAAGTATGATATTTTATGGAACTGTATGTATGTCAACTTGTATTCAACAAGTAATTTGATACTTTATTGAATGATAGGTAAGCATATAAATTATCAGGACCAACTAATTATGTAACTTCGTTCGCAACGATTTTCGCATGTAACGTAGTGAAAATGACGTCATTGTCAATAATGCGATCATATAGACGCCATTTGACGCTGTCAACTAGCATTGCAACGTAAACGCAACTTTACATATCGATAAAAATTATTTCTATCGAATGTCGATTTAGTAACCTCGTTGCAACGTCACGTAATCGCTATTTTGCCGAAATGACAGCGTGGAATTGAAACGGTTTTTACATTATGAGAAACAATTTAGAAGGTGTTTCTTTTGGTTACAATCTTTAAAATATCAGCATTAGCAGCATTATTTATCTTGTTTTGGTAATTTTCAGTATTACATATATTTTTATTATATTAAATATTACGTAGAAAGTCGTGAAAAGGTTTTAAATTCATTAAAATGGGAAAATTGTCACGACTCACAACACGACATCAGTGTTGCCAATTCGATATTTTATTTTCGTCCCAAATCACATAGAATGTTGTATTAACTAGAGTAAATGTTTAATATAAAATTAGGGTTGATTATGATATTAATATAATTAAAAAACTATTTCAATGAATACGGTGCTCTGTGAACGGAATACAACGTTTATGATGCTCTGTGATTTGTTTAAAGTAAATAAATTTATTTGTTTAAAACAATTATGTACAAATTTAAAAAGATGTGCCCATATCATTTTAAATTTATATGGATACCTACGTACTTACCTAGGTATCTATAGCAGAAAAGAAAATTTAATTTGTAGGTTAGATTAATATTATTAATGATTATAAATAGTTTGTATAAAATATGCTTTTATATTCAAAATTATTAACCTTATTTTTTCATTAGAATAGAATAGACTTTCTTTATTTTATTTTATTAAATGTCTATTAATAAAATTAAAATAAAAGAACAAGTGAACGCTGCAGTATATTTTGTAATTTTTGAACGCAATAAAAATTGTTTCAAATCAACCAACTAGTGTAACAACCCAATAAATTAAAATGTATCCCTCTAAAGGTATAAGCTATCTAATGTACTGACTTTTTAAATTGGTCGGATTAACAATATTCCGCTGCAACTTCATAGTAGTGTTTTATCGATAGAAATGATTTATGTTGCGGTCATTCGACCTTACTTGATCGCATTTTTTAAATTGAAATGATTTCATATTGCATCACAACTTCAACAGAAACAATTTCATATCGTGTTACATAATTAGCCCACAGGACAGACATGACATGTAAAGTGACACCCGTGGTACCCTTCATACTAATTATATTTTTCCATAATAATCTAGTTGTTCAAATCTATCTTCAGGTTGTTGCATTAAATGTAGTATCACACATATTATAAAATCACAAAATTCTATTGGTAATAATATGGTATATACCTTTTTGAGAACCCCAACATAAAAATTATTTGCAAATTCTAAAGTATTATATATTTTCATAGTATTTCAAGTATATACATTTTCGTGTCAGGCTTTTACCAATATTTATTCAATTTAATGTGATGATACAGGCTACTATTTTCTGTGTCCATCAAGAATACATGATGTCAGAAATAGAAACTAATATTATACTAAGTAATTCAATATATATTATTCAAGACTATTAATAATTTAGATTATTAAATTAGATATTTCTAACATGAGGTGGTTTAAATTAAATACATTCTTTTATCACATCATCTTGAAATCTGTATATTATTAGTTTTCTGTGAAAAAACAACAATTACTTATAATATTAATGAATAGGCTCAGGTTGCTGTGTTAGTAATAGTCCAAATCTCTTCTTAATTGTTATTCTTTGTCTTGAATATTTATCTTCTGGGGAGAAACGAGCTGAAACATAATAACAAAACCATAAATCAATAACATAACATATAGGAACTAGAACTAATACAATGATCAACCTAGATGGTATGTATTAATTGAATTTTATATGAATCCAGTAGCAAGCAGGCCTACAAAGCAATTTATGTAAAATGGAAATAATTACATCACAAATGTATTTTTAGTGAATGTTGAAAAAGTGCACTAGACATTGCTAACAGTATATGCAATCAGTGCATTATAGAAGGAAGATTCTATAAAATTAGGCCTGGTCAGTTGCCCTATTTGTATTGCCATTCATACTACAATTATTCAAGACAAGTTTAATTATTTAATATATATATCTGAATACTGCTATTATTAATGCAGGCATGGTACTTAATCAGAACAACTTTCAAGAGTTTTCTCAAGAAACTATTGTACTCAATTTCTGGTGCTTTGTCAACATAGGCTAGATTACCTAACTTAATGCAATCTCATTAACTTCCACTGGTTGCGCGCCATGCATGTGCACATATGAAACAGGTGGGGTACCTTTCCATGGTCGCCCCTTTAAACTAAAATATATGTTAAGGTACATACCCGGATGTGCTGATAAAGTAGGTTTTCCATGTGGATCAATGGTCTGTAAACAACATTATGCGAAAAATAAATCATTGTTAAAATACAGGCAAGTAGTTATTTTAGGTTAGGAAACCATTCCAAACACTTACAGATAACGTATATTGCCTATCACCATTTTCGTTTAAATAATATCTTAAATACATTTTGATAACGGTGTAGTTAAGTTGTACGAATAAATTAACAAACAGTACTTAATGAAAAATTACAAGTATTCATGAAACAAGTGTAAGCACATTACAAATCAAAGAATATACTACTCAAGAGTTACAAATAAACACAAACAGTGCTCGGCACAGAATCCTAAGCTTTTGTACGAGCTACGTAACCACAGACGACGTAGCAGGGTTGTCATCCTTAAAATAATTGGCCCTCATACGAATTAGTCAAAAATCTCGGTTACTGCTCAATTTGACTAACCACGTACTTCATAGTCACAAAGTACATATTAGTAGTATTTTGACCGATTTCTATTAGTTTATATCATATAATATATAGGTGAAGTTATGGTACCTTACTAACGTTCCTAATATAAAAAAGAATGTAAATCACTCAAAATAAATTACTATTAGGTATATCTGATTGCATATTTAAATGATCTTTGCTTCAGACTATATTTATCTAAAAATTTCCGGAGGTTACAATGTCTTACAACCTTGTACACTTGTAAAATAGACTCTTTTAAGTATTGCGGAATTTGCCAATAAAAACTTTTTTTATACATAGTATTGAATCAAGATTTCATTTCATTTTTTGGCTAGAAAATTGAGATTCTATTTTTTTTTATTTTAGTAACATAAAATTAATTACACTGTATAATGTTGGTGAGGTGGTTCTGTGTGCCCTAATCGACTTGCGTTGCGAATAAGTTTAGGTACATAGAGTTTTTAACACGACTTCTGTCTGGATGTTCTTTTCAAACTTGCTGCAACACTAGTAAAGCCTTCAGACCTTTACCCTGACTTCTGCTATTCCTATTAGTCTGTGACCTTGACCTTAACCCATAGTAGCATCCGTTAGGATATTGGTATTCTGTGCATAGTAGTGTAAACTCTAAAGTATTATATTCCTTGATTAAACACAGTAGTTCGGAACTGGGATCGCTTAATTTAGTTGGGACTTATCTTGCAAACTATTTTGTTTTTTTAGTTTCGACTCGAATCAGAGACATAAGTAATAACAGTAGTACTGAAGGTTGGTCAACCTTTAGAACTACAAGTATTTTTCGCTGTGCTTATTTTTTTAGCAAAGTTCTGCAATCTAGTTCTCGTAGGTCGTCTTTGGGAGCGCTCTTCCGAACTACTGTTTGAGAACTAAAGAAGTTTGACCCAAACCTATAGATATTTTATTCTCATTGCAAAAAACTGTGTACGTACCTAGTTTACTTAAATTAAATTTAAACATTTTAATTTCATTTGAACTACATAACATGGCTAATCTTCCACCACGTAAAATTTCTTCTCCACATATATTATCTAGGCAAGGTACGACGCCGTTACAAGTTTTACTACAAATGGGATTTCCAAAACACCGGGCGTGAGTTGTTGTTATAAATTTATGTATTTTCTTAATTTATTCCTTGTCTTTATAGACATAAAGAAACAATTAGGTATTAATGTAATCGCTATTCGCATAAATAATTAATACTCATTATTATAATGTTAAAACATGAAATAGGTATAAAATATTAAACACGATATACATATAACACTCAAAAATACCTTATCGTATATAAAGCTATAATAAATATTAATGTTTAAAATATTTATAATACAACTAACTTTTAAAAGTAATGTGTCCATTCATTTCCAGTATATGATACTAATAGAACCTAAGATTTACGCGACATTGATCAAACAACAACAATAAATAAATCGTGTGTATGATGCCATCTATTATTTGAATAATGAATGATTTATTTAACTAATAGTTCGCAAAATTGAATATTAACTATGTTAGGGAGAAATTCATTGTAATTAATCTAGCCCTTTAAACATTTACACAGAAACAGACAAACAGACAGTTTTTCCCTGTACATGATTTTACGATTTTTCAGTGTTATCAATTTTATTGTTCTAAAAAAAAAGTACACTGATGGGCTGTAAAGTGGTTAATTTTAAGATATATCTATTTTATTTTAATCTACTATGTCTTTGAAGATATCAGATTAATTCATAGATATTTTTTATATATAATCTCACATCCCAAATACATTTGTGTATGAAAATTTTTGAATGTCGACTATAGTTAAAAGATTAAAAGAGACCAACTCTTATTTACAATATTTGTTCAATTGAAAACTATTCAGCATATCAAACAGATCACTAAATAATAATTCTTAAGTTATTTTTTTTGTTTCTTGATTAAGTTTAAGTAAAATTAATAAAAAAATTTATTACAGATTGAAAGCACTGGCAGCAACAGGCAACCGTAGTGTTCAATTAGCCTCTGACTGGTTACTTACTCATGTGAACGATACATCAATTGATGTAAATGAACCACGAGAGTATATTTTCTATGCCTGTCCCACTGGAACACTACTTGCACAACTACTTGAATTTTGGGAAAAATCAAAAGAGAGTAGTGGTTGGAATGGAGCACACAATTACCCACCTCATATTACATTGGTGTCATTTTTTAAGGTTGGTTAATAGGTAATATAAAAAGTTCATACTATTTATAGATTTCATTATTACACAAATAGACAAAGACAGCCTTCCCTGCTTGCCAGTTTCGTAGAATTAAAACTATTCAAGGGACTTGTGGTTACATCAAGTTTTGATACTCACATGTTACCATTAAATTATTAATGGATGATAATCGATGGGTGCATCCGCCTGCGCTAATGTTTGCTAGAAGCTGCCAAATTATTAAATAGCAGGTTATTAGGGGTATCTATCTGTCACCACTAATATTATAAATAGATGTATTCTGATTGACTGATCCATTATTAGTCAACTGAAACTACAGAGTCTATAGGAAACATCATCAGAGTAATAATTACTATAAAAAAATATTTTCAACTTGAATACTTTTAAGGCTTACTTTGACAGGACTGTTAGGAGTGTTATTTAAAATTTTGTATGAAACATAAAATAAAAAAAATGTTATAAGTAATTATAGCATGAGGTGTAGTACAAGATTTTCGTAGATTGATTGATTTTATTTTTACAGGCTCCTGATGAAGCATCCCTTCGGCTTGCCCGAGCAGTAAAGCAAGTTATAGAAAACATAGGAGATCCACCAAACTGTCCACTGAAACTAGAGCCATATATATCTCAAAATTTCATGGGTCTCTTTGTCTCTGAAGACTATGCTGATTATTTTAAAAAAATTGCTGAGCAGTTTGTAAATCTGGTGTCATGCATATGTGAGTGGTTTACTTAATAAATAATAATAATATGACTCATTAATAATGCTTAAATTTTTTTTTAAATATTGGTCATTTGATCCCTTGATTCTCATAGAATAGAGTTCATATGTATAATTTTGGATATATGTATAGTTTTTGTGTGAAATGTAACAAACATCTATCCTCCTATAATTGCTTAGAATAGTAATAACCTACATAACTTAATATCATTTTGGAAAGCAGCCATGAACGTGGAAGCCAATGTGAATTCATTGCACATAACGTTAGCTTATCATTTCGCCGTAACCGCATATGATGAACTCAAATCTGTTGTTGACGAGCTACAGCCAATAGAGCAGTCTAGCTGGGAGCTGAGATTGTATTCAAGAGATCCCCGCTTTACTAATCATCAGGTATGTTATTTTTATAGCCTTTTCACATATTCCGTACATGATACATAGATTTTTTTATTGTGTATAAAAAAAATTTAAAGACGTGAAAGAGCATTCTACACTGTCTCCGGCGGCGTAGCTGTGAAATGTAGATGGTGTAGGGCAGACCCCATCTCGTTGTTAGGGCGACCTATTTCCCCCTACTTAACTGTGAAAGCGTGTGGTCACACATGCACGCCTCCAGACCCATTTAGTTGGGGGATAGAGGTGGGGCGAAGTGGGGTACTCCCCAGCTTGTAGGCCGGATTCTACAGCGGATTAGCAGAGTGAAGAATCAGTCTCTCGCGTCCGCCTCCTTCTGCGAGGAAGTTATCTCGCAGAAGGAGGCGGCATATATGTATACTATATGTAGGTAATGGTTAGCACTGGATTTATTATTCCACATTACTAATAACCCCAATAGGAATGGCGCAGCGTGGGGGATGTAGAGGGGCCTATAGATTTATATGGAAAATACACGAAAGTATTTTTTTTATGATTGACATAAAGTATTGTAAGTAATGTACTATTATGTACAATTGTACATATTATCTAATTTTTTACTTTTTTTTACAAATATTTTAAAAAGAGGAAGGAGCGAATTTTTTGTTGGAATCAGGCAGGGATAGACCACTCTCTACGACACTGGTGTATCTAAACATGTTCATAATACAATAATGACGGAATTTCGTGTCTCTGGTCATGTCGTTAATTTTTATACAAAAATATCTTTGAGACATGCTAATATTCAGTTTGTGTAAATTGATCTTTAAAACAGCTTTTGCCTCTTCGATAAGAGTATACTTTGAAAGGTTTATACGGAACAAATGGATTGTCTTGTAAGTCGTCACTTATCGAGATCCTTTAGGTGGTTCTGTAGTCTTCAGCACCTTATATATATAGTTAAACTCAAAAATGCTTTAGGTAGTATCAATATATAATCACCTTTAACCTTTACTATACATATAAAAATATAGGTACACATACAGTATACAGACGAGTGTAGAATATACTTCCTTTTAGAAGTCGGGTAAAAATCCAGGTTCTTTTAACCTCGATTTTCAACGTCTATTTAATATGATATATATATTAGCATAGAAACATATTATCTATAATCGCGAGTAACAGCTATTATATATATAAAAAGAATACAAGTTTTTTCATAATATCGTGAAATATTCTTAATAAGTCATAAACATCGTGTTTGTAATAAACGTTGTCACGTTTTATGTTGTACACCTTTGCAATACTTATGGATGATAATGGAAGCGGGTGCGTCAGGTCAGTTACCCCATCGTGGTAAATTTACCATGAATTTATCACGATGGTTCCCAGGGGGGATCGCGTGGAGGTCAACCTACATGATACATTGCTAGCAATGGGGTTATTAGTCCACATTACTAACAATCCCCATCCCCGCACCTATACAATACTGTCACGCTAACAACTTCCTGGATAGAAGCACTAAATATAGCTTGTTATATTGTAGGTGCATAAAGTGATGCAAGGTTACATTCCGAAAGCTACCGACGAACTTGAACTAGTCCTAGGAGACTATATTTATATTGAAGAGAAAGAGTTTAATAGCTCCTCTGACGGTTGGGTGTACGGCACGTCTTGGCTGACAGGTAAGTGCGCTAATCGTGACGCATATCACACTGATAACAGACGTCTGTACTTTATCAATATCATATTCAGTGTGCAAAGTCGATTCAAACTATGAAGTGCTTACGACTATTGAACTTGAAATTCGGAGGTTAGTATTGTTCATATGCGCCCAGAACAGAAGTGAATTACATAAGTTTCTTGTGAGTGTGTGGCAAATATTATATATTTTTTTACTACTGAATATCCAAGTAAGTATATTATATACTATAATAAATTTAATTATGTGTGTAGATTATTTTTGACCTTATATTTTTAGTTTGTTTATTGACCTACTAGCATTTCACCTTGAACTTGATTATAAATTTTATACATTAAATAAACGGTTGAGGCTTTAGATATATAGTTTTTTCTATCAATTTTAAATACTTATACACACACATTAGGTAAATATTATTCGTGTTATTTAGTACATACATTATTATTTACTGATTGTTAAGATAAATTCTAACTTACGCTAACATAGCGTTTAGTTCTACTCGGCAAAACCTATAAAGCCTTGAATTTTATTAACATCGATTTCTTTGTTGTAATTAGGTGTCAGCGGTTGTTTGCCAGCAGTGTACACCCGACGTACTCTAGAGTCGGACGCTTGGACTATACATAAAACTATTACGCTCGGAAACAACAGTGAGTTAGAACTTTATTGTTAGTTAAATAACAATAATTTTTACTGAAAATTAACATCATAATGGTTGCTAATTTTGAATAGCTATGAAATATTTATGAAGTTACTTAGTAACAGATTTTGTTCATATTTTTTTGTCTGTATAAAGTTTCGTACATTAGTCATTCAAAAAGCATAAGTAATCTTGTTTCAGGAAATACATGTAGGTACATGGTATTCGGGTTCTGAACAAAAAATATTATTAAAAACCCTTAACTGAAAAACGACATTATCAGTTGTTTATAGGCATATTTGGCTATCTAGTCCTTTCAAGTAAAATGCCGTTGTATCTAAAAAAAAAAAATTATAAGCATATGATAAAAAAATTGTTTACATTATAAATCTCGCACTTTGTTCGTTTATTTTACAACAAGTCCTTCATTTGAATAAATTACATTATACGAATGTGATTTTTATTGTTTTCTAATTTCACCAGGATTAAATAAATACATTTAACGTTGATATGGAGACTATAACAATTGGGAATGATGTCTAAAATAGTGAAATATTATAAAATTCACTTACATGCAGTGGTTCTGGAGATTATTCTTCACAAACATACAAAGTAGTAAAATTAGATTCTTTTTATAACATTACTATTTTAAGATATTGTCGTGTGTCAATTACACAGTACCCACTGCTAATAACTAGTAACGAGCGTTAATTTATTTAAAGACAATGATCCCAACATAATAAACGTACTTATCTATCACTTTGATATCACATTTTACTGTGTGTACACACTTTCTTTCCATTCTATTAATACAGTTAACGTGTTACTATGCTTGTTCATGTGATTTTATGTTTGCTAATAATATGTTGTGCAGGTTTAGATAGTAAATCGGAATCTGACTCAAACACGGAACCAGAAATGGCTTCGAATTATCCACATGAGGATGCGGCCCAGCTTGGTTTTGAAAAGTCTGAAGAGACTTACAAAGAGTGGTCGAAGTATTGGGATGCTTACTCGACTCGAACGAATCCAAACGTGTTGACCCCAGGTAACGATTATAATATTATTAATTCATGTATTAATATTGCGGGCGATTTAATTATTTTCTACAAATGATAGAGCACGTTGATGTACGCAGAAGTTGGGTTGCTGCCAGGGCTGCATTTGCAAATGGCATAAAAAATATTTCTACAATAAATCCGCATAGTACTGTAGTTTCTATAGCTATTTTAAAACGACGTTATGGTATACAATGAAATTTTACGAGTTTTAAATACATTCTTTACTTCAATGACATGTATACACATGTATATACTATTATTCTTTCTATTTTTTTAAACTAGTACAAGTGTACTGTTAACGCTCATGTTAGTCTAACAATATTGCTAAGAGGTTCTGGGAGCTGAAGGATTGTCGCCTGATTTTCATTTAACAATTAAAAAAAACTGTATTTCGCTTATCTGTAGTGTTTATAGCATTATAAAACAGTTCATAAATGTCGATAATTTAGGATATCTATGATGAAATCATGAGGACAATGTATTTAAAAATATGTGTTCGTAAATTTTAATGTTTTTTTAAAAATAAAATTTAAATTTTTATTTCATATCTACTAATTATTATAAGTTGGTTGTTTATTACTTATTGATGCCCTATCATTATGTTATTGACTTTTATGTTTAATTCATTCTTATTTTATATACCTTATCACTCAAATGACAAAATGTTGAGCATATTATTAAGTAATGGACACCTAACTATTATGTATTTCTATTCATGATACATATTACGTTAAAAAATAAGTCACTAGTTAAAAATAAAATATGTGTATGTATGATACATATATTAGTTAACTTTATGGTTTCTAGTCTTTTCGTTATGTATATTTAGAAGTATATAACCACTATGTTCCATTAAAATATTCATGGGAAAATAAACTGCATGTTTCCACACAAACAATGAGGTACAAAATATAAGTAGGTAGTACCTACACTCGCATTTGTAATAGATCCTTTTTTTTCAGTCGATACCATTGACAACAAAAATGGCAGTACTTCGGGAAATGGAGACATAGCATCGAATTCATCTAGTAAAGTAGGTAATCACACATATATAGAATAAAACAGCGTAGTCTTTGATGTAATTTTGATATATAATAATAGGGGAATTACATGATTTTCAGTCATTAATTGGCTCGTAACTCAGTGATCTGGATCGAAAATTTTAGTTACTTCTTGAACACTAAGCATGTCGTTTTTATTCGACGAGATCAAATATATTTTCTTAGCCAGATGTTTAATGTTTGGAGTCCCGTTTCATGCACTCAGTCATTTATATTCACAACACACCATGTGTTCTGCTTACAATTCGTTAAATTAATGTCGCTTCTTCTACAACACCTTATTTTAAAGTATATGTAACATAGGATAGCCAAGATTCGGTTACCTTATTTGTATACACACAAGTATAAACAGATAGCCGTAGAGTGCCTACGATATGCTATGTTTGGTTACGGTCGGACCGGTTTATTTGTTGTCATAAAAACCGTTGTAGCTCTAACAGAAGTTCCAATTACTAAAAATTCGTTTCAAGGTCGTATTTTGAAAATATTAAAAAATGAAATGCATGAAAAAAATTATTGACTTGACAGAATACCCCCTAAAATAGTCGTTGCTATATGGTTGCGTTTAGCATCATTTAAATAAATAAAGTAATCACTGTTTGTAATCATCTCATTTATTCATTCATAAATTCATAATATAAGAGCAGCATTATTATTGCTGAAGCTTTTCCCACTTACTATGACTTTTAGTTGTGTTGATACGACATATCCAACTCCAACAAAATTAAAATAATAGTTAAATAATAGATAAAAATAATATCTATTATTTAACTATTATTTTAATTTTATCATTTGCCTGGATATAGTAAATTGTAAACACTGATTTAAAATTATTATTATTATTAATTCACAAGATCTCAATATGACAAGGTACGGCATTAGTCGGCAATACGAAAGTGATATAGTGAAGATTTCCATAAATTTAATTATAAAAAAGTTTAAAGTGTAATGAAACCTTATTTTCATATTAAAGTATTTTCTAAATAGAAATAGAAATAATAAAATCTTTATTCACAAAACTTAATATAAGCATTTTTGAATAGTCAAGTTTTCTTTTATTCTACCGCTTATACGGAATGCAGATTCATCACAAGAAGAATAAGCAAGAAACTTGTGTGTAAATTTAAAAAAACATGAAACAAAACCCTACATAGTAATCGTGCATCATATACCAAGCCAAAAACCAGTCGGCACATCATACCAAAAGATAAGAAGGAGTAGTTGCCTACGTTTCTCTTTCCACGAAAAAGAACCTACTATCATTCACGATTCATTAAAAAATATATAATGGTCTGATATAGTTTTTATCAGTTAACCCTATCTATATTGCTAGACCATTGAAACAGTGTAATTCGGAGAAAATGACGAGTGTCATATCTACTTCATTACACACAAAAAATACTAACGAGTTGCTAACCTCTTGCTTTTGACACTCGGTGAAAATGTGTGGTACCTCGTATACTAATGTGAATAAACAATTTTGTGTATTATAAAAACGTAAATAAAAACAAATATCATTTGAAAGAAGTTAACATTCCCTATATTATAACAGGCTTAAGTAATTAATAGATATACATATAGATATTGTATCATTACAGTAAATAAATATATACTAGAACAATGAACCTAAAACTAAAAATCTTAAAAAATATAATATAATATTATGGTATTATCTAGTAATATAGCTTTTTGCCCGTTTATTTTTTTTTTAATATCTAAAGTAAAAACGCATGTTTACATTGTAAATAAGTACCTACTTATAGAATTAAAAAATAATTATCTGAATTATTCACAGTTGTTAAAACTATCCAAAACTACACGAATGCACCAAATGTATAATTCCGTTGTTATCATACTTACAGTACACTGTTAATCGTATTTCTGTTATCGTAACAGTGTACTGTATTATTATTCTAATAATATAGTAGTCATTATGCGTCATGTTATTGTCAGCGTAACTTAATTTTTAGAGGATAAAAAATCCTAAACTGTTAGTTCATTGACTTTATAAATAGATGTTTGTTTGCGCATAATATCCGTACCTAATTATGTACGCATACTACAAACTAGTTGTAGGTGCTTTTTTATTTATGAACTTTATTGATAGTCAAGCTATTATAATAAAACAAATTTTAAATGAACCTTATCACATTACTTTAGTGAGAACGTAACCAAATCGGTTGAGTCATTTCTGAGATTAGCTTGAACAAACGCACAGACAAAAAGTCTATAAATCATTATTTTGGATTCTACTAGGTTGATAAAGTCCCCAATAATAATAGTCTCATATATCTTCAATGTATAGACAGCAAACAGTTACATTTATTATATGTAGAAGGAATAAGGAATAGATCGATTATTGTCATTTATCTTGTTCAGGCTTATATAAATATATACAGTGGTGGTCATATAATTAGAAACACTCCTTATGAATAAAGACAGTATAACTTAAACGTACAAATTATCATAATAAAATATACACATTCAATAATTAATAATCATGCAATAATATAGCCACTCAAATTAAAAACTCATTAAATGGATAAAATATAAAACATATTTTACTTTCAATTATAAAATGAGTCTTAAACATGTAGGAGTTTATTTACTGTTACTTGTCACTTGGACACCTAATTAGAAACAATTTAAAAAAGCATCCATAACCGTTCTTTTTTTGAAATTGAAGAATAATATTTCTTTCTTGCATTTTTCTATTATTTTGGCGACAATTCAAAATTTAATCTGAATTCTATTTTGTTCAAAATAGGTAATGATAAAAATTGTGACGCGTCAAATAGGCAAATAATTGTAAATTCACATGTAGATCATAAATAGGCGTACAGAAGAATGGCTGAGCATTTACATTGTTCTATTAAGAAAGTTTTTAATGCAATTGATCATTACAAAATACATGGAAATGATGAAACAGTTGAAAATGGTTTTAGAAAGGCTCGGCCAAGAAAATCCTCTCCGAGAGAGGATAAGCTAATCGTTCGTCTTGCTAAAAAAGACCCATTTAAAGGCTCCAACTAGATTAAAAATGAAGTTTTTTTGTCTGATGACCCGAGAAACATCTCGTCAAGACTGATACGCCAAAGATTAGTGGAAGCTAAATTGTTTGGATGAACCTCTCGAAAGGTACCGCTTCTTTCCAAGCAACACCAGTGAAGCCATTATTATTTGCTAATGAATATAGTAATTGGACAGTACGAGAATGAAAAAAAGTGTTATTTTCAGATGAAACAAAAATAAATATGATAAATTCCGATGAAAGCGCTATGTTAGTAATATATATAAATTAAAACATCCGACTTATTATTTAGCTCATTTATTACTCGCTGTCAGAATGTCAAAAACAAATGAATATATTTTCTTTAGAAGAAAACACAAATACATTTTATTAATATTAAAAAAAGGTTTACATACGCATCAGTTAGACGTTCTTTAAATAATGCTTTTAATTATAAATACACAAGGAGTATAGTCAAGCACGGTGGCGCTAACATTATAGTTTGGGGATGTTTTTCCGGATGTGGAGTTGATCCCATTTATAAGATTGAAAGTACAATGAATCAATGTCAGTACAAAAATATGTTAGAGCACACAATGATTCTCTACTCGGACAATCGTTTGCCTGTAAACACTAGATTTCAGCATGACAATGACCCTAAAACACGGTCAATAGCGCCAAATATTTTCTTACCGAACCCGTACATCCGTTTTAGACTGGCCAAAAAATAGTCAAAATTTAAAACCGGTAGAAAATCTCTGGTATATTGTTAAAAAGACAGTCTTAAACAAACGTAATACCAGTCAAAACGAACTATATGAATCATTTGTTGGAGCATAGAATTCAATCCTTCTAGTGTATGAAATAGATTGAATCTATGCCATGTCGTTGCAGTGCTATTATAAAAAAATAAGAGATATGCCACTAAATATTAATTATAACTATTGGTAGGCTGTAGGTAGTAGCTATTTCGTAAATAACAATACAAATTACTAATACTTAAAACAATATACTTTTTATACTTTTTTGTTGTTGTTTCTAATTAGTTGACCATTATAGCTCATACCTTAGAAGGGTTAATCGTCGCCGGTAATGTACTATTGAAACTACACCTATGTAGTGGAATTTATATAGTTTTTATAATACATTATAAATTGTTGAACATATTGTTGTCCTATTTATTGTTTAATTTCGAAATAAAAATGATTGCGGTGAAGTATTTTACATGAATGTTGACCGTTGGTAGTGTTTCTAATTATGCTTCCACCACTGTATATAAAATATATTTACTTCAAACTGTAACATTATATGTAACTAACTCTAATAACTTTGTTGTATTGAATACTGAGATAACAAATACATTGATAGAGAATTGATGATTCTTGAGATAAAACGAAACAGCGACATCTTAAGCTACTCGTACTTTCGGCAGTGATCGATTCGTTATTGATATCCTCCTATGCCACTTGTCTAAGCCTTCAGATTGGATATCCCTTTCAAACGCGATGATAACAGCGTGAGTTGCAACATTAAATATTACAAAATTTAATTTAAGGAATTGATACACTAAATCTACGTAACATGATTCATGAATGAGTGAGTTCCAAAAATAGTCAATAAGAAATTGTTCTAGCGATTACGTGGTACAGTAGTATGTCTACGAGAAGACTTCTACATAAAAAAACAATCTGAGATTTAAAAAGGGATACTCTTTCGGGCAGGCTACCGCTGGCAGATATAGTTGATCATCAAAAGGGTTTTTTACATTGTTCGCTTGCATCATCAATTTTCATAAATCGTCTTCAAACTACTAATGATAAGGGCCCTTATCATTAGTAATTTGAATATCCATACATTACATTACACCAACTTTAGTAATTTTTATCTACCCGCGCTTGGATGACCAAGCACAATATAACTATTAAAATGTGATCAGCTGATCACATTTTAATAGTTACAATTTTATATTTTAATACTGAAGTTGTTATAAAACAAATTTAATTTAGAGGTTAGATTTTAAAAAAATCTAGATTTTATGCATAGTTTGTGTCTCCAATAACAACCGTCATTGGCGTAATTTGTGGCACGTAATAGAAGTAATAAATATTCTTGATAGAACGCAACGAATGGGCAGAAGACAGATCGGCGCTGGTACTTTGCAATGCGGCACGGCGAACGAGTGGACCTCACATACGGGGATTGGGTTCCGTATTGCTTTGACGAAAACGGGACCTATGTTAGGAAGGACTTGAATATGCCACTACACCTTGCTGAGAGGCGAGTCTATAGTTACATTATGTACATGAAAATATATGCTTCAAATGACGTAATGCTTACTAAATATATAGTTGTTAATGACTTATATTACCATATGTGCTAAGTTCTAACTATTATATTACATGTCACATAAACTTATATTTCTTATTAACATTATAAACACGAAAGTTTGTGAGTATGGATGGATGTTTGTTACTCTTTCACTACTGAAGGGATTTACATGAAACTTTACATTAATATAGCTTATACATCAGAATATCATAATGGTTATAAATTTCGTACGGGTAAAACTGAGGGCACAGCTAGTAACAATAAATTTTATGTATCACTCTATTGTGACTGCTCTATCCAAGTCCACACACATTCACAGTCGGGATCGCCTTGGATTAGAAATTTGAAAATTAAGTATAGTATAGTAGTAATATCACGGTTAATGTGGGTATCGACTATAACAAAAGTAAATTCTGGATAGTACTTTTATATATAACTGGAGTGCAAGTATGGCGATAGTCCTCCTGATGTAAAATACACTATGTAGATATGTGTTTCCCTCATGCGTTGCCATTTTTTACTACAAAGGTATCATGGCTCTTTATTCTGTAATTTTACTACTATACCTCGACTTTTATACCGAGACACTCCATAGAAAACAAATAAACTTTTTAACTCTGCAAGATAAACAATTAATTCTAGTAAAGTTTATAAAATAATTAGAAACCGTAATAACTCAAGATATTTACTATACTACCTGGTACTTAAAATACAGGTTTAAAAATATATAAATTAAAATTAAAATTGAATTTTCACATTGTCTTTGAACATTACAGAGCGGGTGGTAAAGTTTCTTATGATAAAGATTCGCCACTGACCCGGATAGGGCGTCTGCAGGCCGAGCTGGTGGGTGAGGGGCTGCGCATGGCGGGCGTGCGAGTCCGACATGTATATGCCTCCGCCGCGTTGCGCTGCGTCGAAACCGCTCACGAAATGCTGCGAGGTGAGCGAATTAACGTGCATGTTTTCGAATCGGCTCCAAAAAGGAGATTCTCTTTTCGATTGAATTTACATACATACATTTCAGTCAATAGAATAGATTATAAAATTCTTTTGCAAATAAACTTGAGAGTAATTTTGAATATTCATATTTATTTTATCTACCGCTGATTCGGAAATTCAAATTTGTTCAAAATTATAACCAACTCGAGTTAAAATTGTATTCACCCACGTGTGTGATAAAAATAATATATAGTGAACTGATGGTTTAGAAACACTGCTTTCCACTAGTCATAATGTCATTTTGTTTTTCTAACTTTAACCTGCCGAGAAAAAATTTGTCTAGTCTTTAAGTTATATATATTACGCCCTCAAGGCTAGAAGTCTTGTGAAAGACAGCAAGATGGCTTTTTGTTTGTTTTTCAGGCTTACAAGATCCATCAGTGAAAATAAGAGTAGAACCGGGGTTATTTGAGTACAAAGGGTGGCATGCCACGAAGGGATTAGCTCCCTTCATGACACCCTTGGAACTTCACAAGGCGGGTTATAATGTCGACCTTAAGTAAGTTTCGCAACTTTTTATATATAAATGTAAGAATAGAACATTCTGACTTCAATCGGATATATTTAATATGCTATAATGTGTGTATGCTTCAATATTATTTTGTGTATCTTATATGTGTCGTGTATCCTTCAACATTATTTTTTTTATTCCAGTCATATTAATGTTTGGCGCTGGTATATCCTAAAATATTATGTTTTGTATATTATAGATATGAAAATTATGTATCATTAAATTTTTATCTCTTCTTACTTAGCCAATATCGTAATATTATGTTGTTTATTCTAATACTTTGTATAGAAAAAAATTATGTGTTCGCGTGTATAAGTATAGGTAAAGCAGTGACACAAACAATAAAACAATAAAGTGAATATAATTCATTAAGATGTTATTTATATAAGGTATCTTATTATGTAAGGTATTGATCAAATGAAAATAAATACTATAGTATGGTACGGTAATGCAAAGAAAGAAAATCGTTATTTTTTTTCTTTTTAAGTAACATATTATTTTTGGACACGGCGTAATCAATTGAACATGTTACAGTTGTTTTTTTGTGTAACTGGAATGATAAACAAACTGACGCCTTACCGTATGGTAAGTGGCAACTGTCGCGATAACTATTGAATGATTAAGTATATCATTAAGATTATATGGTATGTTCCAAAATAAATTCATATATTAATTAAAAGAAATGCCTTGTTACAGTTACCAGTCTTATGTGGATTTAAATATAGAAACACCAGAGACGTTGGAAGAATTTTACAATAGAAACGAGAAAGTTATCCATTCAGTTGTCAAAGACACGGAAGCAGATGGTAAGTGCTATGACGTATACTATAAGAAAATATGTACACTATAAAAATACACTTGTATTTATATGATCACTGACATATCCACACAAAAATAGGTACGAACAGCAAACAAGCGAACTTTTAATAACGATTTTCAAATTAAATGAAATATTGTTCTAATGATTTAATTTATATAAGAAACATCAAATCTAAAAGCTTTTAATTGATTGGCAATATGTTTTAATGTCGGCTTTTCACATTTATAATCTATAAGTTAGGCTTTTATATTGTAAAAAAAAAAATTATATTGCAAATATTGTTCACAGATGGTAACGTTTTCTTTGTGGGGCACGCTGTTATGTTAGACTTGATGGTATTTGCTATAAAGCGCTTGGAACAAAAAAAATCTGAATATATTCCTTACCAACTCAACAAGCACTTACTCCGAGTGCCGTATTGCGCTCTGGGAGCTATGAAGGACAAGCCGTGGGAGGTAGTGTCGCCCCCATGTCCACCCTCAATAAACTCTAGTTCCGGCAGGTATGACTGGCGATTACTGCTAGATATGTAAAGAAGTTGTCCATTTAGAATAAGAATAAAGACTGTGCAAGCTGAAATTATTTAAAATTTGAATACGCTATTAATGCTCTTCGTACATTGTATTATACAATTTTATTGTATGGATCATTTACTAGGCATTACATTAAAGAGCAAATTTGTTTCCTATATATTTGTAACAAATACATTTAAATTTATTTTTATTTAAAAGTACATAGATAACATGTGAAACGATACAAGACGGCCTTATCAAACGAAGGCTTTATACGTGCTTCAATACGATGGAAAAGTCATATATATTTTTTAATTTAATCTGAATGCTAATTTGCTCATCGAATACGCGGTTCTCGTACTTAGTAGATTCGTATTTTGAAATGCTTTATGTTATGTATGTATAAAATGTTTGAAATGTTTTTTTTTGAGAAGCAAAGAAATGTAAAATTTTGAAAATGGCTAATGACTACACACGCTGCAGAAGCCAGGAAAAAACTACCCATGACCTCGTCTGTGACGAATTTAACTTTTTTTTTTAAATAATTTTAATAATACTATGTTAGTGCACTGAATTTAATCTTATTTGGAGTCTCGTTCATAATGTTATCTGTTACAGAAATTTATTAATATGTGAATCATATATGTTGAATAATTTGGTACTTAGGTACCAGTTGTCGATTAGCCTCTTAATATAAATATGATTTTATTTATTGTATTTTGACTCGAATGTACCTATAGTTTTTAGTGTGTAAGCGTCTTATGCAGTTTGCATAATAACATTATTATTATATTTATTTTTCCATTTGTTCTGTAGTTGACTTAAATAGAATTAGTAGTTATAATACTGTTCGGAAAACCCTTAATGCCACACTGAAATACCTTATAATATTTATTAATGAATAAATATTATATTAGAAAAATCAAGGCTGCGGCAAAGTTATATATATAACATTCAATAAAAAATGGCCACGTAGTATGTTTTTCATGGTACGCTAATCTATTTAAATTGTGTCTTGCTCTGCTGTTATTGTTTTATAATGAAACAAAATACTAACGATGATTGTCTATTTAAATAATATACAGAGTTGGTAGACACAGATATAAACGTAATAAATAACATCTGTGAACATAATTTTTAAAAAGTAAGATTACTTTTCTTGAAGGATATTATTATTCATTCAAAGTAAAATAAAATATATCATTTTTAGTTCTCTCAGACACCTAAATGAAAAGTATTCTACACCATTATTTAATTACATTAAATTTTATTTGTAATTTTTGACTTAGTTTATCTTCCAAAATGTATTTTTCAATATATACTATTTATTTAAAAATTATAAGTACTTACGACTCTAAACTCCCAATGAAAATGTTTATTAAACTATTAAATTTCACATATTTTCCAAATGATTAATTATGTAACTGTTATAGTACTTATGTGCATTTCAATAAATATATTTTTAAACTATTTTTACTGTGTTATATTTTTCTAATCTCCAATTCTTGATTCTGTGGTCCTCCTGTCTACCTATAACACAGGAGGACCGCAGAATATCATTATTATATACTACTAGCTGTACCCGCGACTTCGTCCGCGTAAAATAGTGACCTTGACCCATATAATGAAAAAAAAAATTTATGACCTAACCCAATAAAAGCCAAATGAAAAAGTTTCATCCTTTTTGCTTCAAATATGACGACACTTCCATACATAACTCTTTCAACCCCTTATAACTCTTTTTCTAAATATATATTGAATAAATAGGCTAAAAATTAATTTCAAGCTTCTTGCTTTAAAAATGACAATATTTCCATATAAACATTTAACTCACCTATTCTTTACAACCCATTTTTCTTTATTTATATTTAATCAACAGCCTCAAAAATAAGTTTCAAGCTTCTGACTTAAAAAATGACGAATTTACCTAAAATCATTCATTCCCTATTTTATTTTACCCTCTTAAGGGTATAATTTTAAAAACTTTGTATATCCTATTTATTCATATTTAATCACCAACCTAAAATATAAGTTTCAAGCTTCTACCTTTAAAAATTATGATTCTTACGTACAACCTTGCATCTACCATTTCAACCCTTTTTTCGCATTCAAAAGTATCCTATGTGCTTTCTCAAGATCTAGACTAATTATGTACCAAATCTCACTTAAATCTATTAAGTAGTTTTAGCGTGTAAGTGACACTGACAGACAGACAGAGTTATTTTCACAGTTATAATATTAGTAAGGTATTTAATAAACTAACTAAAAATCCAATAAAAAGATTTCATCGTTCTAACTTCAATAATGTCATTAGGGTTGCCATTATACCGCCATATGTACTTTTTACCTGTGTATGACGTGCATTAAAGTTATTTAAATAAAAATAAATAAATGACGAATTTACATAAAAACTTCATCCCCTATTTTATTTTACCCCCTTCAGGGTAATTTTTACAAACTTTGAGTGTCATATTCATTTATATTTAATCAACAGCGTCAAAAATAAATTTCAAGCCTCTAGCTTCAAAAATGACGATTCTTCCATACAATCTTTCATCCCCAATTGCAACCCCTTACAACCCAATTTTCGCATTAAAAAGTAGCCTATGTCCTTTCTAGGGTCTAGACTATCTGTGTACCAAATTTCATTTAAATCGGTTCAGTAGTTTTGGTATGAAAGCGAGACAGACAGACAGACAGAGTTACTTTCGCATTTATAATATTAGTAAGGATAGTTTCATACGGGCCAAATTATAATATAAAATATATTATTCAGATGCATAAGCTATATTACTGTATAGTTGATTCAATAGGTATATGACATACCACAAGTCAGATTTTTACAGCATTTGCTAATTTGTATTACTACTGGATTTCGTGGGTTATACTGGATGAGAAAAATAGGTAAAATACACATTTATTTTATTAAATTGTAATTACGTAGTTTCACGCATAATATAGCTATTTAAAACTTATGACTAGAAAATTCACAACATACTCAAAGATATGTCTGAAAACAGAAATAGTTAATTCTTAAATACATATAATAGAAATGCTTTTAAAGTGCATAAATGTAAGTCTCATATACTGATAAATTTAAGAAATTTATTATGTAGCCTCGAACAGCATTTCATTCTTAAGCCTACGAGTTTTTAACCCTGTATAAATAGAATTTTACACCAGTATACACGTTCTGGATTTACATTATATTATAAAGTTAGTACTTACCAGACTATACTCTGAATGATGGATATTAAGGTTGTGGTCATAACAGGGCACGGAATTATAACTCGTTAGTTCTTAGGTATCATAAGGTGCCATTCTAAATTCTTTCAACAGTCAACCGGCAAATATGTATTTCAGTTATAGTGCACAGTTATATTTTCCTATTAGTTTATTATTTATTTAAAATGAACGATAAAACAATTCTATTTAAATATTAACTGTAGAAAGTTTTCGTTTTTATACTTACACAAGTAAAATTTTATACAGAAGATAAATAGTATCTTAGCACTTTTTTAAGTAATAAATGTATACAGCTTATTTTCGATTTCATAATTAATAAATTCAATCCGTACAAAATACATTATAAACATGAAAAAAGCTTTCGTGTTAGAATATGTAACAATAGTATCATATCACTTTAATAACTATACTTCTACCAACTTTAAAAATACAAATTTTATTTACATACGGATTTTATGTATTACATAAAGCCATATTTAGGAAAGGACATGCATTCACGAAAAGGTTACAACAAAATTCCTATTATTAAAGTGAGTGTGTGAATATGACACTAGTATTGCAAACGTTCATTATATCACTGTAATAAAAGAAGATTAAAATATATGACTCAAGTCCGTATTTACCATAATTAATATTATTGCACACTTTGTTAGATTGAACATAAAAATGTGTAAGTACACATTTTTGTGTTTTATTTCTATTCATATTTGTAATTAAAGTTGTGTAAAGAATGAAGTTGTGAAAAGAATTCACGTTGATTTCTACATTCTTTTTATGATTGATTTTAAATCCATTTAAAGGCACATTTACAACAGAACACAACAATTGGCACATGGATGACAGATCACATAAATACATTGTTTATATATAATTATTTATTATCGACATTAGAGTAATTCATTCTTTCTGAAATTACTTCCTCTACAATTTTTTGAATAATCAGTCTATCTTCAGCTTTTATGTCCTCAGGTTTAGTTTTATCATCATAAATTTTTCTGTCTATTAACCTAATTATAACTTCTTCAACAATAGTGTCAATATTTTCATTTGTTTGTGCTGTATCACTAGATTGAATAATGTCATCAAGTGACTCTGGTTGTTCTAGTTTACCTTCATTATTAGCACTATCCTCAGCTACTGTTGGAATATTTTCTGTTTCCACATTGACAACTAATTCAGGAATATCACCTCTGCCATCTTCTCCGACGATTTGCTCGTTATTGTCGGTTATAGTTTTTCCAGATAGTTCATTAGCAATATGTTTATGTCGTTTCATTATATCTCGTAGTTTCTCTTTAGCTGACGCTACCACTTCTCTACGTGTTTCAGATTTGATTTTCGCAATAGCTTTCTTTTTTCTTTCTTGTCTCAATGTTTTTAATTCATCAATCGCTTTTTTCGCTTTAGGAACTTTCGTTTCGAGTTCAGGTACTGTATCACTTTTTTCTGATATAGTATTTTCTTCAACAACGGCAGTGTTCTGTTCGCCTATCGTTTCCTCTATTATGTCTTTATTTATATTTACATCACCTTCTGTATCTAACGCATCTTGAATCTCTCTCGTACTCTCTTCCTCTAATATTTCATTTTCTATATCCAAGTTGTCTAAGTTAACTGTTTCTTCTTCATCTACGATGGAATTTAATTCACTATCCTTTTCTTTCACTAAAATAGTTTTAATTTTCTCAATATCGTGTCCTCGAGGATACTCACGGAAGTCTTTTCTCTCAAGTATAAACAATGCTGGCTTTGTTTTAATTTTTACTGGCGGTATTAATTTGTAATTCATAGCCACGTGAGAAAATGTTTCAATACTATCTAAAATAACATGAGTGTTCGCAAAACTTTTGAGGTTTGGTGAATATTTGCTTTTAGCCTCCACAAGAAGATGAGTGTATTCATGCAACTGATGTGGCTGTAATGATTCGTTTTTGCTATACAACCAGTTGTCATTAATTTGAGTGAATCGCGTAACGCCAGTTTGAGCGGCTAAGTTGCTGATATGCAGGTGTACGAAAGGTTCATTTTTCATAATTTTGTGAAATCTGCACAAAAAAATAATATTCAGAATTAATGTAACAATAAGGACAAAATTCTTTTATCATGTTGAAACTAATAAAATATGATTGTAAATTGTGTTCACCACTTGAAAAATTTTTGCATTATTTGTTTCCTTTATTTCATATCGATTTGATAAAAAATTGATAGATCGAAAAAAATCATATTTTTGGAAATTACACAAATAGGTTTGTAGGCCTATTCTTAAATATTTCTTAAATAGAATTGTGGCTGTACGATCTGAATAACAGAAAATACAAAAGCTATGTACTCTTGATTTGTTATGTGCTTATAAATATGAATTGAACATTATGTTTATAGCTAAGAGAATTAAAAATAAATACCTGGTTATAGCTACACCACCAGGATAATTTGACATTGCAACCAAAGTAAATGCCAGTGACATTAGGACGTTACCAATTATGATAACAATTGTTCCCCAAAATAGCAACTCGTAAATGGGTGCTTTCATACGTCTAATATATCTGAAAAAAAAAGTTAAGTATATCTAGATATGTAATTTAAAAAGGAATAATATATAAGTATGTATAGTAGGTTTATCCAAATAATACATCGTACATGATATTCTGCAAAATGATTAACATACTTGAAAATAATACAAATTTAAAAAAAAATAGCAAAATTTTGAAATGTATAATTCTGTTAGCTTACTTGTAAATGTTGCCTATTAGATGTAACTAATTAAATCCCTTAATTAATAGCATATCACGTATCATCGTCTGTTTGTTCATATACTAATAACCAATATACGATATTTTTCATATATATGTATATATAATATATACATTTTAAGTAAAAGTAAAATTATTAAATGTTTACTTTAAAGAAAATATATAGCAAACTGTTTTATTACTTGTGGAAAAATATTACGCCATCCATATGGTTTAAATTGTAAAAATATAAAGAAATTGAATTACTTACACATATGAACAGGCTGCTGCCGACGCCATATTAAGTAGAGGGAAAACATAAATTATAAACCTAAGTTCCTTATGTGGTAAGAATGAATACAGTAATATGTAAACAAATGCAGGAGCAGCTAACGGTATTAAACGCCGCTCTAAATAAAGGCCGAAGGGAATCAAGACAAGGCTAGGTCCAAGACCACGAGGCAGAGCTGAGTAGAAGTACCAAAGGAATGGAGAAGTCTGTATTAAAGTTAAGGGTTGAACAATAATTTACACCATCAGTATTATTATTATATTTATAATGTAATCAATGGGATTAGCTGTCTTAACACGTACTCTCTTAATCGCGCGAATAGGCTATCACGCAGGAAAGAACGTGCATGTAAATGTAGAAATAAAAGAGAACGAGAAAGACCGAGTATGCCGCCGACAAGCGCATTTCCACGTTTTTCAATCGTGTGAGCGTCTTTTTAAATAATTATCATTACAAAATGCCGGTACATCTGACTATGGAGCAAAAACATAATTATAGAAATATAATTTATAAATCTTAAACGTATCTGCACAACATAAAATATTTATGAAATAAAATATAAAACTTTATAAGAATGTGAAATGACAAAAAAAATAGAAACACGCGAGAATGTGAACAAAAAAAGTTAAATGCAATATAGCATTCTACAATTCAGAATATCAACAACCAATAATTTTAGTTCTTTCAACTGTATATACAAGACATGTATACTATATACTAAATTAAAAGGATACACCCCAATCAGCACTTTTGTTCTGGACAGTATTGTACCAGAACACTTCTGCCTCTGGCCATAAAAGTCGTCTCCAAAATATGGAATCAACTATCACTGTTAGAGCTACCAATCCTATTCCAGCTGGTATGACTATCTTTAACAACCTGCAATAGATAAATACATGGATATTACTATATATTATTTAAATTGTATTTATGGTTGAAATGAAGAATAAATGTAAGAATAGTGAGATAAAATGTCAACTTATGGCAGAAAGTTTGTGAGATTGAATGACAATATAACATTATGTATTAATTTAAATTTACGAAAAGCTGTTTAAAAATACTCACATATTTATACGGATCTTTTTAAAGAATAAGTCTATGATAAGAAACAGACCAAACAACATGGCTAGCTCAGATCGAAATAGAATAATGGATGCACCAGCTGACACCAGGAACTGCTTGTGTTTACCTAATAGCCATCCTTCAAAAGCGAGAAGTACTAAAACAATAAAGAAAAGGAGCGCAATAAGATTTTCTTTAGGTCAAGTTTTAGTTTACATCAGTGCTAGACTTTGTAGAACTCATGTGTCATGGCAGCACCTATTTAAGCTGTGGTTTAATTCTAGGGTGAGATATGCAGAGAATTTATAGGGAACAGAGGCATAAAATCTTAGTTCTCTGTAATTGCAATATACTGAGGGATATAATATGTATCACATGAAGATGTAATATCTGTGGTACAACATTTGCCACATACAGTTACATAAAAATATTCAATATTATTACACCAGTTCATAGTAAATAGTTAAGGTGGGAATGATTTATAATATGAAGAATAATACAGAACCTTACCAAGGGGTAATACCATTATATTAGGTAATGGACGGCTCATATAGAACATGAAGTGGTACTGAGTTACAGTGATCACAGTAAACCACCATGTAAATGTGTTTCCAAACTGCTTCTGTAGAGCATTCCGAAATCGGGTCCATGTTGCTATTACCGTCAGAGCTAAAGTGAGACGCACTGTAATGAATAAAATACCATTGTTAACGGATGTCCTTAATAACGAATGAAATATATTATGAGTTATTTAAGTATTCATAATTTTAGTAGGATTACAAGTTTCAAGTAATATATATTTCTAACCACTGAATTATGATTAAACAGGTTGGTATTTTCAGATATTTTCATTTAAACAACAAAAAGTATTCTTCCACTTGGTTGTACTTCAACAAAGCTTATATTATGGGTACTAGTCTACTACTAAACTGATAGAAGTACATAATATATTTTTTCGTAAATACATACATAATGTACTTATAAAACATTCAGGCTATTATGAACAATCATTCTACTTCGAAATTCAATCTTTATGAGAATTTTGGTAGTAGCATCCAGCAGGCATAGAAAATTTAAATGAAATTTAAGTTAAATTTAATTTATTTTAATTAATTAATTTAATGAAATTAACAAATTTCCAATTAAAGATGTCCAACTACTATAGTGAAATTGTGTCATTGCAGCTTTTTCATTCCTCTGCATATGTAATTTCTGCACTTTTCTATAAGGCTGTGCACTGCATGTGCAGTGTAACATGTAACATGTGAAATAATAAAGCCATAATAATAATAAAAAATAATATTTTTTAAAAAGTTGATGCCTTTGATGTTGTAGTTATATTTTTTACAGAATTAGATACTTAGTTTATTAGGCTTCCAATTTATTTTTGTGAGTATATTAAAACTAAATGAGATTAAATTGTCATTATGATGTAAATTGTTGTAATTAATATTAGCATTCATAGTAAATATACAGTGTTGTAAAACTAGTTATTACTTCTGACTAATAGTCACTTGCGAGTACTCCTATAATTCTTATAAATCCATATAAGCCTTATAATCAAGCCAATTATCAAGCTTGATATCTTATTAAAGTAATACTTTATTTTACTTTTTGACACAGAAACACTAGTTTAAAAATAGGAACATGTTAGAACGAGGTTTGCAATCAATGACTAGACTGGCTGGTATGGCAGACGAAGTATGTTTGAATATTTGAAAAGTGTGTTTTGTCATCTTGTCTGTCGTCATATTGATGTATCCATATAACTTATTTATATTATTGTATATATTGTATTAATTTTTGTTGTTTTTATATTATTCTGTCTTGTTTAGAAATATATTTTGTTAATCTATTATTCTACACCACTATAGTTACTCTGTTAAAGTGAGAAGTTCAGAGATAACTTCCCTCACATAACATATCACTGTTTTTAAATGAACTTTAAAATATGAATACTAAAATAAATAAAATAATATAATATATGTTTTACTGACCAGCATATTGTACCCAAAACTTGCTTATTCCGGCGACATGTAAAATACCCGCAATAGGTGCTGATAAAGCTGAAATTGCTACAGGTCCAACGAAAGTACGAGGTACTACACCGGGAAACTCATTATGATCATACTGGAAAAAATAGATGCTTATAAAATATATTAATAAGCAACGTAATACGAATCCAAAATTAGATTATTTCTGATCACCTGAGAGAGGTTATGTCTATGATACAATAAATCATGAAAAGCCTGAATATTAAAGCTTTCTTCTACTTTTGTAAATGGACATAGTAATACATGTAAACTGGCAATAATATACATTAACTGGAACATGTTTTTAAATAGTAATTCAGGAGAGAAAAATAATATAATTAGCCATAACTGTCAAGTAGGCAATTGAAATTGCCAGACATCACTGACAGCACATATGACAACCGGATTTACAGATATGTTCACTGCACTTAATTATTTACACAGAGCACTTTAGTTTTCCGCTTAAGCGTTTTGTTTATGTAAGGTATGTACCCATTTATTATATTAAATAAATCTTTAGGGACGGTTTAAATTATCAAGAAATACAAAAAATAATAACTTTTTTTATTTTTAACGAATATCATATATATAACAGGAAATATCATTTAAATATTAATAGTATACAAACGTTAGGGTGAATATGAAGTTGAATTCAATTTAAAAAATATAAGTGTGGATTCAGAGACTGAATAAAGAATCTTGTTTAAAGATTTCTTCAGCTCATAAAGATATACTAATTGTGTTTATTAATTAGTCTAATTGTAATGGTACATATGTATAAACCAAACGTAAGTAGTTTGATTGTATTTGACATGATTTTGACAACAATCGTCAACAATGGAGGATTGAATTCGACTGACTTGTTCTTGGGCAGTGGTGTTCGTTTTCTGATATGAAAAATATCAATAATGATCAATGTTTCAAATGAAATTGAAATTGCGATAATATTGCAATAATATTTCGCTTAACATTGAGATAAAATCATAAGAATGTGTGATGTTTGTTCGGAGTTTTCACAGCTTTTGGTGAATTGTAAGTTATATTGTTTCGAAATTTGGTTGACTATTTTCTTGGTGTACGAGTACTTTTTTAGTAATATTTGATTATTCTTTATAATATACTACTAATAAATAATTATCGTAATGTTAGGGAACATTAAGTAGTCTTGGTTATGTTTTTAGGTGAGGCTAGATTGACCGACGATGTATCTCAATACCCAACAATAAGTCAATCTGAACTAGAGATTGTGTTGAACTACATACTATCATGGCCACAAAGGTAAGATATTAAAATTTATAACACATTTAATATTTCCTATTGTAGCTAATTATAGAGGTGCTTGTTTAATACTAATTAACAGATTTGTTTTTGTACAAGTCTTTGTTTCCAATATAGCAGTAATGGATTATTAAACTTGCTTTCAGATGATTAGTTTAGTAGATTAATGAAAAATATATCGAAGCAGCAATTAGATCATGTGATTTTACATACTTTTAGTTATAAAAGAAGTATTGAAATATTTTAATGTAGTAATTTACAGTAAATTGAATGTAACTAACACTGAAAGCAATATGGGTCAGACTTACTTTGCTTTTCTCAATAAAAATTTTGATGCAAATAATAATGTTTATTAAAACTTTTTGTATATATTTTAGGCAATGTATGTGCTGCTACAGAGATGCAAAAAATTTTGAGAGATTTTACTTAGTAGTGCAGAGTATACTTTGCTTATCAGTTTGCCAACTGAAGCAACTTAAAGATGAATTAATAGAAGCAGCTAAAACTATACCTATTGATGATGCTATTGAAACATCCAAACCCCTTGATGCTACAACAATAGAGAAGGAAAATGATGAAAAGGATGATCACAAGGAAACTGAACCAGAACCAGAATCAACAGACAACAATGATTTGGAATCAAAAACTCCAGAAACAGATGATAAAAATATTGAGAGTTTCTCATCATCCAATGATGATACAGAAGTGTGGCCATTACAGCAAAAGGAGAAACTTTTGCATATTGTGTCAAAGATATTTTTACTCAATTTCCCTCTTTACCTAGCCTGTAAACATTCCGCATTAAGCCGTTTAGATGATCTTTCAGCTCAAGAAATATCAAACTTAAGTTCATATTGTGATCTTCATGATACAGAGATTCCAGCATACCTTTTACGCAATGTAAGCTTATTTTGCAAGCTTGGAGGTGTATGTGCAATGACTTCAGTTTTTGAACAATCAACACCTAGCTCTTTGTCATTATCCATGGCTCATGCTATAGTGGCAGCTGTGGGGAACCTGAAACTTTGGCTGAATTTTAGAGCTGTTGCACAGTTGTTTATGCCATTGAGAAGCAAAATACTGCAATATATGTGTAGTCTGGAGGACAAAGACCTTAGGGTACCTGCAGTCAAATCCATGGCAGGTAAAGAATTGTAAATTTAATATTTATGTGTAATGGATGGTAAACTATATATTTTAATGTAATTATTTATTTATTAACTTTTATTGCATCATATCTTATTAATATTAAACATATAAGTTTGTGAGTATGGATAGATATTTGTTACTCTTTCACGCAAAAACTGCTGAATGGATTTTAATGAAAATTTACAGTCATATAGTTTATACATCAGAATAACATATAGGTTATAAATTTCACGCAGGTGAAACAGCGGGCACACATATAATACAAAAGTTATATTATATTAGTTAGTTATATCACCTAACAAGGTAATGAAGATACAAAATCTCAACTGGTATATTTAAATATAATAAATAATTGTTACACAAGTCTCAACTATATTTATTTTTGAACTTATATTTGCATTAGATTCTATTAAGTTTGATGCTACAAACATTTGTATAGTTGTTCCTCCCTGTTTTGCTTTACAGATTTTATGTGGGGAGCAGCAAAGGAACCTCTAGATGCACCACTAGCTTTTGATGCTGATGGTCTTACTCTGGCATTCAAATATTTCAACAGCAGTACACTCACTATGAGGCTAGCTGGAGTAGCACAGATTAATGCTCACATAGCAGCTCACAATGAGCTCTGTGCGGGAGAACCTGCAGCTGAAGCAGAACTGGCTGGTCAGCAATTGGCAACTTGGTTGACAAATAATAATATCATTGAACATCTTTTTGGACCTAATTTACATGTTGAGGTAACTTATATATTTTTTTTTGACAAATCATATATTTAAAAATGTTATGTTATTTAAGGTCTAAAGAATCTACTTGACAATATTGTCTTTTATTTCTGTATATCTATTCTGTACTGTTCATAATTCTGTATTTACATAATAATAAAAATAACCCTGAACTGAATGAAGTACCAATCTAAGCAGACCTTATGTTATACATACAATGTATAACAGAAGTAACTGGTTATAACACCTAAGTTATTTTTTTTTATAATAATTTATTTATCAGTGTTAAATATCATAAATAATATTTTTGTAATGATATCATACATACCATTACAAAATTATTTTGCCTATAAAAATTCTATGTTGTCACTTAAAATAGTATTATTGTTAATATTACAGCGCTAAAATCATCTTATTGGTTTTTATGATTTTATCAGGTGATAAAACAGTCACACATGATTCTTAAATTCTTGGCTGTGGAAGGGCGCGTAACTCCCGAGCATGTAGAGCTGGTGTGGGCAGCAGCACAATTGAAGCATTGTGGGCGTCAAGTGTATGATCTTCTACCAGGCTTCATTAGAGCTTTAGCTCCAAAACCTTGTGCGCATCTGTATAGTTTACTCTGTGGATTGCCACCCAAAGAACACACTGAACAGGTTGGTGATAAAATTTCCTTATGTACAAGGAAAGTTCAGCATTTCTTTTATGATTTTATTAATGCAATTAGTTTGAAACTTGATCACAGTATATTAAGGTATATGAATGTTTTTTTGTTTTAGAATCTCATCTAAACATTATATATATGAGAATTATTGAAACAAGTTCCCAAATATGTACAAAATACATGAAAGCCTATGTAAATTTAATTTGACCATTAATTGATGTAATTGTTATTCCATACAATTAACCCAGGTTATCACTTTTAGATATGGCTTCGACAAAACGGCAAAACGCATTTAGTGCATGTTTGTATTTAGATACAAATATGCTGTATCCTAAGTCCTGAACATATTAATTCATATTGTGTAATGAATTCCAGAGCTTATACCTGGCGTCTGCGTTGATGCGCGCGATGTGGTCGCGCGGCGGCGCGGGCGGCATGGGTCCGCTGACGACGCCGCCGCCGCTGCCCGACGAGCCGCCGCTGCGACAGTCGCAGTCCACCTGCAAGCCGCACCACAACTCCTCCTCGGAGGCCAGCGTCAGCATGGACCAGACCAACTCTGATGACGACCCGGTGTGTATTTATTACTAGCTACCTTCTATAAATTTATCAATCATAAATAGTGGCATATCACTTGTCTAGCACCTATAACACTAGCCCTGCTCGTCTTAGAACTAGATGGCGCTGTGTGAATTGTCCAGGGATACAAAATAGGACAAAAAATGAATATAATTTTATGCGGATCTAAACATATTTAGTATTTTCAGTATACAATATTATGATTGATGCTAATAATTAATATTTGAGAGTTTTAGAAAATATTTGTTATTACATATATTTATCCAACAATAAATGTAATTAATATATACAAATATTATTTTTATTCACTACTGTTATTGTCATTACTTGATTCTAATTCTCTATTCCAACTTAAATGTGGCTGCAATTCATCTACGAAGACTATGACTTCGTGTCGTCGTCCCTGTTTGCAGATCATTGGATTATCCTCTATAAGGAATTTGTCATTTGGAAGCATTTTGATTGTAGGATATGGTCCTTGACATTTTATCACAAGTTTTTATGATTTACTTACCAAATAAACTTCTTTATAATCCCTAGTTGGTTTACGATTTTTAATAAAGGTCTGGGCATCCTTTGCTGTGATTTAATTTTATTGTTTGGCACATTCCTAATTTCTTCCAAAACTTTAGGATTGGTTGAATTTATGGTGTCATTATTAACAGAGCATAAGATACCCTATGATCTAGTTGAAATGTTGAACCTGAACAACAACGGCGGGCTTTTCCCTGTCGTTTTGTGTGTTATTGTATTCAGACCAAAATGAATGTCATAGATATGAGCTTTGCAATTTTGGTTATAGATTTGAAGAAGCAGACAGTGATTCTACTTGTCCATTTGCGCGTGGAGTAGCGGCTGCATTTTGGCATTGTTTAAAAATGTTTTTAAACATAATTTATTGCCATATAAATATTATGGAAATACACAATATACACTCTAACAATAGATAACTGTACTTATTATTTGTTCCTTAATTGTTTCTGAAAATTAATAATATTCATTTTTTTAGTGTGAAGAACTTAGCACCTCGGGTGAAGAGGCTGGACCGACACCCCGTAAACAAAGCAAACATCAACGTGAACTCACAGGTAAATTAATTAGGTTATTATACTTTGTATTATAAAATTAATAAAAATAACTAATAATAACTTTATGTTCAAATTAACTTTGTTGTAGCTGAACAAGAGTGGCTCCGGGAAGGAGAAGAGCTCTCTAAAAAGGAATGTTCATCACTCAAATCTTGCCAAAAGTGAGTAATTTTAAATAATCTTAATTATATTCAAAATTTTTATTATTCATATCATTATTTCTAAGTTTATTGTGAATTTTAGTTTGGTATTGGAATAATTAATATTTAAAGTCAGTAATTCATTCTATGGTAATTGCGTAAGATTTTATAATAAACTGCCAGAATCTGCACTAAATCTGACAGAGAGGCAATTCAAATGTTATATTAAACAATTTTTGTGTAAGAAAGTCTATTACAGGATAGACGAATTCACAGACAACAACATATCAAGTAAATAATTAGTTTATTAGCATACAACGTTATAATTTGTTTATCTCATTGCTTTCTTGATTCAATTATTTTAGAAATAATAAAGCGTAGCGGTTTTTGTATTGTTTGCCGCATGCATTCTTATGTGAAATGTGAATACTATAACCATTAGATGGCAATTGTGAGTAGCTATAATGAGGTCTGGTGTTGTCCTGCTCACTAAAATGTCCAGACTTGTGGCGGCGTGGTGGGCCGGGTCATTGGGCTCCCTAAAATATGGTCGAGCGCAGTGGTGGCTGGCTCATCCGTCATACACGTGAACGGGTGCTGCTTGTGTGGACTGGTCTGCTCTAATCACTATGACTTATTATCTCTTATTAATTGTTTAACCAGTTGTTGTATATTGAATGTTTTTTCTATTTTATTATTTCATTGAATTAGTGCTTATCGGTGGTTTGTATTCACACACTTAAACTTAAATTTGTTAAATTATTTAAAAGAGCAACACACAAGTTTCTTGCTTGTTCTTCTTGTGATGAGACAGCATTCCGAATGAGCGGTAGATTAAAAAAAAATGTTATGACTATTCAAAAGTGCTTCAATGTAAGTTTATTTGAATAAATGATTTTCTATTCTATTCTATTCTTAACATAATAAAGTTTTTAATGGAATAAGTGTTATAAATATACATTACCTGTTATAAAATATTTTACCTGTTACCCGCGACTTCGTATGCGTGGTATTTCACATTTTTTATTATTAAAATAAAATAAATAGAATAACCTAAGTAAATTCTTATAACGTCAGCATTCTGTACTAGTTTATTCTAATATTGGGACTATAGTTCCGTCTCGTTCTCGTTCTCCATAAATTAGGTTGCCATCGGCAACAATAGTGAAGAAATAGGAAGTCTTCCAATTTATTACCTGTATGGGTTATTAAAATATATTCTGTATATAATAGACGCAATAAGCGAGCGGGTAGCAGCGGCAGTGCCAGTAGCGGGGCCGAGGAACTGTTGCGGCCTCGGAAAAAGAAACTTTACAAGAAGCGACACAAGACCAGCAAGACGAGGCATTTCCGTGAGTGCATGGTCCATGTATACCATATAACACCTAAGTATATTAGGATAAATGTAAATTTTTATTATTAATAATTCATACATACAAAGTGGCAAATATATATATATATTACAAGAGATTCAGTCTAGTACTTCAATAATTCAGTCTAATATGGGACAAAATAAATTTATATTACTACAATATATACAAGACTTTACTTATATACTAGACTACATATGTGTATACGTATATATGAATCATATGTTAATGTAATGAAGTATAATTATTATGAGCGCTTAAAAGGTGCCGTTAATAATTTTATACAGCATATGGGGTTTTTCAATAAGGGAAGGTATATATATAAAACACAATGGGGTGCACAAATTCAAAGCCTTGCAGCGAAACTGAGTTCAGCAGCTTTTGTCGTGCGTAAGGTTAGACAGTACACTGATACTGATACTGCTAGATTGGTCTATTTTAGTTATTTTCATAGTTTACTGTCTTATGGAATATTACTATGGGGAAAAGCGGCAGATATTAAAAATATATTCATATTACAAAAACGTGCCATTCGAGCGATCTACTGTATGAAGAGTCGTGACTCAATAAGAGAGAAATTCAAAGAGGCAAATATTCTCACCGTTCCTTCTCAATTTACATATTCAAATATCCTATATGTTCATAAAAATCTTGACTCTTTTCCAAAAAACAGCAATATTCATAATATTAATACCAGATTTAAAGACAAACTTGCTGTCCCCAAGCATCGTTTAGAAAAAGTCAATAGGTCTTTTATGGGAATAGGTATAAAATTTTACAATAAGATACCAAAGGATATATTGGAATTACCTTTAAATAAATGCAAAACATCTGTTATGATTTAATTATTTACTGAGCAAGGCCTATTACTCACTAAACGATTACTTGAATGACGAGCGTGCATGGCAATAGTTTTAATGTTCGGGATTTTCATTTAATGTTAGACATAGACACCTATATAAATACCTATGCATTGTAAATAAACTAATTCATTGTAAAAGTAATTCAATTGAGTTTCTTGCCAGTTCTTCTTAATTGAATCTATATACCGATCTGGACGGTAGGGAAAAAAATTCTAATGTAAAAACTTGACGTTCATAAGCGGCTAAAATGTCCTACATGAATAAATGATTTTTGTATTTGAATATATTAATGTTTCTTAGAGGTCGGTAAGGCGTTCGTGAAACCTCTGGTGTTTCAGGCACAGTTTACGTACACAGGTTACGTATTAATAGTAGTAAACTCAGGCACAAGTTACGTATTAACCGTTTATCTTCAAATGGGCCGTATTATGCTTGTAAAATAAATTACCACCATCGTGGTATAAATAAAATTGACTATTTATATTTGCTATTATATAAGTAATAACTAACCTGTGAAACGATTATTAATATTTTTTAAAACTATGATATAAGACAACATTTTATGCTATAAAATTTCTTTTGGTAATTTTAAGTTGGGTTACAAATATCACTCTCATTAATATAAATAATTGGTCACTTTTATCCTTCTATAAACAAGGAACTATAGTTATATGTAATGTAAATATATATTCCACAGTAGCGACGCAACTGAAGTCTGTGGACCTGGCAGAGTCTGTGTCGGAGGTGGAGGAGGAGTCGTCTGGTAGTGATACGGCTCACTGCCAGCTGCTTTGTGATAACGTCGATGCTAGGTCTGTATATTGTTGACTTAAGTAGGTTGGAAATTTTTTTTATTTATACATGTTTTTATTCTATCAATTTGTAAATAATTTAAAAATTGATGGAAAAAAACATGTATAAATAAAAAACATGTATAATTATGTGTATATATATATATACACATAATTATATATATATATATATATATATATATATATATATATATATATATATATATATATACACACGATGGTAATCGAACAACCACATATTTTTTTGGTCCTGAAACTCTAATAATTATATTACATCTGTAATGACTCTATGTAGTCTCATTTAATTTGTCCCGACTACTGGAATATTTATTGTAAAGATTGCGTTTAAAATATAATAAAAAAAAAACAAATAATTGTTTATTGCAATTTAGAAGGTTAATGGAGTTGCGACTGCTCGAGAGTTACAAGAGGCGGAGCGGCGACGGCGAAGAGGAGGAAGGCAGTGCGTCCTCCGCTATCTCCCCTCACTCGCACCCGCACCTCGGAGATCTCGATGAAGACGATTCCGCTTGCGAGGAGGAACTAGCAAGATTGGCAGCACAGGTCATTAACACTTTCATGTTATCCAAACAGTTGTTGTGATACAGTGATTTTATGCTTTTATTAAATAACTGTTATTCTGTATTATGTAATTTGTGTATTATAATTAATTGTAGTGATTCATCAATATTAGCTTAGCTGCCTTTACATGGCAGATACTTTCACGACCGATCAGAAGCATGCGCTATTATGCGCTGGAAAGCCGGCGCGCTCACTGATGATTGTGGTATTGCATTTAACATTTTTTTCACACATTTAAGATATATAAATTATCTACAATTTTGTTTTTTCTCCGTAGTCAGTTTATGTCCTTCATTTTGCAATGATAATTAGGTATTAAATAGAGCGCAAAAGCACGCACGATTAAAATAGTTAGTGATTTACCTGCACACCATTTCCCGCGTGATATCCTATCCGCGCGTGTCAGAGCGTACGTGTAAAGGCGGGTATGTATGGTGTGGTCGGCAGGCGCAGTGCCTGTCGGAGTACCCGTCGCTGGCGGCGGGGCGGCCGCCGTCGCCCGCCGCGCCGGCGCCGTGCTTCGCGGGCGACGTGTGCCGCCCCGGACACACGCTGCTCTGGGACCTGCTGCAGGACGGCGCCATCGTGAGTCACCTGCCACTATATATTTATTATCTTTATTGCACCACAATAACAAAAATTCATATATATATATATATATACAGAAGAAAACAATATTTAGAATATGGGTACAAAAGGCGGTCTTATCGCTTATGCGATCTCTTTCAGACGACCTTTGGGTAGAGGAGAATAGAATACATTAGTGAATTTAATGGATCATAATAGAATGGTTCACCCGCTTGCTTTAACGGTACACGCTGGCGGAGCACAGGTGGAAGACGATAAAATGTACATGAGGTCAGGTCAGTTTGATCTTAACAAATTCACGAGGAATATATCATCATGGTTTCCATGGTGACCGAGTGGAGTTACCATGACGTGGTATGGTAGGTGACTAGCTATGGGGTTAAGAATCACATTACTAATAATCCCCTTCCCACGACTTAGCCTTACAGATGTGGCAATCGTATCCGTATTTGTGTTAAACCAACTTCTGAAAGAAAGGATGTTTTCAATTCCAAAACATTTTTTTAATGTAGTGTAGATCTTATCTAAAACTGACGTAATTTAATGATGAATGAATGACGAATTTAATACGATTAATTAGTTAATTTAATTTTGCAGGAACAATTAGGAGAAGGTTTAGCGCTAGAGGCGGAGAAAGCACTGTGCGCCTTACTGTGCTTCAGTACTGACAAATTTATACGTATAAAATTCATTGAAGGCTGTCTCGATAATCTCGCTAATCACAGGTAACTATTGTATTATTAACATTACATGCAAATAATAACTTTATTCCAATATTTTTTTTATTTACGACTACTGACTCTAGGTATCATAGTCCATGCTACATAATACTTATGTTTCTAATAGTGAGCAGTAGAAAAGTAAGTCATATCGCTTCGGTTTCGAATAATGATATAATGTATTTGTGTGACGTTTTTAGATCTGTGGCAGTGTCGCTTCGACTGCTGCCGAAGCTATTTTCATCTTTTCAACAACTTCGTGGCATGGACATGCATCAGGTATGTTAGTTTAGCTACTTTTGTTAACGATTTTTTTACGAAGTGTTGTAATATTTGCAGTTTATCTAAATTATAGAAGAATAGTAATCGATTTTGTACATATGATATGATGAGATACAAACAAGAGGAATCGAACCCGCGACCATCGGAAGTAAAGCGGTCTGCTAAATCGCTACACCATAGAAACTGTTAGATGTGTCGCAATAATTTGTTGTAAACCTCTGCTTACATTTCATCACTCTGAATGTTGATCAAACGAGTGTGGGATCGAATAATGAGCGATCGCGGTGTGCAGGTGGTGATGTGGGCGGAGCGCGAGCGTGGCATGATGCGGCTGTTCCTGGAGGACCTGCGCCACTACTCGGTGCAGGCGGCGGCCGCGGGCACGCGCAGCGAGCACGCGCACTACGCGCACATCACCGAGCTCACCGTACGCTTACACTTCCTCACCGCCATCTTCTCGCCCGTCGGCTCGCCGCAGCACTTCAGGTACGTTACCCGGGAGACCCAAAACGTTCAGTAGATTTTATATAGTATGTGATAAACAGATGGAAAATAGGCTTGCGTATTAGACGCTTTGTCGTGTACGATTGTTATTGAGCAATTTATGTGTGTAATTTGTGTGTAAAGTGTAATTTTAAGTTTTTGTATATGCTTATATTAAATACCATAACTGTGGCATTGGCTGCAGGTTAGGTTTGATATATTTAAAAAATTCCAAGTAAATGTAACTGGAAAAGCGATAATTCTTTTTAGAATTTACTTCAATTTACTATAAATAAGTCCGTTATTCAATATATACGCTGTTAAATAATTTTTTACATTATTCTTTTTGTCTAAACCTTCAGGTATAAACTAGTGTTCAGCTGGAAATTTCTTTTCCTTTTACGTTTATTGTGTTTTGCAGGCTAACAGTGGATCAAGTGGAGGAGTTATGGCAGTGTCTGGTGGTACGCGGCAGTGGCGAGTGTGCGGACTGCCTCTACTCATGGTTACTTTCGCACACGAAATCACCCGAACAGCACGCACTTGGACTGGATGCATTACGGTTCTTATACGTTGAGAAAATGCCTACTTTAGACCCTGAGGTAAGTAATAGTCTAAACTTTTGTCGTGTAGGTATTTCGTGTTTAGTTATTACGTTTTTAAACTATTAAGTGAGTGTTCATATTAAATACATAACTAGAAATGGATGAACCGTCTGGCGGCCGGTGATCAGATTCACATGACAGTAAAAATAGGTCCCAATTTTATTTTCTTATAGACTTTGTTTTATACTCGAACATATAATTTAACCTTGTACCTACTTTATATAATATAACATCTGTAATAAACAAAGTGCAAAAAGAGCAGTGTTTTGATATTTGGATCATTGTGTAAAGACAAATGTAAATGACAATGGTAGTCTATCCAAACGAATCTGCTCCAGACACTGCTTAAATTCTTACTCGTGTGCATGCTATGCTATGCAATAATAGAATTAACAAAATTTGACTTAACATTTAATTTTGTTGCAGACGATAAGCATAATGGGGCTAAGCCTGTACCAGCAACTGTGTAACCTGGCGCGCATGGCGCTGGGCGCGGGCGATGTTCGTGATTCGCCGCATCCGCACGCGCTTGCTATGGACCACCTGTGGAAGATCGCACTCAGGGCTAACAGCACTGGTAACTCGAGTTACAACTTTATTTGCATTCCGCGACGTAATATATATAATAGTCTTTTAAAGACGTAACATGATCGTACCAGTAGTGTCCGCGATTTGTTCGCGTGTATATTTATAAATTACCAGCTAACAAAGTACTTTTTATTAACAACAAATATATTTTATTCATAACTCAATTATTCAAATATGTAGTAGAACGTGTATCAAAAATGTTCCCAAAATGAATTTATAAATAAAAATATTTTGGGGTGTTCTTTTACACGCTTTCTTTACCCTATAATACTTATTGATCCTCATTGAACATATTCATTATTAGCTACTAGCTTCGCCCGTGTGTACATGTATTATAAATATTAACGTTCCTCTAGAATCACTCTATCTATTAAAAAACAAAATCCGTTGCGTATCCGTCTTAAAGATTAACATACATAGGGACAAACAGCGACAGCGACTTTATTTTATACTATGTAACAATACACAAACAGACAGTTTTTCCCAAGCACTACGGATCTTATGGGGCGCTTGTGGAAAAATCTGCAATTCCTGTAACGATAATTTTGTATTTCTAGATGTTTCGATGGGCGCAATCCAGTACCTGAATAGTTATTATATGGGACAGCAGCTGCAACAAGAAGATGATTTCGTTTCTAAGTGTATGTTCCATCTGTCTTCCGCTGCCGAGAGACTCATAACGAAAGAGCAGGATGAGGATGGTTCTATAGCTCCAGACAAAAATAATGAAGATGAGCCGAAAGATACAGAAAAGACCTCAGATAAACAGAATATTTATGAGCATATGACTGAGGAGGCAGCTTTACAGTGTATACAGAGAGCACTTCTATTGCTGAAAACACACTTAGATACATTTAAAAGAAGGTAAGTTTAAATTTATTTTTATGTACTTGATTTCATCTCATCTTGTCTGCGTACTGAATTAATTCTTCATGTACATGTAGTACTAATATATAATCAATGAATTCAGCATTCACGACGGCATTGTATGTTATTGTTTTCGGTTGTTAGGACAGGTTTGGTGTTGAGAGTGAAGAATCACACTTCGTATTTTGGGTTGGAACTCGTGTATGTCGATTTTTACATGCTGTTACTCTAACTTATACTAGTCATATGGCTATATATACTCAACGCTACGTGAATTACGTGACGACAGAAAGTTATCTAACGTACACTGGCACATGCCATTATTTTACTACTATATCACATGTTCATCTTTTTTAAAATGAATAATTCCGATACGACGTCATGCCAAGATTCCTTGCAAAATATGGCAAGTATAAACTGCGGTGTGGCGGACTGTGCAGGTACGCGTACCACCTGCGGCGGTGGGCGCTGGCGGAGTCGGGCGCGTGGGAGGGCGCGGCGGCGGCGGGCGGCGCGGGCGGCGCGGGCGGCGCGGGCGGCGCGGGCGCGGTGCGGCTCACGCTGCAGCCGGCCGGCGCCGGCCCGCGCGCCACGCTCACGCTGCACCACGCCGACCTCGTGGCGCACCTGCGCGCGCACGTGCACGTCTGGTGGGAGAAGCAGGTAACGCCGCTCGAGTACTCTGCATCCGTATACCACCACGCCGACCTGGTGGCGCATTTGCGTGCGCTAGATAGATAGATATCGATGAAGGCCATGTAATAGCGATCTACAAGTATATACGCGTACGAAGCCGCGGGCACTACTAGTATATGTATATAATTACAAAGATAGTGCAAAACATCACTGATTTCAACTATGCCGCCCACAAACAATAATAATTAAAATTATCGAAATGAATGTACACATGAAAAAATTATTTTGTGTGGTCTTAGCATGTAATGCAATAAATTATGTTCAATAGATACAAGGCGAAGATGGTGTTACGGCTTTGTCAACAGACGGTCCTCTTCGTATGATAACGCAAGGTCAAGAACTTACAATTGACTACGATGAACGGACCCTATATGACATGGGGTTTAAAGACAATCAGGTAAATATATGTTTTGTTTTTACTAAAGTAAATTAAATTATGTAAACCGAGGTGTAATCTGCATGTGTTTTATGGCACGTCGTTTGTCACGTGAACAAACGAAAGTGGAACTGCAAATTGAACATGAAGACGCAATTAAAACGCACTGGACCTAGCTATTCAGTCTTGAAAGATCAAATATGTATATATGATCTTTACCAATCCATGCCCGGTGCAACCCGGTTTTTAAATATGTGAATACTGCGAAATAAAGGGCGGACAGAGGGTCTAATATCTGTACTTATTTCAACGGGCATAGGGTTGATTTTAAAGAGGCGTATTACTTGCAGCTGGTGTTCGTGTCGGTGGGCGTGGGCGGGCGCGGCGCGTGGGCGGAGTGGCCGTCCGCGCAGCCGGCGCCGGCGCGCGCTCGGCTGCCCACGCTGCTGCTGCTCGACCCCACCTACTTCCACCACCTCTTCACGCTCATGCAGGCGCTAGGACGCATGAAGGAGCCCGGCGCCAACGGGGTAACATGCTCCTTTATCATAATCTGTCACTAACGCTATGGTTCCATAAACAACCTTTAATTTAATTTAATTTCATAAAAAAGTAGTTTCCGTACGTGGTATACGTACGTATAAGTGGTTTACGGTATTAAGATGAATAACTATTTTTTTGTCAATGAAAAACGGTTATGAAACCATACACAATACGAATGTCAATTATTTTATAAAAAAAGGTAGTCTTTGTTTTAGATAGATACAATAATGTGTCAGTAAATCAAATCTATTTTAATACTACCCTATTTTTTTTTATCAAGAAATGTGTGTTTATTGCACATCGATATGTTATTTAAGTCTTATCTGTATAAATAGTTATTTAATATTTATTTCCGATTGTGCTATTTAAGAATCGCGAAAAGCTGACAACATAGGTTATGTGAAATTTGTATCTGAGCTAAAAAACGGTCTAGTTATAGTAAAGGAATTGTAATTACTTTTATTCTTATACTGCTATTTATAATGGCATTAATAACTAACTGAAGAGCTAATATTTAAAAAAAATATTGTATCCGTTTGCAGGAACCTGTAGCACATACCAAAGCTCAACTTCTATCACGGCGAGTGTGGGATATCCTTCAAGCGGTACCACTAAATCCTGCACTTTTAGAAGCTTTTCAGAACCCAACAGAAAGCCAATTACCAGAACTGCTCGATCCGACCAGTCCGCAAAAACTTATGTATTCCTTACACATCATTGACAAATTGAGTTCAATTAATAATAGTTCAAATGTCAAAGAACCGTCAAACAGTATCGAGAAGAATGAGGACGACAAACTGGCGGTGGAAAATTGGAATGAATTGTTTATAAAAAAGGGCGGGTTGAGGTTGCTGTACGACATAATGATGTCTGGTGAGCACAAAATAATTTTCTATATATCATATATAGAAAATATATATTCATAATGAATGATAGTCATAGAATGAATACTTCTAACAAAGCATTATATTCTCGCCTTTATCAGTATGATTAGTAAATATTACCTTATTCATTGCTTACAATATATGTTATTTGTAGGTGTTTTACAAAGGAGCGATGATAGCGAGTGGAGGCAGGACTGCCTCGCACTACTGCTGCAGTTGCTTTGTCGTATCGGCACTCTGCCGTCGTTGGATCCTGCACAAACGCCCAAACTGCATCCGGTATGTTAAACTGATTACTCAAAATGATTTATATTTAAGTAAGAGTATTAGCTTCATAAACGTATAATGAAATTGTACAGAGCTAAATAGAAGTAAAGACCAGATTGACTCCTATGGTGTCTTAATATTTACTTACCGTAATTTTGCACAAAGCGGCTGACTATGGGTGATTATTTTGCAATACCAGGTCCGACAGTCTAATCATTATAGACCCTTATTTTATTATACGAAGCCCAAGTATCCAATAAATTTGGAGCTTGAAATTTGTATATTGCTAAATATAAGCATATACTTTTATCATCATATACTTTGCCATGTTAAATCCACTATTAGTATGCAAATTTCATTTTTTTTGTCTCACCTGTTTAAGAATATATATACATATATATATTTTGTAATCATTATTATTCTGATAAATATACATACTGTGTTTGTTTCATAGGCATTATTATCTCTAATGAGCGTGGAAGAGACGACAGAGCGGTTAATATCGATACTCTGTGAAGCGGCTGCACTCAAGGAGCCCACTACCTATAAAACTGGATTTTGGGGCCGTGCACAGGTAACATTTTGTATTATAAATAAAGAGTAAGACATTTTTCTAATTTGAACAATGTGTGTATTAATGTTTTCCGCAGCATTTTGTTGTTGACTACTTTGTATTACATTTCTAAAAGTCTCTCACATTTTCTTCGGTTTATCCTTAATATGTCCCATCGTTTGTATATGTTTCCTGTTAAAAATGTATTTTATTTCTAATTAAATTATTACATAATTATAAACAAGTAGGGATTTCATAAATCATTGTACTTTTCTATATATATAAAGAACTGTATTATAATAATTATTATTACTAGAAAAGAAATGGATAAGGCTTTGGCCGGATACCAGATTTTCGACAACGTAAGAGGCCGGATATCCGGTTACCGGATATTCAGTCCTTTATCGTTACACGATGCTATCATAGGCGCGGTGAAAGAAATCGTAAATATTCGGGCGCGTTCGGGTGTTATAGTGCGTGTCAATTTGTGTTTGTTTCTCAATTTGCTTGTTTATTCCTCAATTTGCTTGTTTATTCCATTACTAATACCTACATACCGCGGCATACATCATAAAAACTAACATTCACCTTCCTAATTGGCAGCATCAATGACGCAAAGACGTCAGCATACGCAAAGAGTTCCACACATCTATTTTATTTTAATGTTATCGAATAGTGAAAATAAGGCCGGATACCGGATTGTTACTGGACATTGATTTCATTTCCAATTATTTTGTAATAGTGGATGTTAAAATGCAATAGTTTTAAATGTGTAGAGAACGTTAGCATTGTAGTGCGTGTGGTGTCAGGTGGTGCAGCACGCGATGCGGCTGTGCGTGTGGTGGGCGCGCGGCGGCGGCGACGCTGTCGCGCTCTCGTGGTCGCTGCGCCGCGCCGCGCCGCGCCTGCTGCTCGACGACGCCGACCCCGCGGTATGTGACCGGTACCGGGGACGGCAGCTAGTTCAATAATAAAACAATATCATTGTGATATTACGTAGATTGCTGATGGAAATTCGAAATGGCTATAAAAACTGTGTAATGTAACAACGCAACCTTATTACATACTCATTTAATCTATTTTAATGATTTTTTCGTATGGGGCTGATGTACACAATGAACGTTGTCCCCTCGGTCAAATTTTCTTTTATTTATTTACTACCTATTCGCCCCGACTTCGCACGGGTGTGCGATATATTATACATATAAACCTTCCTCTTGAATCACTTTATCATTAAAAAAATCGCGTCAAAATCCGTTGCGTAGTTTTAAAGATTTAAGTATACATAGGGACTGACTTTATTTTATACTGTGTAATGATGTTGAAGTTACGCCCTTATTTTCCATAAATTTAAGGTCATGCCCTTTTTTGCTTTTTAAATTCTCTCATTTAATAAGTGTTTCTACATACGGAGTAGACTGCCTCGGTGGTCTCACTTTTTAGCACACCGCCTCACTTCCAATGGTCGCAGGTTCGATTCCTCGCACGTTATAAACATTTTTTATTTGTGAGTATGATTGTTTGTATCGGTCTGGGTGTTTTCTATGTATCATATGTATGTATAATATGAAACAAAAAATCTATGTACATATTTGTATCTGTTTTCTAGTACCCATAACACAAGCTTTAGTTAGATTTACTTGAGACAACATATGTATACTGTATGAATTGTCTTGAGGATGTAAAAAAAAAGTAGTCCCTTTTTGATTCGGAATCGTAAAAGTATAATTGTGGGTGTGGTTGCAGGTGCGTCGCGAGGCGGGCAGCGCGCTGTACCGGCTGTGCGCGGGCGGCGAGGCGGCGGTGCTGGCGCCGCTGCTGCAGCTGCTGCTCGAGCACCTGCCGCGCGCCGCAGACATGCGCCCGCACCCACCGCACCACCACCATCACCACCACGAGGTCTTTACTACATCTCTCTTTCAGTCTCAATCCCTCATTAAACGTTACATTACTACTAAAAATGTATAATAAGCTTTTCAGATTAGACAATTACCCCTAAATATTATGACTTGCTATATAAAGAAGATTTTACATTGGTTAATAAACGAAATATAAATATATACACTGCTACCTAGCAATATCGCGCATGTTATATTTGAGGATTGATGCAAGGTGCCTTCGCACGCTAGGTTATAGCGTGCGAAGATGCCTGCCATGATGCCAGATGAGGCCCATATAACAATTACTGACTGATTTAATGGGTATAATTATGTCAAGATATGTATGTATAATGCTCATTTTATCTCAGAAAGAGATCAAACTCAGTCTCACACCCTTCACCCTTCTTGTTTCGATTGTAAGATCTAATTAGAATGAAATTACAGGATAAGAGATATGGTATATTAGTTCTCTTGAATGCCAAAAAATAAATAGTATTGCGGTTGTCACATGATAACGTAATAATCGTGCTGTTCATATACATATGGGCGAGAGTTACCTCTTATGATCAGGTGCGCGTTAAAGTGATTTTCATTTCCATTACATTAAAAAAAAGATATTTCAAGTAACACGTTATGATGCGTTGCCATTTTGCGTACTTCTGTAGTTTAATTTAACAACAAAAAATAGACAAGAAAAACGAGAGATTAATTATTGTTTCATTACTATTTAACAGGTGGTTCATCACCATGCAGAAGAGGGTAAAGAGCCATACGGGCCAGCGTGTCGTGATTATTTTTGGCTAGTTTGCAGACTGATAGATGGTTTGCCGGAGGATTTTTTTAAAGGTACAATATTTTATATATATTTTTAGTATGTTTGTTTGTAGACTCTCACTGATACTTGACAAAAAAAGGATAATATTAGAAAAATGGTGCATATGATACCTGCCTTTTAAACAGGTAATAAATTGCAAAATAATCTAATAATAGTATTCTTGGATATTGTAAAAGTATTGAAGTCACAATTTTAATTTGACTGCTATAAAAACTATTTACAGAAACTGTTCGTGGTACAAAAAAAGATTTTAATTACTTATTCATAATCATAGCAACTAATAGTTAATATGGTATTAAATATACTAATAATGAAATAATAAAATTCGTGTTATAAATATGAAAGCATTTAACATAAGAATTTAAAAAGAAAACTTTTATTATCGCCTTTAGAAGGTGCTACATCGGAAGACAGCGGGGCCCCAGACTTAAATGAACTGTGCGAACAAATTCGAGCAGCGTTAGAAAAACGGGAAATTATCGAGCGACGCACCGAACCGTGCTCTCCGGATGATGGCCTTTATGGACAGTTGAGTTTAATAACTCACCTGCTCAAACACCCACTTAGGTTTAAAACATCCGAGCAGGGCACTAGGACTTTGGAAATGGTAATTATTTCTTAGTTAATTTTAAAAATTATAGATTATCAATAATAGAAGTATTTTGATGGTAAGTAAAATTTATTATTTCTGCTAAAAAAGGTTGAGGCTTTTTCTATATTTTTTTAGCGTCCCATGAAAAGCAGGAAGTTCTAAATAAATCGTGTGAAATAAAGAAATTATTATTTTTCTATATTTATTCAAATAAATCTAATACTACTTCGCAATAGTCATATTTTTTTATGACTTATTAGTAGAATGAAGAAGAAACTTGCATGCTTTTAAATAAATGTTGTTTTGAATTACATTTTTAAGAGTTTTACGTTTATAATTATATATTGTAACACTATAAAATCCATTCTTAGTCTCATATTAAATGGCGTTTATTTACTTTCTTATGAGAGATTCTGTTTTTTTTAGGTATTCGGATTTTTATTCGATGTTCCGAATCCAGAGAAACGTAATCTGCCAAAGTGCAAATCGCAGAAATCTCGCGCAGCCGCTTATGATTTACTAGTAGAATTGGTGCGCGGCGCACCTGACAATTATATGATATTGCACCATAAGTTAATGGAACACCATAAACCAGGTTAGTATGTAGTGGTCAAAGTAATATTTAATATCAGTTTTTTAAAAATTGTAACAGTATTACTAAATTAAAGATACAGTACAGACCAAGTTATTAAAAAAGTAACGTCATGGGTATCGAGGTACTCATTCGTTTATCACCATCTATTGATACTTTTAATAACTTGTTATGGTAAGTGACTCAGTGATTTCAATTGGATATCTTACCTTCTGGCATAAATATAAGACTACATCATTAAATCAATTTGGAATGCTGTAATATAGTTGTGATCCTACAGGCCATATCAATATACGATATTCAATAATGAGGATTATTGTTCAGGCGGCTCATCTGTGTACCCGTGGGACTATTGGCCGGCGGAGGAGTCTCGCTCAGAGTGCGGTTACGTGGGGCTGACTAACTTGGGCGCGACCTGCTATATGGCATCGTGCATGCAGCATCTGTATATGATGCCACAAGCTCGTGCCGCTGTACTTCAAGCGGACGTAGCCGCCAGCCGACACGCACCCACGCTGCACGAGATGCAGCGGATGTTCGCCTACCTCTTGGTATTATCTCTTTTTCTTCTTAATAATGATGATTGTTTATAGCGCACTAAAAATGAGTACAAAGTAATTTGACTATAATAGGGAAATCCACTTTTACGTTTTTTTAAATCAAGAATTATAATGTTGTAAACCTTCACCATGTTTTCGTATACACCTCAACTTCTAAGTCTTTACAATTATATATAAACTTTATGTTGTTCTCAAACAATGTTATTGTAACAGGAAAGCGAAAGAAAAGCCTACAACCCACGGAGTTTCTGCAAAGTATACCAAATGGATCATCAACCCCTGAACACCGGTGAACAAAAAGACATGGCGGAGTTTTTTATAGACCTCGTTTCAAAACTTGAAGAGATGACACCAGAGCTCAAGACACTTGTAAAAACTTTATTTTGCGGTGTTTTGAGTAATAATGTAGTTTCATTGGTATGTTTAATACAACTGTATTTTACGCTATGAATAATAACAGTAAAAGAAACATATTTTAACTACTGCAGTAATTCATTGTTTATAAAATGGCAATATTGTCAGTTGCCTTTGTTGCGTCATATTCTCACAGTCAAATATCACTGCGGTTGGACAACATAATAATACCACCAAGCATAAGCATGTACGAGACTAAACAATGTAGAAAACGTTCTAAGAGTGGGTGTTACTTTGTATAGTTGTAAAGTCTTTAACTATGTATGTAAAACATTTTACTACCGAGGTTGTCCCTAATAATTGTGTTGTTATTAATAGGACTGTCCGCACGTGTCCCGCACGCTGGAAGAGTTCTACACGGTACGATGCCAGGTAGCCGACATGCGCAATCTCCACCAGAGTCTCGACGAGGTCACCGTTAAGGATACGCTCGAGGGCGATAACTGCTATACCTGTTCACAGTGCGCCGCCAAAGTGCGCGCAGAGAAACGGTACATTTATTTAATTAATACATATACAGAATTATTTTATCCCACTAACAGGTAGTTGTTTTTGTTACATATTTTGTCAAGCACAATTTGTTATAGTTTTTTTAGTAGTCCAAAAACTTAAACGTATGTAAAGTATCTTCTTTCATATACAATAATATTAATTGCTTTATTTATGTGTAATTTATTTTACTATGGCCTATGATCTATACCCTGATTAGTTTTCGTACCAACTTTTATAAGTTAAATCAAATTCAATCATTTGAAATAAAATATATTTATTGGTACTCTCAATATTTCAAATACATAGGATCCTCATAGCCATGAAATTAGTAGTATAAAATATTATTCGATATGAGTTTAACAAATTGTAAAATATTGCAGGGCGTGTTTCAAGAAGCTACCACGCATTTTATGTTTCAACACGATGCGGTATACATTCAACATGCTCACCATGTTGAAAGAGAAAGTAAATACACATTTCTCGTTTCCAATGCGGCTCGACATGTCCGGATATGTCGAGAAACATCTTATGCCAGCACAGTATCAAGGTATATTTAAAAACTTACATACATAATAACTAATAATACTAACTACATAATAAATGTTACAAAATAGGGTTGTTAAACTCTCACTTTTATGTTTTTCATCATTCTACACGTAAGGTTTAGTAAACTTGTTATGAATTTTACAGAAATGAAATATTCCATTTTTAAATCGTGTTTTAAAGTGTTCGGAATCAAATTCCTATTAAAAACACAATGTTAAAATAACCCAATCATATGTTGCGATGTACTTATGTTTGTAATTGCTCTATAATACGATTATATCACAAATGAGGAAATACATATTAGAAGCTTGTCTTAAATTTAAAACAGAATTAAAATGTTTAAAGGTAACAAGAGTATTATATTAACGTAACATGACTTTTTAGAGGAAAAAAGGAAGTCTAGTGAAGGGAAGAAAGATGGTGAAGCTAGTCCGAGTACTGAATCTGAAGATAACTCGGAATTTGAAGAACATTATGAGTAAGTTATTTATGTCCCGGTATAAAAATGTATTGATTTATTTTGCCCTAATTGATGTCGCTTTTAAATAATTATTTATTTTATACATTAGCAATTCTACAATAATATCGCAATAATATGTTAAGTTCCTTGTCTATTTTCTGAAAACCGCGTAGTATATACTTTGTATACATTTGTTAATGCTTCATTTGTACATCTAGATACGAATTAATCGGAGTCACAGTACATACGGGCACAGCGGACGGTGGACATTACTACTCGTTTATCCGCGATCGTGAGCACGACCACCGGGACCGGTGGCTTTTATTCAACGATGCTGAGGTTAAACCTTTCGATCCTGCACACATTGCAGCTGAATGCTTTGGAGGCGAGATGACCGTGAGTCTTCTACTAGTAGTTATTTTGTTTTATTTATAGACTATACTGTAAATTTTGTTAGATTTACTGTAGTCTTAAAATTCATTTCAATAAAAACAGGCGTCTACGTTTATCAACAATAGTGTTACTAAAATGTTGTCTTCGTTGTTCACATAATTATATTATGAACTGTAATTAAATTTTTATGCAAAAAGATTGTTCAGGATTCACTCCGAAACTACTTAACCTGTTTTTATAAAATTTGGTTCACTATGTTAGTTTTTATCTATTTCAATATTAGAATAACTGAGCTACAGCAATGCTGATCTGGTCAGCGAGTAATATTAATAAAGATTTACATATGTGTTTTAGAGTAAAACCTACGATTCAGTAACAGAGAAGTTCATGGACTTTTCATTTGAGAAAACAAACAGCGCGTACATGTTATTCTATGAATTGAGTCCACCACGGAGTCATCGCGGTTCCGATTGCGGACAGGAGGAGGCACAGGTACGTTCATAATAAGTTCATGTATCTAATCTGAAGCATCTATTATTATTTTTTCTATATATATAATATAGTTGCTCTATACTTAACATTTTTCCTCCCAGCAAGCCGTATCGTAATTCACTATAGATATGTAACAAAAAAAGTTTATAAACAAACATTTGGCACATTTCGAACCGCAAATTTAGAGATAAAAATATGAATTTGACTGTGTGGCATGAAATTAATTAAATCAAAATAAAATTAGATGTGAAATAGTGTAAACTCGGTTTTACTAAAATTTAATGTTGTCTGCAGTCGTCAACAGCAGAGGAGTGCGGTTCGATGGCGAGGGAGGGTCGGTCGGAGGGTACGGAGAGCGGTGAAGGTGCCGAGGGGGTGGAACTGCCACATGACCTTCTGCAGTGGATATGGGATGACAACATGCACTTTCTGCACGATAAAAACATATTTCAACACTCATACTTCACGTACGTATCAGTACTAAAGGTATATTATGAACTGAGCCCGTAATTTCGTTCTCTCGTTGTATAAAATTGTAACAATTTTTTTTGGTTTCAATGAAAAGTAAGGCGACAGGTATCAACGTAATGACGTTAATACCTTCTCCCTTACTTATGTAACTCCGCAATATCTTTGCACAACAGTTATATTCATAATTGTGTATACTAACAATAATTGTAGGCTCAATTATGAAGTATATTTGACTTTAATAAATCATTTACATAACAGAAGCTATTTTATTGTATAGTAATAACTATAAGAACATGGTATTATTACAGTTTCATGGGTCAGATGTGCAGTTCAGTGCCCCAGTCGCTGTTGACGTTACGGCCAGAGATCACGGAGGTAGCTGCGAGGCTCTCCACTTCGTTCTTTATCGAAACTTTCATACATGCTAAAGAGAAGGTAAATATTTAGAAGGTTGTTATTGTGTGGTTTCATTGATGTCTATTACATATATGTAACAATGTTACTAACAACTCTTATTTAAAACGGATTAATATATTAAATTTTGTAGTATTCAGTAAACATAAGTGTAGTTTAACAGTTACAATTGGGAACCATTCACATCTGTAACTCAACATAGTTCAAGAAAATCGTTACAATTGAGAATTATTAATAATGTTACATAATTAAGACTTACTTAAATGCTTAAAAGGAAAGACAATGCTAATAGTCAAGCTCGTTACATATTCTAGTACTATATGTTACTACAATCTCGTAAACACAGCCGACGATGGTGTCGTGGGTGGAGCTCGTGACGAAACAGTTCAACGCCTCCGCGGCTGCTTCAGAGTGGTTCCTCGGACACATGGCCGACGACACGTGGTGGCCTATGCAGGTACTATATATTTTTTTTCACACTACGATACTGGCAAACATTCATACGACCCATCTGAGTGCCATTGTTACTATATCAATGTTACAGTGAGAATATAAAGATAACGTATTGATATTCGAGCCATGCTAACATGTTTTGTAAACGTGCTAAATTAGGAGCTACTCTCCTATGGCGCTTTTAATTTTTCTGTTTTTCAGTTATTGGTAAACCAAAAGACATAATTACGTACTTATTCAGTGAAAGAAATTTATATATTTTTTTTACATCTATTGCAAAAATGAAAATAATAATATTCAGCATTTAAGGAAAAACATAAATATGACCTTTGCATTATGATTTACACTGATGATGATGTAATACTGTCTATTTGTGCCTAATGAGCATTCGTTTTTTAAATTTAGTTAATAATGGTTATTCTATTCATACTGTTTCTTTTCAGGTTTTAATAAAATGTCCGAATCAGATGGTTCGACAGATGTTTCAACGTCTTTGTATGCATGTTATACAAAGGCTCAGGTGTGTATTTTTTTATTGTCCTGTATTTTAACACATAAATTATTTTAATTGGCTGAATATTGTTTATCAAAATGTTTCAACTATTCATCTTAAATATCTTTATTTTCACCCTTAAATAATGCTCTAATACATATATAGTACAATTTTTATATTATATATCTATATAAGCAATATAATTATTTAAAAGTTACAAACTTTTTAAATATAAATACATATTTTGTTTCAGATCTAGTCATTGTGCCTTATACCTTCAGGGTATGGAGGATGGTGAGGATAACAGCAAGTTGGGAGAAGCAAGTTGTGTTACTAGGTTTATAAGGATGTTGTTGTCTTTGGTAAGTTTATTGTATATATATTCAATTGTCAAAGGAAATGGTTCTTAAATTGTTCGCAATATCCTTGCCAAAAGTGAACATCATTCTATAATTCGGTTTTTTTTATATTTATTTCAGTAGTCAATTTATTATTTAATTGTAGTAAACCTTATCTCGCGAAATATTTACGTGGTAAGTAAACCTTGATCTGTGAAGAAATCGTGGAGTTCATAATATGAAGGAAAATAGTTATCATTAGTTTTTATAAATATATTTTAATAAATTAATTTAGGTCATCAGTAAATTTTCAATTATATATGATATCATAATGCTACACAATAATTTCGTACAAGATTTTAGAACTATGAACAGTCCTCTTACCAGACGCAATGTTTTGTCAGTAATTTTTTGACTCTATACCTTACGTAATTATGATTGATCTAGATGGAGAATGGTGCTCGATCTCATCTGCGTCACTTGACTGAATATTTTAGTCTTCTGTACGAGTTCAGCAAAATGGGGGAAGAAGAGGGCAAGTTTATGCTGCGCATTAACGTCATTTCTATGATGGTCAATTTTTATCTGGGACAAAATTCAAATGCGGTAAGATCTTATTAATTACGTTTTTATCGCAACTTTTACATACATAAAGTATGTAGACCGATATTTTTTTCTTATTGAGCCGACAGGGCTCTTATTACATGTAAGCTCTAATCATGTCATACTGTTTGTAGTTTGTTTATATTTTTCTCTAATCAATCAAAGTATGCAACAAGCCCTTGTTGTGTTTGTGGGCATACAGTTTGTAGTGGGATACATGTGTTCACGTCGTAATTCTATACATCACGATTGTTTCTTCAATTTCTTTCTAACATATAATATTCAACAAAATGTTCCCTTATTATACCTATATAAAAATCGGTTTTAATCAAATCATAATAACGGTATAGACAGCTTTAGCGTTGTCAATATCACTGCGTATTTGTTAGCTCGAGAGTTTTATTATACTTGGTTGGTATACAATTATACTAAGCTAATCTCATAACAGAGACATGTGCCTAGCAGATATAATTATCTAACCAAGAGTCTGTGTAGATATTATTTCGAAGTTTTCTTCTCTTGAACTATATACTTATACTTCGTTCCCGGAGACCGTTACTACAGCCTGACGAATCCTAACTTCGTCATCACACGAAAACTATGTTAGAAATGTATTATAATTACAATGAGAATATAATGAAGGTGGAGTCACCGATCGAGGAAGCGAGCGGTAGCGGCAGCGGCAGCGGTAGCGGCAGCGGTGCGGCGGAGAGTGCGGGCGACAAGCTGCGGCCCGGCGCGCTCGACAAGATGGTGGCGCTGGTGGCCGGCCTGCTGGAGCGCTCGCGGGACGCCGCCGGCCTGCTCGCGCTGCACGAGCCCGACGCGCGCGCTCTACTGCACGCCAAGGTATACGACACGCCTGCACGCACCAGTAACGAGTAACATACGAACAACTTAATAATACAATAATAACTAGCTGCCCCGCGCGACTTCGTTTCCATCATACTTTTTTAACATTTATCATTATATTTCGTCCAATTTACATAATATCTTTTTAAATTATACCCTATGTGTTATTCTGCTGTATAACTTATTATATATAACTGCAAAGTTTCATAAAAATCCTTTCGGTAGTTTTTGCGTGAAAGAGCAACAAACATACATCCATACTCACAAACTTTCGCATTTATAATAATAATAATAAAATAATATTTGATGTAAATGCATACATAATGTACTTAGAAAACACTAGATCGATCCAAACAATCATACTCGAATCGAAACTGCGACCATCGGAAGTAAAGCGGTGTGTGCACTAGACCACCGAGGTTTTCAAACTATACCTTTACGATTCCATTACGTATTAATCATATTATATTAATAATGTAATTAACCTCATACTTTACACTTCCATAGGGTTTCCCTTTCATCTACCAACAGACCCGTGACTGCCTAAATTTGCAGCAAACTCGATCACTCATATTCGCGTTGTGCCGGTGGAATGAACCGCTCGCACAGAAAATCGTGAACATGATATTTCAAGCCATCGCTAAACACTCCGAGGTGAGTCCAATGTTTTGTGGTTTACAGTTATGATGATGATGTTATATGAATGATTCATTATTATGGTCATTCAAAAAAAATCATGAGATAAATATTAAAATTTATAAGGTTTAAAATTAAAAGATTCTGGTAAATTTGACTGGACTTAGTGAACATTCTTTTTTTATGTAGCATATAAAATATTTACTTGTCATATCAAAGAGTCGTAAGTTAACGGCGTTAGTTTTACGTAATAAAAGTAGAATCGCTTAGTTTAGCAGCCATAGCCATAGTTATTACCACAATAATCCTACTGTTATTACTGTAAATGTTTATTTGCGCCCGATATATAAAGAAAGAAAGAACATACGATTATTCGATACACATAATAATATAATAACCAAACCAAACAATGACAACTTTAAGAGAAATGGTTTCGTTGATGTCGTTCTTATTATTACTCATGTTCACAGCTTTTGCTCGGTATTTTTTAATATTATTGTTATTATTATATATACGACATATAACCGTGTGTGGGGGGCCGGCAGACGTGCGGCCCGTTTTTTAAGCTACTCACGCTGCTGGTGGAGGGCAGCGGCGGCGGCGCGGGCGCGTCGGGCGGGCTGCCCTGCTTCACGCAGCTCGTGCTCGCGCGCCTCTGGGACGTCGCCGACGTCTGCCCGCACGCGGCGCTCGAGTGGCTCGCACTGCAGGTATCGTATACTTCATTCTGATTCAATTCGATAGTTCCGTCAAACAGTTATCTGGATTTAAAGCTCTTTGAAAACATATTATTGAAAAAATACAACATTATGCAAAGTATACGGGTATTTTTTTACCATTGTACTCTGTGCTGAACCGTTCTATGCTTAGTTAAAAAAATTATATACTTATAATAGTGTACCGCGTTATTGATAATAAATAAATTAAAGACAATGTGAGAGCTATGCCTACTTTAATGTATGTATATACGTAGATAAAACTTATATTGAAACATTTGCTGATAATATACATATTTTATATGTACTAGCTAAAACGTCGGCGTTGCCCGTACATTACACACATATATATGGCGGTTTGTAATTCGTAGAAGTAAGAATATCAATTCGATTGTAATATATTAAAAATATTCTGGGTTTTTATTGGAGTTTTTAATTCATGTGTTGTGATTCAAAGGATGATGATGAAAAGATGATTGATAGTAATGTGGACTTTTCTATCGATCCCCTTCCACGTGTTCGGTCTGTGGTGGGAGCGAGTGATGATCGGGTGTGTGCAGGTGCCGCGCAACAAGGCGGCGCACGCGTGGGCGCTGCGCACGGCGGAGCGGTGGGTGGAGGCGCAGCTGCTGGCGGCGGCGGCGGCGCGCGTGCGGGCGGCGGCGGCGCTGCTGCTGGTGGCGCTGGTGCCGTCGCAGCACTTCCGCGCCGGGTACGCGCGCGCGCGCCCCGCCCCCGCGCCGCCGCCCGCACACCTCGCCAAGCTGCCGGACACCGCGCACCACACGCTGCACCAGGTCGCCTACAATTTTTATTTTTAACTAGCCGTTCCCGCGACTTCGTCGCCCAAGTAACTCCTTTTTACAGGAGCTACCTACCAAAAAAAGTTACATTAGAATCGGTCCAGCCATTTCAGACATTTGCCGGAACAAACAGTCAGACGGAAAGACAGAAAATGATATTTTGGTGCATGTAACATAGTTATATGCATGTAGTAAAAAATGGTTATATCAGTATTACAAACAGACACTCTAATTTGATTTATATGTATAGATTATATTGATGTGTTATATTTTTCTTATTGATTTTGAATAATTAAAAAAAATGATAACATTCTATGTAAAGTTATAAGTGTGCGAAATTTCATACTCCTCCGTACTCGCAATTTTCTTAAAAAAAGGTACTAAGTTTTTGCTTCACAAATTAATATAATCATCATCTGATATTAATATAATGTTTAAACAAAATTTCTAGGATAAACGCTTCGTTCCCATGATCATTAGCAACTCCAACGCTATCCCAACTTTTAATCCGAATACTCTAATCACGAAAACAATTCCAATACCATTAGTATCTGCCTCTTTTGAATATTCGTGTGTCGGAGTACAATTGTCCATTCTGTAGACTATGACATATAGAGACCTTATAGCCGCCCATATAGACCTTATAGACTTGCCCGTCTGTTTGATTTGTTGGATAAATAGAAGATTGACGAAACAAGCCGGTATAGAAGATGGCCTTATCGCTAATGCAATTTCATCTAGACAACCTTAGAAAAGAGAATATCGCTAAAAATAAAGTAAGCGCCATATGAATGGAAATAAGTTGAAAACAAAAAATAGACACATTAATAGTCATTATTACATTACACAGGTATATACGATGCTGCTTGGTAAATTAAAAGCAGCGCGCAAGTACGCAGATATAGCAGTACACGGCACTATGAAGTTGACGGCGTACTTCGGTGTCATGTCGTACTGCGTTGTTAGCAGAGTCGAAAAGCTTATGGTATGTTGCATTAATGTATTAAATAAATGTACTTTTTTTTATATCAATTACGTAATCATAACTTAAAAATACAAACTGATATAATCTTTTTTTTAATAATTAGCCGTCCCGGCTTCTCTCGGATGCATTACACAAATTTGCATTTCTCGGGTTGTTCTATACTATAATTCGCATGTATTATACATATAAACCTTCATCTACAGCCACTCTATTGCTGAAAACTGCATTAAAATCGGTTTTAATCCGACTAATTTAAAAGATAAAAGTAAACAGACAGCGGCGGCATCTAGTTTTATACTATGTATTCAGTGTTAAACAATTTTAATAAATAAAAATTGTTGAATACGAAGTTATTAATGATAATATACAAGATATACACTAACTACTTATGCAATTTTATTATAGTATACATGTTGTAATATTGAAATGAATGGTAAAAAATCTCATTACAGTTTGGTCAATATTTCAACGACCTCTGGGATCTGTACCATCCAGCGATTTCGGAACCATCAGTAGCAGTGCACCCTAACAAGCAGGCGGTACTAAGTTTTTGGTATTCAGTGTCCGCCGACTGCCCAGAGAACGTACAGCTTGCGGTCGCCAACCCACGGCTCATGAAACATATCGCCTTCAATTATATACTGTGAGTATATTACTTCTATTATAAAGGAGAAATTTTGTTTGAATTGATGGATGGTTTTGCTATTTTATACATAAACCACTAAAGAAATTGTAACGATTTGGTACAGTTATATAGATTACTAGCTGTACCCGCGACTTTGTCCGCGTGGAATTTAACTTTATTTTTCAAAAATAAAAGTAGCCTGCCAATAAAAGTCGCGTTAAAACCAGTCCAGCCATTTCAGAGTCGGATTAATCGGAATTTTTTTTATCATTACTCAGAACAAACAGACAGACAAACATTGTAAAATATGTTATTTTAGTGTATGTACCGTATTTCTATTCATATGCATGTAGTAAAAAACGGTTATTTCACTATTATAAACAGACACTCCAATTTTATTTATATGTATAGATACAGTGAAATAACACAGGACATAATTTAAAGCATTATTGTATAAATTTGCCGAAATATAATAAGTGTCAAGAGAGACGAGAAAAATCCTAGCGTCCACAAACAGTCACACTAATATAATAATAGTAGTGCCATCTAATTCCCAACTAAAAAAAACTTGTGTTTTTGGGCAGCAGACAATTGATAGAAATACCATTTTTTATATAAATAGATGCATAATAAACATGGAAATCACCCAAATCAATGCAAACAATCATTACATTTTAGTTTTCCCTTCTAAAACATTGATATATTTGTATTGGATTTGGATTTGTATTTGGATGGTTGGTTTCCAGGGCAAAATGTCCTGGAAACCAACCATCGGAGGATCTTAAAGTGTGTTCACACAAATATTCTTAAGCGTTCACCGTTTGAGACCCGATTGTATTTATATGTATTAAGAACGCATATTACCCCAATACACTGAGATGACTATTGAGTTCCAATTCATTTCATGCCTGAACACCATTGCTTTTGCTCGGTCACCGCACAAAGACAATAGGTGTAGTAATGGGTAGAGTAGCGAAAACAAAATAATACAAAAATTTTAACATTCATATCTATCCATAAATATTAATTAATTAATTCATAAATATCCTGCATAAATAAATCATTTTTGATTTGACTTGTAATCTTATATTGTAACCAGAGCGGACCATGAAGACGGCGAGGTGGTGGCGTACAATCGTTCCATGCTGCCGCCGTACTACTCGCTGCTGCGGCTGTGCTGCCGGCGGTCGAACGCGTTCGCGCGGATGCTTGCCCAGCACCAGAATTTACACTGGGCCTTCAGGAACATCGCGCCCCACGCGCATCTGTATCCCGCCGCTGCTGATGAGTTACTTAGGTATATTTTAGAATATTTTAGGTAATAGAATTTGAAGTAAAGTGTTCATATGCCCGAAGTATATTATATCAATGAATAAAACATTAGTTTTATAAACAAACATTATTAAAAATAATTATGTTAACGTAATCTTTGTAGGCTAGCGCGTTTCCTGGCTGCACGAGGTGGCAGTAATAACAGCACAGGGAATAGTAGCAGCAGTAGTAGCAGTGGCGGCAACGTGGAGTGCGTGGACGGTAGAGAGGCTGCTGCGTTTAGACGGAGTACACTCTCCGCCTATTTACAAGGTATTCAAAGCCACAATATATTAAGATCTATTCACCATTGGTATTTTGTTTAGACACTGCGACGTCTCATTACGAGAGTCACTACTAACATAGATGAAAGTTACAGACGTTATGCATATAGTGATTCATAATTTTATAAAGATGAAGGAATAATTGAGTGTTTTTTTGTTGACAGGTTTAAATGGTAGGACGTGTTGGACGACGTTAATATCGGCATTTTGTACTTTAGTCGAGAACGAGGATGATAGATTGTATGTGGTATACAATGGCGGACTGCAAATGACTTTCGAAGTAAGTTTCTTTTATAAGTAACTAGATTATCAGTGTAGATTGATTACAACGGCCTGCTTTTGAGATTATGTTTTTCTACTCCTTTATAGGCATACTGCAGCTATATCTTATACTTATAAAATAATTATATAATGCCTATAATTTTATAGTATTTACCTCTCCACGTTTCAACTAGCCGTGGTTACAAGTAGAATATTAAGATTTACGCGAATTGAATTCTTAAATAAACTATTTTAAGAACTATTATCGTTGAACGCGTGATGTAACGCGTTGCTGCTGTCCCTGCAGGCGCTGCACAGCCTGCACGCGGTGTACGTGGAGGGCGGCGGCGGCGGGGGCGGGGGCGGCGCGGGCGCGGTGCGCGCGGAGCTGACGGCGGCGCTGCGGTGGGCGCGCGCGCTGTGCCGCACGCTGCGCCGCCGCCGCGACCACAAGGAGGCGCGCGCGCTGCTGCTCGCCTGCAAGGACTGGCCCGAGTGCGCGCGCCGCCTGCTCACCATGCTCAACCTGCACCACCGCCTCACGCACCTGCGGGACGCCGCGCTAGGTACGCACACACACGCACACATACGCACACATACAGATTATAATCCTTGACAATTATTTTTATGCTAGTTATCCATACACATACTACGAGTAAATTATGGAGGCCTGAATTATGGATTGCAAAAAAATGCAATTTTCAGAACTATATATTTTTATAAATTTTAATTTCATTAAATATTCTTATAATTAATTACGACTGTGTGATACTTCCACGATGGATGAATGAAATATAACTGTCCTTTGGTGAGGTGGCCACCTGCACAAGAGAGGTGCAACATGACAGTGATGGCATACTATGCAGATTCTGGGTTGTCACGCTATAGAACAAGCGTCCCAAGCACACAATGACTAATCTGTTAATCGTTGTGTATTATAGGTGTGCTCCGCGAGCTGGTGATGATCGGCGGTAGTGCGGCGCTGGGCGCGCTGGTCCCGTTAGCGGCGGGCGCGCAGTGTGCGGCGCGTGGTGCGGCAGTGGGCGCGGGCGGGGCGCGGGGCTCGGCGCGGGCGCGCGCTCACATGTGCACCGCTCGACACAACTCCGCGCCCTCGCCGCCGCTCGCAGCCTCCGTCTACAGGCCCTACCACAAGTTTATAGGTACACTACCTAACCACCTGTTACGGTCCCCGCACATTTTCGATTAGCCTGGGCTGACGGCGGTGTCTAAAGTAATATGCCTGGGATTTTTTCGCATTACTTTATACTAATGTGAAAAATGAATGAAAAAAAATCCTATAGAAAAACTAGATGGCGCCACAGAGGAAATTTATTGTCGCTAACTTACAATACTATAACATCAGTGCAGTGCTGACAGGCGGTGCTCGATTCATGCGTTGTGCTACACGCCTTCCATGTAGTGCCATTAAAATTTTAGAAAGGCTAGTTCTAAAAAGGTTGGAATACTGCTCTAAATGAAGGTATGCGTGTGCACAGATACATGCTGCCGCGTGGCGCGTAGTCAGCGGTGCATGTCAGACCAGCTGGTGCTGCTGTCGGTGCTGTGCGCGCTCGAAGCTGTCCCGCTGCGGTTCAACTACTTCGCCGCATTCTGGCGAGACGTCGCCGTCACTCCCGTGAGTAATCATTTTATAGGTAAACCACATTTACACGTTGACAATATTGCAACCATAGAAACATGCCACTTGTTGGATTACGAATCCTTATAAATTAATATATAAAAGAGAGAGTGGACTGTATTTATTGAAAAGAAAATAATTAATGGAAAAGTAAGTAAAAATACGTTTTCGACCTGGAACATCTTCCTGGAACATCTTCCACACTCCGAACACCCCAAAGTAAGCACTAAACTTACATACCTTTGCTCAGGAACGTCCCGATGTGTAGTACTGTTTAGTGGCCACGCACTCTAGAGTGTATATTTCCATCAAAAACAATTATGTTGTGTTAAATAAATAATTAATTATCTTGTTTTATATAGATAAAAATACGGAGCGTCCTTTTAATTCCAGTCCTTATTTTCAATTGTTTTATTATTCTTTTTTCGAAATTTAAGTGGCCACATGTTTTTATATGTGGCCAGTATTACCGAGCGCCCTTTGCTTCAGTAAGCAAGCCGGTGATACAACCTGCTTAGACTAAGGAGGTTCGGAATACGGAACATCACTTATTATTTATTGTTATCGCTCTATAGGCCGTACCTAAAACGTGATATTAATTTTTAATGCGATTCTGCGTCGTAAATGACGTGTTTTGATTTGTAAAGAAAATGCAATACACAACTATGTTATATGGAGTCTACATCTAATTAATAATATAATACAATCATCCTTTTCATTTCTTTATAATCATTGATTATTTTGTACCGTGTTGCCGATTTCTAAGACGACATTCATTCTAGGTTGAAACGATATAATAAATAATGTCGGCTTTTTATAAAAAAAAATACACTTGACACTATTTTCAGGCGGATACCAAGCTAGAAGAGATGCTGTTAGAGTGTAGCATTGTAACAGAATATATGGATGCGGTGTTACTCGATGAGCGGGACTCGTTGGAAGACCCTATCATATATCAATTTATGCTACATTATTACCCCAAGGTATGTTTGACTTGTTCGACTTTTGTCTATATTAACAGTGTTCATGTGTTGATTTTATTTTTAATTATTAATTTGATTTTTTGATGTTAATTATTGTATTAAAAGTAAGTAATATGTAAACATCGGTGGTAAAGAAGCATACGAACCATCTGATGGTTGGTTTAAATGGTTACCATAGCTTATGAACGCCTAAGACTGATTTTATTAAATATTGTTGCTACAAAAAACTGTAATAATACAAAACAGCTATAGATTTCCGGCTTATTAAATTTCTCTCGATAATTACTTAACTATCATTTGTATACAAAAGACAATTTTAATAACCCTTTTGAATGGTTGTAAAGTGTAATAAAATAGTGTAATGTAATTTTAATTTAATTCTTAATTGTAATGTTCCTACAACGTGTCAGTTGTACGGGGGCTCCGGCGCGGGTGCGGGCGCGTGCGGGTCGGAGGCGCTGGCGCGTGCGGGTCGGCGCGGCGGCGCGCTGGCGGCGCGGCGTGGAGGCGCTGGCGGAGGCCGCGCACCACCGCCTACAACATTCCAACGGTGCTATTAGCTGCCTGTACACCTGTGCGTGCTCGCAGCCGCGCCGCGGGCCGCGCGCGCCACGCACGCCATGGCGGCCGCCGCGCGCACCACATCCTACTTACTATTAGCTCTGTCCGCGCTGCTCGCAGCCGCGCCGCGGGCCGCGCGCGCGCCGCTGCGGGCCGCCGCCGCCGCGCACCACCGCCTACAACATTCCAACGGTACACCACATCCTACTTACTATTAGCTGCCTGTACACCTGTGCGTGCTCGCAGCCGCGCCGCGGGCCGCGCGCGCCACGCACGCGCCGCGGGCCGCGCGCGCCACCGCCTACAACATTCCAACGGTACACCACATCCTACTTACTATTAGCTGCCTGTACACCTGTGCGTGCTCGCAGCGCCGCCGGGCCGCGCGCGCCACGCACGCCATGCTGCGGGCCGCCGCCGCCGCGCACCACCGCCTACAACATTCCAACGGTACACCACATCCTACTTACTATCACATGTAACCTGTGCTTATGCGTCCGGCCGCCGCCGGACCGCCTACAACATTCCAACGGTACACCACATCCTACTTAGGAATTATTGTGAATGTACCAATGTAACTATCAGGTATATATAAGACCTGTGCGTGCTCGCAGCCGCGCCGCGGGCCGCGCGCGCCACGCACGCCATGCTGCGGGCCGCCGCCGCCGCGCACCACCGCCTACAACATTCCAACGGTACACCACATCCTACTTACTAGCTGCCTGTACACCTGTGCGTGCTCGCAGCCGCGCCGCGGGCCGCGCGCGCCACGCACGCCATGCTGCGGGCCGCCGCCGCCGCGCACCACCGCCTACAACATTCCAACGGTACACCACATCCTACTTACTATCACATGTAACACTCTTATGCGTCCGGATGGACTTTACGCAGGAATTATTGTGAATGTAAATGTAACTATCAGGTATATATAAGATTATAAAAAATATAGTAAATGAAAAATATAATATTCACACGACCCTAGTAATAGCGTTAGGGAATTGTTTGCATATGCGTAAATCTGATATAGTTCATTTAATAAAATCATTATATAATATAGTGGAGCTCGGTATAGGTAAAATATTATTATGCGCATTTCCCTAGTCTCAATCCCTGACTAATGAACAGAATAAGTTCATTTATAGTATAAATAATTTAATTTATTCAATGACATATCATTGTAATGATATATTTTATTTTGAAAGTAACAAATTTGTTACAAATTATTATATGACGGGAGGTAATTTTTATCTTCCTAAAAAACAAAAGAGACTATTCCTAGTTTACTAGCGTATAACATTTATGATCCCATTATAAGTAGTATAACGGATTTAATTAGTAATATTAGTACATTCATTCATAATTTAAAAGCTACGCTCTTGTCGGTGGAACTCTTGCCACTTTCCGCGATCTTCCATCATGCTCTTTAATTCTTGAAATGGAGCACGAAATTAGTAATTCTACTAATAATGTGACATGTGTTAATTTAAACTAACATCTACGACATTGGTTAAGCCACAGGATATGGTCATTATTCATCAAAATATTCGTGGCTTCTCTAGCAAAGAATTAGAATTAAGTCTTTTCTTAGAATCTAACAATGTACGGGTGTTATATCTGACAGAATATTGGCTTAAACAATATGAAATAATTTGTACTTTTGAACATTATTATATAGCTAGTTTTTTTGCTAGGAACAATGCCATTTATGGCGGTTCAATTATTATTTTAAAAAATGATGTAGAATTTAAAAACCGTCAAGACATTGTAAATATTTCTATTGAGCAAACAATTGAACTATCATGCGTAGAATTAGCTACTTGTATAATAATTTGCGTTTATCGTCCGCCATCGGCTTCTTTTGATTCTTTTGAACTGGCTATGGAAGAAGCATTGAGACGAGTCGCACGGAAGAATAAAACATTATTTGTATGTGGCGATTTTAATGTTGATTTATTATCGGAATGCTCAATAAGCTTAAGATTGATTAACTTATTTAAATCATTTAATTTGCACAATCTTTTTTTAGAACCCACTAGGGTTGCAGGAAATTCTGCCACTTGTATAGATAATGTTTTTTGTAATTGTGAAGTAAAGGTGAAAATGAATTTCGACTGTCTTGGATCTGATCATTATGGACAAAAAGTTACAATTGAAACTAAGGGATCCAAAGGGACTCAAACAATTACATGCAGACAAATAACACAAAAGAATTTGGCACGTTTTAAAAATAAAATTGAACATAAAATATCTAGTGTCGTAGTACCTCAATATGACCCGGACATGTATGTGAATAAATTTTTAATTTAATTGAACATGAAACTAGCAGTGAATTTAAAACAAAAACATTTTCAACTAGTGTAAAATCAAAGTTTTGTGACTGGGCCACGTTTTGGTATTTATAAGTCTAGGGCTAATCTTTACGAACTTTACGAAATACGAAGCTATATATCCGATCCCTTATTTCATGAACATGTAAAATCTTATTCGAAAGTATTTAAAAAGGTTTGTCATACAGCTAAGTCTCTCTATTTAGGTAAAATAATAACTAAATCTAAAGATAAAATAAAAGCCACTTGGAACGTAATAAATAGCGAAACTGGAAAAGTTAATTTTCGAAATAGCAAAATAGCTTTAAATATTAATAACAAATTGGTAAATTCCGACACAGAGGTCGCGGATACATTCGAATCTTATTTTACTAATATTCCATTAATTACGACACAGGATCTAAAATCTTCCCCGTCTTCTGCTGAAACTTTACTAACAGACAATGTTAGCAAGTCATCAGCTGTATTTAACTTTAGACATACAACATCAGTAGAAATAATGAAAATATTTAAACAGCTTAATAATAAAAAAACAGAGGATCTATGGGGTATATCTGTTAAAATACTGGATAGTATAATGGAAATTATTGCGCCGTCTCTTGCTTTTATTTTCAATAAATGTATAGATGAAGGTAAATTTCTTAACATAATGAAAATTAGTAAAATCATACCGCTTTTTAAATCTGGAGATAGGAGTGACCCAATAAATTATAGACCTATATCTATACTCCCAGCACTCAGTACAATTTTTGAAAAAATAATCCTTATCCAACTTGTCAGTTATTTCAATTTAAATAATTTAATCCACAATAGTCAATTCGGTTTTTCCAAAGGTCGTTCAACTACAGACGCAGGTGCAGAGTTGCTTAGACACGTATTTGCTGCATGGGAAACTAAAATGGATGCGATAGGTGTTTTTTGTGACCTTTCTAAGGCTTTTGATTGCATTGATCATAATACATTGCTAAAAAAACTTGCTTTTTATGGCGTCAAAGACAATGCTTTAAATTTAATAAAATCTTATCTGATAGAACACAGAAAGTGAAGGTTAGCAACGCTACGTCTGACGGGTCACTTGTGCAAATGGGTGTACCTCAAGGATCTATTCTCGGTCCATTTTTATTCCTAGTTTACATTAATGATCTCCCATATGCCATGCAGGATAGATGCGGCATAGTATTATTTGCAGACGATACTTCATTGATTTTTAAAGTTAATATAATGACTAATAATTATGACAATGTAAATAGTGCTTTGCGGCGTCTCCTGCACTGGTTTACAACTAACAATCTTATGTTAAACGCTAAAAAAACAAAATGTGTTAATTTTTCTCTGTCTAAAAGTTTTAATACTAATTGCAACATAAAATTAAATGACGAATCTCTCGAATTTATAGAATCTACTGTCTTTCTAGGAATCACACTAGATAATAAAACACAATATGGTGCACAAATCCAAAGCCTTGCAGCGAAACTAAGTTCAGCAGCTTTTGCCGTGCGTAAGGTTAGACAGTACACTGATACTGATACTGCTAGATTGGTCTATTTTAGTTATTTTCATAGTTTACCGTCTTATGGAATATTACTATGGGGAAAAGCGGCAGATATTAAAAATATATTCATATTACAAAAACGTGCCGTTCGAGCGATCTACTGTATGAAGAGTCGTGACTCATTAAGAGAGAAATTCAAAGAGGCAAATATTCTCACCGTTGCTTCTCAATTTATATATTCAAATATCCTATATGTTCATAAAAATCTTGACTTATTTCCAAATAACAGCAATATTCATAATATTAATACTAGATTTAAAGACAAACTTGCTGTCCCCAAGTATTGTTTAGAAAAAGTTAATAGGTCTTTTATGGGAATAGGTATAAAAATTTACAATAAAATACCAAAGGATATGTTGGAATTACCCTTAAATAAATTCAAAACATCTGTTAAATCATATTTACTGAGCAAAGCCTATTACTCACTAAACGATTACTTGAATGACGAGTGTGCATGGCAATAGTTGTTCATGCACTGAATTTTCATTTAATGTTAGACATAGGCACCTATATAAATATACATTGTAAATAAACTGGCTTTAAAAAAAAAAGTAATTCAATTGAGTTTCTTGCCAGTTCTTCTCAATTGGATCTATATACCGAACTGGACGGTAGGGAAAAAATTTAAAATTAAAATGTAAAAATTTGACTTTCATAAGCGGCTAAAATGTCCTACATGAATAAATGATTTTTGAATTTTAATTTTAATTGAACAAGGAGAACCGGAAAGAGCATTGCAAAATGGCAGACATCTGCTACATATACTTGTTAGTCATTTTGTCAGTTTGGCGTAACAGTGCGCAGCAGAAGTTTGCATTCATAGTATTTAACGGCTAGCCGAGGTGTAAGCCGCATGTGTCAGATACATACAGATGTCCACGATAAGCTGCATTCGTTTTATGGCACAATACTTGACGCATGATTACAAAGAGATTGTAAGTTATGCGACAAATGTGACAGATTTCCAATGCTTGTGACGTTTAAAGCCTGAAAATTTATATACTTATAATTTATTATATAAATATTTTTTTATTAATCCATAATCCGGTAAATGTCTTTATACATTTTCGTAAACAATTTGTGATTGTGAACTGGGAACTGAACTAGGGACGGAGCGTGTATCTCAATAGACCGGAACTCACGCCTCGGTCGAATATTTAGGTTTAAACTATTGTATTTGTATAACAGAGGACGAAACGTCCGAGCCGGAGACGACGTCGGAGACTGCCGCGGATGCGGTCCGCTGCCACACGCCCGAGGGCAGCGAGGCGGAGGAGCCGGTGGAGGACATCGGGGTGGACCTGGAGGACTCGCCCGACGAGGAGGCGGCGGCGGCGGCCCCCGCGCCCGACCTCCGCAGCGCGCTGGCGCTGGCCGCGCAGCAGCTGACGGCCGCCGCCGCCGCCGCCGCCGGCGCCGCGCCCCCCGCCGGGCCCTCGGCGGCGCCCGACTCGCCCGCGCCGCCCGACCTCTCGTAGGACCACACTCCCGTGCCGCTGTTACACCTCCTGCCATTATTCTTTCAACATTGGTCGTACATGTAATTCAGTGGACATTCACGATGCTCGTGTACAGCGGGACGTTTCACACGATTATTTAAAGCGACTTCATATTATATGTGGCATACGTTTTCTTTTTATGTAGTGTTGGTAAAATCGGTAAAATAGTGCGATGTAAGTCAGTGCTAGATTATATATGGTCAGTCTGCACCATCGATTCCTAGACTTTTTTTTATCGTATATTCCACTCGCCATATTATTATATTATAATGCTAATTTGTGGACCACTTATAGCTCATAAACCTTTGGGTTCTATATCGAGCAAAGAGAAGTAATGTTTGAATTGATGATAGCCTAAGTATCATCAATCAATCTAGACCCTTACATCTGTCCTTCACTCCGTTTCCACCAAAATATATTTTATTTTCTGCTAGTTATACCCGTTCATTAGCCTTGTTTAAATTAAGACAGAATTTTGTAATTTCATTCAAATCCGTCCAACTGCTTAAGCATCATAGAGTAATAAACATATTTTGAACCCTGACGTTTATAACATTATTAATATTATTTATTTGGAAGTATCATCAGTAATTAATGTTTAATACAATTGCATTTTATTGTTGCGTGGACATTCATTCAGAATGGAGTTTATAAAATTCCCATTGGGATAGGAGAAGACGGATTTCCATAGGTATAGCAACGGGTATAGCTAGTTAATTTATAAATTATGAAATGTATATTTTTCCAATAAATAATGTTTATTATTTATATATGGGACGTTTTATATTCTTTATTTAAAAATATTTTTTTAAATCCTATGCAAGTTGTTTCCATATATTCTATATAAAAGATGTATTAGCAGTGTCAACACAAGCTAAAATATGTTGTATTGTTATACTAACTAATGTATATTATTGTTTACGTACATTAACGACATGAATCTTAATCTAAACACTACATATATTTTTTGGTGGGTACGCGGTGTAGAAGAAAATAATTACAACACCTAAATAACTAAAAGATAGTTCCATTCGTAATTTTATAGCTTTTTTAAAATTTTGTAGAAGTATTTACGAGATGCGATATGTCTTGGAGACAGCGGGGGCTTACATTTTTTAACAATTTTAATATATTGTAGGAAGGAGGAGTTTCTCGGTACGACTGTGTACTGTCTGTGTTACGTGTTGTCTTGGCCATAACTGTACAGATTGGGTCATTCAATCTGAACAGAGGCTTAATTATGTATCGCTGTTAGTAACAATTTTGAATTGTAACAGATTCCATGGAGTTAATTTCAATTGCAAGTTAAGTTGTGCAATGCGCAATCGCAACTACTAAATGATCCATACATAATTCCACATATGTAGTCTAATTTGTTTCAGATGAGAATTGTTTGTCACAGTGTTACATAATTAGTTTGATTACATTTTTGCAATCAATAGAGTTTATTAACGTGTTGATTTCGTATAAATTTTGTCTGTATTTGTAGTCGGTATAATGTTTTTAAGGACTAAATGTATTCGTAGTGATATCGATTCACTTTAGTAAAATATATAATAGTTTGCACTGCACTATTGATATTGACAAGTAGTGAAGCTTCACCATTTTGTTAGACGAAATGTTTTTTTGTTTGAGTTCTGGTACTATTGCCACTTGTGTAAATATTATTCAGTAAGATGTGGTAATTGAGAACGAATGTAACTAACATTCCGCACTTACGAGATATGCTCCTGGAGTGTGTTAGGTACTCACGCTTAGTTCCACACTTGCTCCAACGTCTGCACCGGCTTGGGCCTACGTATCGACTATTTATGGGATCGTCGATATGTAGATCCAAATATGTTGGAGTACTGCGGAACAAAGCGGTCACGCAATATGTGCCCGACCAGGACAATATATTTCCCGCTATTTTACGAATGTTCTTGATATTAATATATTTTGCTTACAGTAGTAACGCTTAGCGTCGGTACTTATGTGTTATGTTGCCATAAAGTTAAGAAGCACTCCACAAATTGTTTTTATTTTTCTAGTCGGGCATTATTATGTGCGCAAAATTTATAAAGCAAAATTTAACATTAAAATTGTAATATCTATTCAGCTCAATCTTACAATGAATCTATGTATTAATTTAGTTTAGATATATTAGTGAGTATATAATTTTTAAAGTCATAAGTTATTAATATATTATGTTACATGGAGTGCAAATGTTGTGAAAATGTTACAAAAAGTTTTCGAGGTTTAATATATATACATATATATATTAAACCTCTATATAAATATATAAGATATATATATATATATATATATATATCTTTATTGTAATATATAGCGCGTATTACCTACTTTGTTATCTAATAATTTCGGTAGTATTTAATCGAAAGCTATTAAGGTATACATTAATTAGACTATTCTTAATAAATTCATACTAATATTACTTAGGTAAGTGTATCTGTGTCTAGTATACATTCCAAAATATAACGCCAACACCATCACAATATAGTAATGCAAGTCAAAGGTACCAAGTATATAAAAGAATCCAAAAAACGACCGTCACACTGCATTGTGAGATAACATAATATTACTATGTCATTTAATAATTTCATACATTTTATATACGAGCTGACAGAGCGATTTATATGTATATGGCCATGTATTGAGGATGAGCAGGAAGTTACTATATATTTCTCTACGATATTTGATCTATATATTAAGTTGTGTTCTATAGAGAAATTACACGCTTTTTCTGATCAATCAATTACATTGTGTACATGTCGGACACAATTTAATTTTACAAAATTCTGTCAATCGTTAATATTTATTTGATACCTTTTAGGCAAAACCTATATATTATGTAATCATACTTTTAAGAAATAGCAAAAATAGTTTATAGGTTTAAGTAACGGTATCGCGTTTTCAGTACGACGTTATAAACACAAAAATATCGACTAGGGAATAACGAACGTTGTTGCAAGTACAGAACAAATTGCATTTACAATTATGTTCTAGAAAACTTTATGATTGCATTATTATATTTTGATGTCTTTCTCACTAGTTAAACATTAAACATAAGACTGGTAACATGTTCATTTTAAGCTTCAATAGAGAATATATATAAAAAACATACCTGCTACCTAAATTTGCTTGTTTTAGAGAGTATATTTTGTTTTTTTTTTTATTTTAAATCTTTTTACCACCTAGGCAATAGGCAATACTCTGAAAATGTTAAAACATGTTTGCGGATTGTGAGAGTTCAGTAAAATATGAAATGACTCCAATCATTTAATACATATGGTTTTATATTAATAATTATTTAGTGCTGATAATTGACGCTTATATTATGGGCGATATTTACTATATTGACACGGAATCATAATATATCGATTATGAGCAACATGATTAAACTGTATCATCATTTGTATAACTTTGTTATTGCGCATGCTATTGCTATATTCTTATTTTTTTTTACTAATTATACTCTTATTTCGAATACCTAATGTTATAATCATAATTTGTTTCGGCTGTGAAAATTAGTTTAGAATACACGTACCTAACCTTTCAAAGAGAAAAAAATGATATCGTTCTTACGGTGTCTAAATATATCAAAGTATGAATACTGTGAGATAATAATGTACCCGTCCAAGGCGCTTAATCTTTATTAATTTGCGAAAATTTTTTAGACCAGTATAGTTTGTGTATAAAATATTATTCTAAAGTACTTGTCGTCATGTAAAATATCTTGCCTCTGCGTCGTGTAGGAAGTTTTATGAGCTAAAGGAGCAGGAATAGTTAAATTTCCAAATAGTTTTTTTAATCTTCAAAAAATATTTGTAATCATAACTATGACGATAATACACATAATAGTAGCTGGCTATAGATTATATGCATATTTATGTCTTAGCCCTGGTGCAGCCTACAAGGTGACACAATGTAAGTCATTGGCGACGAAATTTCGTCATGTCAAATTGTCTAAATTTTTATTATTCTTAATCTATACTAATATTATGTAGCATCTGCGAATCGCGCACGCATATATCCCTTGTATTTATCTGTAGTGTTTTTGAACTGACGTAATAATTCTGTGCCGATTTTGATGATTTACTTACAATGGGTCTCATACAATTTTTTGGTCACGATTGGAGTCGATTGCTTTTTATAGAACAAAATATACTTATGTGAGTGATTGTATCTACCAATAAGTAGCAATGTATTAATGTTATGGTAAGTAGCTAAGTTAAGGGAAAACCTTAATAATTACTCACTGCCCGAATCAATAAGATGAGGATACAACAATAATCTCTTATTCATCATATATGTAGCAGAATTAGTTGTACTATTGGTAAACCATTTTTATCGAAGATATATTCACAATTTTTCAGATTTTTAATAAGAATAAAATGTCCATTTTATATCTGTATTATTATCTAATTGTGCTTTTACATCACAAGTTATTAAGATTAACAGTTACTATCTACAGAGTAACAACTATTATCGAGACAAATCAAATAAGTCTTAATTTGAGTAGGTAGCATTGTTTTCTTCAAAGTTTCTATGGCTATCTTCTAACACTATCATTAGACCTCGTCTCCAAAATATTAAATATTCATAGTACTTACCAGTTCATTGCATGCTAGCATGTGAAAGTGTTCTCGGTGCTGATAACTATAGTCTGTAGAGTCTGTCCAAATCATTTTTGGAGAAGGTTGGTTCTTTTTTAGAATTATGCTTGCCCAAAATTTATTTTGCTTATTATTTCTAATACCAATATCTTATTAGCATTCTTAATTTTTGTTTTCGAATATGACACCTGTACATATATAAAACATATGATTTGTATTTATATATAAAAACAGTAATTACTACTTTTATATCATTCTTAGTGTGTACCTTTTATCTCGGTATTTTAATTCAGTATGCGATTTTATTGCAAACTATTTCATTGATTGGAACAAAAAAAGCAATAATTTAAATTGATATACGAATTATTCATGTTCAATAAACGAAGTCTCGATATTTCATAATAATTTGTGTGTAAGTACTATAGCTTAATATTTGTTATAAATTACCTAATAAACATTTGACTTAACTAAATGTTATAAATATGTTGATAAGTAGTATTTGTGGAGTGCAACAGGCAGTCACTGGTGAATTTTGTAAATGGATGAAGTAATGTGGTGCTAACGGACTTATGCGAGTGACTGGAAATATAGAAGTGTATTTAATTTTGTCCTGATTTTAGAGCTTATTAATATATTATTATATTCTGTAATTTAACTACCATCTGTAATTTTTTTATATTACTTTTATGTTTATGAAAATGAGGCATGGTGTGATTTGTGCTACTGATTCACTGTATTAGTCACATTTTCCCTCATTTCGGTGTATGTATAGCATGTAATAATAAAACTTCAATTTTAACTTGTGTATTATATGTTACTGAGAGTTTCAGTCGAATTTAACTGTGTTATTGAACATAATTTTGTGAAATTAAAAATACTGTAATCGGACTGGGAAGCCAAAGTAAACAGTATTTTATAAGGATTGTGTTTTCATTTATAACTTATTTAATCCTTAATAAAAAGATAACGCAACTAAATAATCGACGCCACACTAATATCTACATTAATTATTAAAATTCTTTTTTTCGATACTTTCAAATTCACATGAAACCAGCTTCCAAGACATTATATTTAATACCATAACTAATTAAGAAATACAACCCACATCCTAAAATTAACAAATATGCTTTAAGAGGATGCAATAAGACTGTTGTGAATAAAAATACATTAAGTTCTTACTTTACTTTTTATTATATTCGCGATACTGTTTCTAATCTCGGTATCATTATAGTATGTTAATAAATTTTAGTAATAGTCATTTTGGAAAGTTGAGATATGGAAACACAAATTAACAATGTATGCAGAATGATATCTGAACCATATAAAATACAATAGATTCATAAATATAGCCCTTCAGGAGTGCCTTCTTTTTTCCTGTAGAGAACACTCTCCTTAGATTTCTTGAAGTCCTCATTAGTGACTTTCATGCGACGCTCTCTCAACGCCATCAAGCCAGCTTCAGTACAGATAGCCTAAAATATATAAATGAAAAATTAAATATTGGAAAGAATATGCTCCAATATACTGCATAACATCTGATCTAATAATAGCATATTTTGATGAAACATTTTATCTTAGGAGTAATAAAAAGTCAGATTAAAATAGAAAACTTAAGAGGGTAGTGGAATAACAGAAATAATAAAAATAAAAATTGCAAGGAATCACTGTATCTTTATTAAATTTTCATATTATTGGTATTCCATAGGTATTGGTAACTAAATGTTATTACACAAAAGAAGCTGCAGAATATAAACACATATAGCTAATAAATTATAAATACCTTGATATCTGCACCAGAAAGGTCATCTTTTGACATAATTAATTCAGACAGATTAACATCATCAGCTAAAGTCATTCTGGAAGTATGAATAGTGAAAATCCTCCTTTTAGTCTTTTCGTCTGGTAGAGGAAACTCAATCTTCCGGTCAATACGACCTGGACGAATCAGTGCAGGATCTAATGTTTCTATGCGATTAGTAGCCATGATTACCTGCAGGAGACAATATAAATGATTACATAGTTATGTTTTAATTAGATTAAGTAATTTTATATCTGTATATAAAATTTTATATATATATTTTATATCTGCTCAGAGAGAGCACTTTTCCATATATTTATAATGATTCCAAATTAAATTCATAAAGAAGTAGCTTTATAAATTAAAAATGTTCAAACAAAAAACATTTAATTTTACCACTTTAAGTATTCATAGTTTCCCCTAATTATATATATAATTAGATTAAAAATACACTATAAAATTACATTTAACATATTCATATTGTAAGTATTGTACTTACTTTTACATCACCACGGGAATCAAACCCATCCAGTTGATTCAGTAATTCCAACATAGTTCTTTGAATTTCTCTCTCACCTCCAGAATTAGAGTCATAACTATAAAAGTAGTGTATTTTATTAACATGTGAAAATAAATATTTTTTCAACAAACAATTGTTTAATAGAACTAATATCTTACCGTTTGGTACCCACAGCATCAATTTCATCAATAAAAACAATGGAAGGTGCATGCTCCTCAGCCACTCTAAACAGCTCACGTACAAGTTTAGGTCCATCACCCTGTTGTAAACAATATAATAACAATGAACATATAGAAGAAACTGTAATTCAATTATGAAAAAAATTCAGAACCCACTATTTAGAAGCTTCATTGATTTAACACATTTAACTAAAATTTAGTGAGTACATGTTATATATTATTGTGATATAATATAATAAACCTGTATGTATACTACTACTACACTGAATCTATAAAAAGTTTCATACCAAGTACTTCTGTATAAGCTCAGAGCCAACAACTCTAAGAAAGGTGGCAGATGTTTGGTTGGCAACAGCTTTGGCCAGCAGAGTCTTGCCTGTACCAGGTGGTCCATACAAAATTACTCCCTTGGGTGGTTTGATGCCCATTTCTTCATAGTATTCAGGATGTGTAAGAGGCAGTTCTACTGATTCCTGAAATATTAATTAAGATTAGTTACAAATGAAATTTATTCCATAACTGCTTATTTGTATATTCAAATTTTTTTTTTTAAGATACAGCTGTCTAATATAAATATACAATTATGGATTAAAGCTGTCAGAAATATATTAACATGGTGAGCTATTTTATTTCCTGACTAGCATCTTCACACATGTACTACAAATCCATAAAAAAAATGTTGAAACAATACTGGGAACAGTATCAAAATCTGTAGCAAAAGTAGGCAGGGCAACAGACAGATCAAAAAAGTGACTGTTTTATATATTGGCGATCTGGATAGGACATTTGTAATAATTATTATGTGTGTTAGTTGCAGAGTCTGTGAGACTAAATTATTTTGACTGTGACTATAATTTATATTATAATTCCCAATAATAACAAATTACATTAAGTTTTTTTGTATATAAAGATGAATACCTTGATTTCCTGTATTTGAGTATCTAGACCACCAATGTCAGCATATGTTTCTTGAGGTGCTTTTTCCAGTTTCATGACTGAGACCATTGGATCTGTATCATCACCCAGAACTCCCACAACAGCATGAACCTATTATACAGAAATAGGTTAATTTATAATTAGCATTACTAATTATAAACTGCATCTCCTATAACTCTATAATAATAACATTTGAAGTTTAAAATATAACTAATTTCATGTGTGTCAAGCACTTTAAATACCCATAAAGTTGTGACTAAAGTATTACATTGACTTACGACTCAATTTATGAGTTAAAAAAATATTATTATTACCTACAACAATAGGAAACATTGAGTTATTTTTCTTCCGATCATATAGGAACAAAGTATATTTCAGAAAATATGCTTTTCAAGTATTACCTTGTGATTCAGCAGTACTGAACATCCAGGCTCCAACTGATCTTTATCCACAAAGGATAAAATGCTCACATAATGCTCACTACCCACAGATGTAGAGACAATAGCATGATTATCATCTATGATTTCTTCGAGATTACCAACAGACATAGGAGTTCCTCTCAAATCATCAACCTATAATAATACAAAATTATAAATTACTTTATGATGCATAGTTAGTTAATAGCTAAATTTGGATTTATTGTAAATTTTAAAAGCACAGGTAGAAATGAAAGGGATAGTTTGCAACATGATTTTCCCTTTACCCAACAAATAGAAAAGATTGTGAGGTATGATCAAAAACTTTCCAGTACAGATACATATATGAGTTAATGATAATATGTGTAACCTAAGACCATGACATCTGAGAATGCAAACAATTGACCTAAAAATTACAATGATGGAATTGATTCTGTAATATGAAATATGCACCTTCGACCTCTCTTCTTCAATCTTCTCCTCCTGGGGCTTTAGTCGCTCTTGATTCCTGATGAATTCTTCCTCCATGAGTAAGTAATCCTTGATTCTTTCCAGTTTCAATAGTTTTAGTCGACATTTGGTGTGGGGTGTTACTTGGGGGAGTTTCAACGCCGCATCGGGTCCCTTAGCTTTACGCTTCTTCTTGCCTACTCTTGTAGGAATTGGAGGCTCGTATTTCTTCTTTTTGTCCTTGTCATCTTTCTTATCTCCACCGCTTCCACCACCTGATTGATTTTGTCCCTAAAGGCAATAACAAATGTTGATATTATAAATTATATTAGATAATTATTTACAAAATCAATTATAAATTATAATAAATAGTTATTTCTATTACCATTTAAATTTCTTTGTATTAAACTCAGAAACCAAGAGAAAAGTATCGACGATTACAAAGCGAAATTTGTTTGTCATACACAGACCAACTACTATTTTGTCTGTACAACTCCACAGATAAAAAAATAATAATTTCTCTTAAGCTTAATTAATCTCTCTATAGAGAGAGTTCTATAGAACCAAAAAAAATCATTAAGGTCTAAATCAAAGAGTAAAGTAAATATATCAAAAGGAATTCTAAATACCAACAACGAGTTTGAGATTTCTCTGTTTATCAAATGATAGATATGTTTAATAATAATAAAAATGTAGAATAAGATAGTGTGGACAAAATGGACTGTGTATTCGAGATAAGAGTTCATCTCATATTGTCATATAACGCTGACAATCGTTATTGTGACATATGATGAGACTATAAAACGAAAATGAAATTCTGTACGTTTTTAGAGGATTAATACTTGCGACTATTCCATTGCAACTTAATATTCCCTAACAGTAAAATACTCATATCTCATATTAACGAATTATTCCATTAAAATAATTGATTTTGGGATTGCAAAATATCGATATCAAAACTAAAGTAATAAATTCACCAACTATCGTTACCTTATAAAGTATCGACAGTTAATCGTTTTAACTCGTTTTCCCTACCCCACTGTAGTCGTGTACTACTTCTGTCATCTAAATCAATATGTCATTTTAATTTTACGTCTTCGTGTTTTGTAGACGACTCAAATAAATATTGAATAAAAATTACGTTTTGTACTAAAGTAATGATTTAAAATGTCACAAAACTCTCTTATTCGTTTTAATGAATTAATTGTGTAGTATTGTGATTATAATTTTGATTGTATAAATCCTGTAATAGTTAAGTATTCAAGATGGTTTTAGCAGATTTAGGTCGTAAAATAACCACTGCCTTGCAGTCTCTTAGCAGAGCTACCATTATTAATGAAGAGGTAAGAGTTTTCATAAGAATAATACTATAAATTTATAAAGTATTATTTTTGTCCACTGAAATGACGTACGAATACTAAATTATATCTAAAGAATTTGCACCATGTGGCAGGATCCTCAGCAGTCACGCAACGTTAAACCTCTGTATTTCTAAGTTTTAAAGATTACTGAAAAATACTTCATTGCCTGGATCATGTTGGGTTGCTTTCCACCTTATAAAAACCAATATTAATAAATTTTCAGGTTTTAAACTCTATGCTTAAACAAATATGTGCTGCACTACTGGAAGCCGATGTTAACATTCGTTTAGTCAAGAATCTTCGTGAGAATGTTCGTGCTGTCATTGATTTTGATGAAATGGCTGGGGGGCTGAATAAGCGCCGTATGATACAGTCTGCTGTTTTCAAGGAACTTGTGAAAGTAAGTAATTTTATTTCAATACATGTTTCATCAAGTTATAAATAATCCGATGGTATAAATGAATGAAAATGTTAACCTAGGTGATAGGGTGGTAGGTGCCATCAACACTATGGTTAACACAAAATAATTGTATGATCTAGGATCTATCTGGTTACTAAATTTCATTAAAATTATGTTTTTTGTTTACTAAGTAAGAATCATTCAAATAAGTGTATAAAATTTTATGTATGTAACATTTATAGATTAAGAGCTTAATCTATTGATAAAATTGATCTATATGTGATCCTATAGTCTTTGATAATTTTTGAAAATTAAATATATATACAAATGTTCCCAATCATTTTTATACTATTACATTGTGTACACATTATAATTTGTTTATTATTGCTTTCTTGTAAAATAATATACACACATATATATATACAAAAATATATTTGTGCATTATTCATATTGTCCCTGTGACAACACTAATACACTCCACAGCATTGCAACACATAGTTATAATTATTGACATAATATATACAGATGATGAACTTGGTTTATTGTCTTAATTCCAGCTAGTGGATCCCGGTGTAAAACCATATCAACCAGTCAAAGGCAAGCCCAATGTCATAATGTTTGTGGGGCTTCAGGGATCTGGTAAAACCACAACTTGTACAAAACTTGCTTATCACTATTTAAGAAAAAATTGGAAATCATGTTTAGTCTGTGCGGACACATTCAGAGCGGGTGCTTATGATCAAGTAAAACAGAATTGTACTAAAGCCAGAATACCTTTTTATGGAAGGTGAGATATGTGTCACTATTATTAAGTCTTCTGGACCAATATGATAACACAGTGTAAACTATTTGCCACTTGTCTCTATTTCAGAAACTGTTAATAGAATATTAAATATATTGACAAATTAGAATTATGTTCAGTTTTGCCTGCCCTATTTTACTAAAATTATATACTTAAGAAACATTTGACTAATTTTCCAAAGAGTCCAGTATATAAACACGAATTTTAATTACATATAAGTTACAGACCTAAACCTTAAATTGGGTATTACAAAAACTCAGTATTACAAAAATTATGTATTCTAAAACAAGTTTTAAATTGTTTGTTCTCTTTTGTATGCTTCTTCCTCAATTTCACAAGAGTTTCTGAAGTGAAAATGCATTAATTTTGAATTATACCTGTGATATTTGTAACTGGTCTCTTTAATTTTCGCATTGCCTTTTCCAATACAGTTACACAGAAGTAGATCCCGTTGTTATAGCAACTACTGGGGTGGATATGTTCAAAAAAGAAAACTTTGAAATGATCATTGTGGATACTAGTGGCCGACACAAACAGGAAGAATCACTATTCGAAGAGATGTTGGCAGTTGCCAATGCTATTGTGAGTTGATTAAAATTTTCTAATGGAAACAATTATATTCTACATATTACTGATTCATATAATAACATTATATCAACCTGTAACTATTCTATGCTTTGACTGTGTGTGGCTCTATGCTTCAGTCATTTAATTAGATAGGATGAAATGAGCAGTATTATAATTTTAATTTGAAAGTTGTTCAAATATAAAAGATATATAAAAATTAGATAACATAGAAAAGTAACTCATAAAATCGAATTTAGAACTTCTCTATTTTGGTAATGTTTGATATTTAACACATAATACAAACATTGCGAGAATTCAGTATTAAACACCTAAAATAATTTTGTTTAATTTATTTTAACAGAAACCGGACAACATCATTTTCGTAATGGATGCTACAATAGGTCAAGCTTGTGAGTCCCAAGCCAGGGCTTTTAAAGAGAAAGTGGACATTGGTTCTGTTATAATTACCAAGTTAGATGGGCATGCAAAAGGTGGTGGTGCCCTTTCTGCGTAAGTAATCATAATATCAAGTACATATGAGTCATCAACAATTTTTTTCTAGTATCATTGAAATTTAATATCAACATAATGACCATATTTTTATTATCCTGTTAATTTTTTCAGTGTTGCAGCAACAGAGAGTCCTATTATTTTCATTGGAACAGGAGAACATATAGATGACTTGGAGCCATTTAAGACAAAACCATTTATTAATAAACTGTTGGGTATGGGTGACATTGAAGGACTTTTGGATAAAGTCAATGAACTGAAATTAGATGACAATGATGAACTATTAGAAAAACTTAAACATGGCCAATTTACTCTCCGTGCTATGTATGAACAGTTCCAAAACATTATGAAGATGGGACCTTTTTCACAAATAATGGTAATCTATTATTTTACTAAAGATGTAGCATATATATGCTTATAATATTCATGGTTGAATGGTTGAAATTGGGTTCACTGACTTCAGCCTCATACTAACCATCTTTCACTGAATTGAACATTAATAAATAATAATGACTTACACTTATACTAATATAGTATAAAATGTTTAAAAGTATATATATTTGTTTAGATGCAATTTCCCTTATTTTTTCAGTTTTAGTTTATTTAATTTTTTGCAAAGAGTAATGAGTTAAATTAGTATTAAATATTTTTTATTCTGTGTAGGGTATGATCCCAGGATTTTCTCAAGACTTGATGTCCAAGGGTAGTGAACAAGAATCAATGGCCAGGCTGAAGCGTCTTATGACTATAATGGATTCCATGAATGAAGGAGAACTAGATCATCGTGATGGCGCCAAACTATTTTCTAAACAGCCCACTCGCATAACAAGGGTCGCCCAAGGAGCCGGTGTTACAGAGCGTGATGTTAAAGATTTAATTGCACAATACACAAAGTTTGCAGCGGTAGTTAAGAAAATGGGTGGCATAAAGGGATTATTCAAAGGTGGTGATATGGCGAAAAATGTCAATCAGACTCAAATGGCAAAACTAAATCAACAAATGGCAAAAATGATGGATCCACGTATTCTACAACAAATGGGTGGAATGTCAGGTTTACATAATATGATGAAGCAGTTGCAACAAGGTTCGAGTGGAATGAATAGCTTAATGGGTGGCAAATGACACTGAATTCATCTAATTTAGCAATTGATATATTTGTAAACCTTGATAATCAGTAAAGATTAAAGGGAATTGTACCTATAACATTTTAATAATAAATATTTGTCATCTGTTTTTAAATGTTTCTTTATGATAAAACATTGTGGAACCCTTATACAGAAATTTCACTTATAAAATTGTTCTGTTGAATAATACATCTAGTCTGTCTCTTTGTTTAAATTCTCGGGTTAATATTTGTAACTATGTGCCGGAGTTTAATAAAATTACTATGTTTCGTCTTTTTGTTTGTTTAGACTTCATCTGAAAGTCTACCTCATGCATTGTCATTCCTGAGAACTAAGATGTCATACTCAGAATAAACAGCTTACAAAGAAAGTTCCTTGATTGCCGAACTAGTTGAGACAGGTCCTTCTTAGCTATTAAACAGTCAAAAAGCTGTATTTTACACTGAGTATCATTTACTGATGTAAATTTGTAGAAAGTCGTGTGCTCAGATTTAGTTTCATAGAAACTACCATATCTTATCTAGGAATTCCTTGGATATATAATTAATCTTTCAGAATATAATAAGTATAGATAGATTGTCCCACAAATGTATTGATTACTTGCTCAGTAATTATAATGTCGTCTTTCCAAAAAAAAAAGGTAATTTTATATGGTTGGCTATTCTGATATTCTTATTGTGTACTTACTCTACGACAATGACATTTACAATCATTGTCAGCTTGATAGTATTTGACATTGGTGATTTATTCAGAATCTCCGGACTTTCGGATCTGTGATTTTATTCATTTTTTAATTTTTGAAATACATAGGAAATTTAAATATTTATAATAAACATTTTTTTCTGGTAAAATAACAATTGAAGTAGTTTTTCGTCAACGTTATGCGTTTTATTTCAATTGGCCTCTTGAAATCGACTCATTCAGAGGTACTACAGGTATATAATATACAAATGTTTTATTCTAAAAATCTTTTAATATAAAACATATTTTTTCTCTGGAATTTGCTGGTAAATAATAATTTATTATTATAACATTGTAGGTTTATTACAGTACCCTTCGCAGTAGAGTTCGGTCACGGATAGACATGGCTTTAAAAAGTCGAGAAAATCCAATCGTTACCAAGTTAGAAACATCTGAATTTAAGAGCATATTCACTCAAGAGGTTATAGATTTAAAAAAGTTGTTTGACAAATATAACTATGAAATAAGGTTGGCTGGTGGGGCTGTGAGGTAAGTGAAGTATTATTATAGTATAATATATCCTTAAATATAATATTATTCCTGAACAGTTAATTGTTTTGTTTTATCTTGTCTTGTATATATGTAAATATAAAATAGAACAAGTAAGTGATGTGAGAAGTGGGTAACTATTCATTAACATTAGATTAGCAAGATAATGACTGTGAATATAATTAATTTTACTACCACATTAATTATTATTTATTTAGAATGTAGAGTCAAGTCATACATAACCTGGCTGAGATTACAATTACTTAATATGTGTTACTGAAATTGTGTTATATGTTGAACTTTTACCTTAATTTGATTTAGTTCTCTTTAGAGATTTATTAATGGGCCAGAAGCCGACGGACCTTGATTTTGCTACTACAGCCACCCCTAAACAAATGAAAGAAATGTTTATCACTGAAAATGTAAGAATGATAAATATGAATGGTGAAAAACATGGCACAATTACACCTAGAATCAATGATAAAGAAAATTTTGAGGTTACAACTTTAAGAATAGACATGGTAACAGATGGGCGGCATGCAGAAGTGGAATTTACTACTGACTGGAAATTAGATGCAAATAGAAGGGATCTCACTATAAACTCTATGTTTTTAGGTGACTATATTATTTTATTAAGAATCATTATTATCATCATCATATTAATCATCTTTGATTTGCCTTAATCCCATTAGTTGAGGTTGGTGTCGTTTGTTTTCTTCCATTAATCCATATTGATTATTATGCATTAATCTTTGCAGATTCCTGCATATCATCTTTCACATAGTCCATTTTTCTTCATTCATCCTCTCACAACATATATTGTATTTTATTAAGTGTACTATAGACTTCAAATATTGACTATTATATTATTCAATTGCTACTTACAATATATTATAACTATTAATATGTATGTTATGTTATGAACATATTAATGTTCAATTTATACATTGTTCTGTATTTCACCTGACTAAATATTATATTATCAGGTATTACATTTTTCCTAAATGTTTCCAATTTGTTCTCTAACTGAGATAGTGCTATACATTTAACTACTAATGCAATGTGTGTATCTAAAAATATCCCTTATTAGTATAATGAAAATTGCAGGTTTTGATGGTTCTGTTTACGACTACTTTTTTGGATATGAAGATTTACAAAAGAGAAGAGTGGCATTCGTTGGAGATCCCAATGTCCGAGTTAAGGAAGATTACCTAAGGATTTTGCGATATTTTCGTTTTTATGGAAGAATAGCTGAATCACCAGATCAACATGAAGATAAAACATTGCAAGTTCTTTCAGATAATGTAAATGGTTTACAACACATATCTGGGGAAAGAATTTGGGTTGAGCTAAAGAAAACATTACAAGGGAAATTTGCAGGAGATTTGTTAAAGACAATGATTAAAGTCGGTGTTGCCCAATATGTAGGTTGGTATATAAAGATAGATATATAGTTGGTATAGAAAATATTGGTTTCATCAGATTTAATAAATTATATCTGCTTTTGATGAGGATTGACTTAGTGCTCTACTGATTCAAGAACACTACCTTGCTTTTAATGTTCACATTATACAAACATTTTACCTCGTGATATAATTGTTCGAAATGGTCTGGATCCTTCACTATGAAATAAAAATGTTCAGTATTTTTAGTACTGTTTAATAAAACAATATAATATTTACATATTTTTTATAGGTTTGCCAGACAATCCTAACTTAGAGCAACTTGACACGGTTCTTAAGAGAGGAGAACATTTGAATCTACACCCAATGTGCTACATAGCTGCCTTGTTATGGGACAGGGATGATGTGACTGTACTTCATTGCCGGCTTAAGTTGTCTACCTATGATAGGGATTTAACATATTTTTTGGTAGAACACAGGGCAGATAAAGTATCTACAAGGCCTCTTTTGTAAGTTCAGCTAATACATTAGTTATGATAAATACTAAAAATAATGTTACTAATAATGATTTCCACTTGGTCTTTAAATTAAATATAATCAGACCTCTTGAGGGAAACCTGGACCTAACTGGTATAATTTAGTGCTCAATCAGATGAGATGAAACTATATAAATCAGAATAAAGAAAATAATTATTTATTTTATTTTATTTTACAGGCCCTATGAAAAATTGGTGTTAAATTCCAAAATAAAGCAAAAAGATACTTATGACTATATACAGGAAGTGTTAAAATACAGAGGAGAGGAATCACTTCTGAAGGAATTTAATAACTGGGAGATTCCTCGATTTCCAATGAATGGTAAAATACTTAAGGAAAATAATGTTCTACCTGGAAAAAAATACAGTGCAATTCTGAATAAACTTAAAGAGATTTGGATAGAGAATGACTATAAGCAATCAGTAGATGATTTAGTTAAATTGATTCCTGATGTTATAAAGGAGTATGATAAACAAAATTTAAAGTAACAGAATTATGTAGTTTTATTTGCAAACATTTTAAATAAATTAACTCTAAATAGTGTTTTATTATCTAAAAAATAAAGTTGACCGTATTGAATATAAATTACTATTGATAATCCTTTGGAGGTACATAGAGTTCATATTTATTACATCCATCATCATCATCTTTATGGTCAATGAAACAGTGTTTACAAAATAAATAGCGACATCCAAGACAACGCATATTTGCATCCTCATTACATATTTCACAGAATGGCAGTTCATCATTTCTTGGAGAAGAAACTTCCTGATCTTCCAATACTGCTTCAGCTTTCATCTAAAGAACAAATAATATAACAGTAGAATATTGGTATTTTGAATTTAAAGTAAAAGACAAGATGACCTGGCATGTATGATTTATTTATTAATTCACAATAGGTCTGTTAGTTAGAAATATCAGTATATATTTTAAATCCATATACTTTCTTCAAATCTCAAAGTTTCTAAAGTTCAACACATCTGTAATAATTCAAATCATAATAATTTTTGAATAATTTGTAATAATAAAAAATATACTGATATATATATATAGGCATATAAAACCGCTTTTATTAAAAACCAAGAATAGCTTTAGATCCTACATAAACATGTGTTCCTGTAAAAAATTGTGCATACCCTTCAGATTTCAAACATGCTCAAAATTTCTTTTGTATTTATATGCAATTTACACTTACTTTTTCAACTATCTTTTTTACTGCATCTTCTTCATCTTCAGTCTTAGATGCTTGTTGTTCTTGAGAACCACTTGGTTTAATACAGTTGCCACTTTTTACTCTCTGTAATCTCACCTCCATCTCATTCACTAGGGTATCAAATTCATCTTTATATGTACTGTCAATTTTTGTTTGCTCTATATATTGTTTTAGCAAATCATCAGTTTGCTCTTGTTCTGTTCTTTGGTCTGGAGGTGGCAATGAAATCTAAAACAAAATTAAAAGTGTATTTGAGATCTATCAGTTTTTGGTGCATTTCTAATTGCATGATATTATGACTAGAGTGTATACTATTTATTCATTGTGTTATTAATAATAGTAATAACCATCTTTATTTGTCTCAAATAATAAACTATTACAATTGCTGCTTATAATAAAATTTTGAAGTAGTAAATAACATAAAATGGTCTATAACTCAAAGGAGACAGTGAGTCACCCTCTCTGCTATTCTGAAGTAAACAAATTTTTGACAATAATGAAATTACAAACCAATAATTGTTCATTAAACAAAAAAAATCAACAACAACAAAGTAAAACCATATATATTTTTCTAACAATTATAAATAATTTTTTTAGTGTCTTCTAACATGGTATTGCTATAAAATAAATACTCATTATTTATGTATGAATTGACTTGAAATACTTGTTTACCTTACTTTGATAAACATTGAGTGGTAACCCCCTCAGGTTTGCCAGACGCAACTGTAGTTCATGGTCTGTGGTAGGTGGTACTTCTCTGGTGAGACCCTGTAGTCGCTTTGCTATTTTCTCGTCAGGCTTTAAATTATGTTCAGTCTTGTCTTGTTTTAACTTATTTAATCTTTCAACTATTTCTTGATCTTTGGAATTTCCTGCTGTGGGATTGTCATTCAGGTTTGTACCTGGTGTTATTCTCCTAGAAGATAGTTTAAAGTTAGTAATTTTGTAATTAAATAACAACAAATTAACAATATTATAACAGCACATACTTGAAATATGCATCAGGTGGTTCCACATTTCTTGGTTTACTTGAGTTGGGTGCTTTTGCACATTTCATACAAACCTGTAATAATTATGCATAATAGCAATCTGGCATTTTAACAGACCTATTTGTCATTTTTTGTTGTATTGTATTCTAGACTAGTTTGTTAAAACTAACAATCTCAGTCATTCAATAATAATACAATATTTTTCTATAACCTAGTGTTAGATTCTACATATTTTCCTGTGTTCTACTATAGTAGTACAAATAACAAATGTGAATCACTCTAAATAAAAACCAAAACATTAATTATTAAAAAAAAATCACTACACAAGATAATTAAATAACTATGCATTTTTGAAATAATAGTTTTATACCTTGGTCTCGGCATTTAGTTTCTGCACAAACATTTTGTGTGCTAAACATTTAGAACAAAAAGCAAAGCCACAATTGGGACATCCTTTCTGAAAACAATAAGGATTAAAATATAGCGACTATTTACATTTAAAGTTCGATTTCATACTTTAAATAGTTTCATTTACAAACCTCGTTCCGAAATAATGTAAACGGTTTGGCGCATGAATTGCATGCCATTGCAAATGATTTTTTAGTACAGTATGGGCGTAGGATAAATTAAGGTTTGGCTTACAAATTAAAGTGAAAATGGAAATCCAATTACTAAAAATGTAAACAAATGAACGTATTTGCTTTGTCAAAGTGACATCTCAATCAGATTTGCTTAGTTCGTCGCGAACGAACTAGATCGGAAGAGCACTACCATAGAGATCTACACGAACTAGCACAAAGATTCTCTATAATTTTGCTAAAACTACAGTACAGTAGAAACCGCATATAACAACATAGAAGGGACCACAAAATGTGGACATTATGACCGGATAGTGAATACATTATACCTACATACTATTATAATATTGATTCAGTAGAGAGTAGTTTTTTTTGTGGATGATAATGGTATGGTACACCCGCCTGCGCTGACGGTTTACGCTGGCAGTGGAGGATGGTAAGATGAGTATGAGGTCTGGTCTGGTCAGGTCCGTTAGCCTATCGTGACAAATTTACCAAGAATTTATCCAAATGGTTTCCAGGGGGAACCGCGTGGAGGTCAATCTGACATGGTACATTGCTAGCAATATGGTCATTAGTGTCTGTATTTCAACTTTAGGAGCGCTCTTTCGAGCTATCGCGGTTGCGAAGTCGAGACCGATAGAACGAACTAGTCTCCAAGGGAGTAAACTAAATGGATCAGAGCAATAGTAATTACTAACTTGATATTAAATTGCCGGGCGACTTAGGGCCAACTAGCAGTGCTTGTCAGAAATATATTACACAAACTAATATAAAAAAATAATCTTATATATAAAATTCTCGTGTGTTTTCGTTCCCATACTCCTCCGAAACGGCTTGACCGATTCTCATGAAATTTTGTGAGCGTATTGTGTAGGTCTGAGAATCGGCAAACATCAATTTTACATCTATTTTTCATCCCCCTAAATGTTAGGGGTAGTCCACCCCTATTTTATTATTTTATATTAAGGCAAAACAATGTTTGCCAGGACAGCTAGTATTCTATAAAAACGTCTCTACTCTCTAGCCTCGTGCAATTGTTCCTACATCTTTATACACATTCATGCATGATCACCTATATATAACTATTATTCTTATGTATGTATGTATGTCTTGTCTTATATGAAATGTATTATATATATATTAATGATCCTATCTTATTGCATACTGATGAAACATATTTATTTTTATATGATTTCTAAGACTTAGGTAAATGTGTAACTAATGGCATAGAATAAAAGGAGACTAGGTAGGTGCTTTAATTTATTTTATTGGGCAGGATATCCCATTTTCTGTTATTATAAACCTAACAGTTGAATTAAGTAGATCAGGAGAAAAAATTACAGATAATTCTCTTATATAAACATTATATGACATTTGATTAAGATGTAATGTGGTATTTGTTAAGTTCATTACTTCAGTAGTTTTCTTTAATTGTAATCTTGTAGTGACCATATTGGACCATGCCAGCCCTAATGAAGGCAGTACATCAGCAGTATCAAATGAAGCAGTGACTTGGTTTATACAAAGGACTGCCAACTGGTATTCTTGTGCCAACATTATTAATAGAGAAGCCAACTCCCTCAGATTTTCTGCTCTTTGTATATAATTAGTATTCTCTGACCTGAACGGACCTGCTATAGAATCAATAACAATTAATGCTAATTTGTTTTCATTTAACAGTTTAGGAATGCGAACTCTTACACAAGACAGTAAATCCTGAGACTCTGTTATATGTTCAATAAAAATATTTTTACCATAGTTTATACTATGTTGGTAGTTAGGTAGACTTCTTTTAATTTGCTCATATCTCTTAACTGGAAACAGATCTTCTGTACAAATAAATAGACATCCATTCTCCCATGTATGGATTGCAGATTGCATGGCAAACTGTGTTTTTCCAGATCCACTCTCTCCATATAATTCTGTTATAGTACCTCTACGGAGTCCCCCATTCAAAAATGTATCTATTGTTGAACATCCTGTTGCAACTTTTTTACAGTAATTGCTTTTAGTTAAAAGTGCATCACATGTAGAGGGATTAGGTTCTAAATTATTACAACTTATATTTTTCAACAGCAAAATGTCATCTTTACACAGGTTTGTTAATTTTTGTATATCCCAAATGGACAAAATAATGATCTGTCTATGGGAACAAATACCAGTTTTCTCCAGTATATCATAAATTCTTGAAGGTAATAAATTGATTAAATTCGGCATTTATAGTTTTATATTGAACTTATATATATCACCGCTGATCAAATAGGCGACGTCGACTATTAAACGGTTATGTTTTTACTTAATTTCTTTTTTCTAATTAATTGGATATTATAAGTCCAATTTCCACAATGCCAAAAAGTAAGAGTTGTATATTATTTTCATGAGGACATATTTAACACAATATATCTATTTGTGAGTTTATTACTTTGTATTAGTATATAGAACTATTTTCAAAATATTTACTATTATTAGGTATGACAATAAAGCCTCTAACGGACTAACAAATAATGACTATTAATCACATTTCACAACACAACCTGTGGTTTTTAAGATTAGCTGGCTGTGTCTGTCAATCTGTCAGTCTGAGTTTTGTTTTGAAATAAAACATGGAAATGTATTTTATAATGTATTTTAAATTTTTATACACGACTTAAATCTAAACAACTGCTACTGATATATAGAATAAATATTTTTTAATAAACTTAGTATATTTAAACCACAATAATCTACTACAACATAACTAAATACTACAATATGTCATTCAGAAAAACTTTGTTTAAGGCGGGTTCGATAGCGATACACTTTCACCCCACAGGGTCGGCGGCGACGCTACAAACTCGTACTGCAATCAATGTTACTTCATTCGCCGCATTTGCCAGCGTGTCTGCAGCTTCGCCTATTAAGAGGAAAATGGTAAATTTAATATGTATATCTCAAAGAGAATATAACCAACGGCACTTAAACTCTTTCCGTGGAAGTAGCTATTCCATTTTTGGATGAGATACTACTATTAGTGTCTCTTAATTTGTTTAATTATCAGAGAAAATATTTCGAAATCATCATAATAATCAGCCAGTTCTTAGCTGTTCAATGTTATTTAAATTAACTAAATCCCATTATGGTGAATACACTAACAAATGTTTAGTATTAAATTTATATAGACTACTATTAATTAATTTGGTGCAATTTTAGTATTAGCTATATATTATCTTATATGTATTTAGTTTATAACAATGTAGTGATACTTTTAGTATCACATATATGTATATTTTTCTAGTATAATCTACTCAAATATGAAATATTTCCAGGCAGATAAACTAAATGGTGAAGAACGGGATAGCTTGCTTCAACCATTACTTCAATCAGGATGGAAGGTCCAAGACAAGCGAGATGCAATAGAGAAAGAGTTTAAGTTTAAAGACTTTAATGAAGCATTTAGTTTTATGACCAGAGTGGCTCTGATAGCTGAGAAAATGGACCATCATCCCGAATGGTTCAATGTTTATAATAAATTACAGGTGAGTTTTGAAAACTACAGATAGTATTGGTCTTACTCACAACATTAGTCTGTTCACTGACATGATATCTATGCTTAGATGCAAGAACATGATATGAAGGAAACAAAATTGATTTCTCTATGTGTTACTTGTATTAGCATAGAAAAATCAATGGATGAATTTTGTACATGCACAGTAGAAAAATAGTTGACTTTTATACACACCTGTAGATGCACAACTGCCCAAATGAGAGGCTATATAGAGTCTAGAGTCTAGAGATATACACAAATTGAAGTCTCTCTTGCAATTTTTTTGAAGTTTGTTAACTTTAACTTCACATATTCTATTATATTCGTAAATTTAGACTATTCAAGAGGATCCTTAAATATATTTTGATTAAAATTTTCACAGGTAACACTGGCATCTCATGATGTGAATGGTCTCAGTAAACGGGATGTAAAGATGGCTACTTTTATGGATAAAATATACAAATGAAACATTGGTACAAGCATATTAATTAAGACGTAATTGTGACAATATTACTATCCTTATGTGATTATTTGTATATTGTGTAGTTCTATTATAAATTACATTATGTTTTGTTAAAAGCACAGTAATATATTTGTTAAGACTTATTGGTTAAGATGTTGTTGTTTTTATAAAACTCAAAACTTTATAGTAGATAAATAGAAAATATATGGCTAATAATTTGGGTTTTCTATTTTACAATTTTATTTTTATTATCTTAATGCTTCAAGCATTTCTGACCATATTACTTTAACATCCCCTTATTAACATTCTATATTCAATAATAATTGAAAAATAAATGCAGGATAACTACCGAGGCTGTCTTAACTTAACCGAGTAAATACTTAATATTGATAGAGAACAATGATAAGTACAAAGAATTATATGAATAGCATCGTGCAAGAATCGAACCCGTAACTACCGCAAGTAATGGGCTAAACCATCAGGGCTGATATACCTACAAGAAATAGACTACAATAATCGAGTTTGGAGCATCAAAATTTAGTCTAAACTATCTGATTTGACATACTTCCTGTCTTAACTATGACTATTGTAGAAAGTAGGCAAACATTAAAAAAATTAACACCCTTTAGTAAAGATTCGCAAAACTTTCTTATTTTTTTCATATAAGTAGCTAGGTACCTCCTGACAATAACAAGACTAATACCCTAGCGAAAAGAGTCCAGCCGCACATTACCTATATACATGATTCCGTTAAAAAAGAAAATAGGGATTATTATTATACATCTATAGATATAAAATCGATAGAACCACAATAATACTTTCTGAAATATAAGGATATGAAAAAAGTACCTAAGTATGAATGTATCTACAGAGAAATTTGTAGTTCCTGTTTTCTGTATAATACTATACCTATTACTATGTAATATTATATTATCTGTGCTATTACCTATGTGTAATACAAAACAATAAAATAAAATCATCAAAATAAATGAAACATTTATTAATTCCTAATATATATATATATATATTTCTAGCACTAATAATTTTAATTGGATACAAATATAATACGCCTGCTATGCTAACAACTGAGTTACATACCCAGAATTATTTAAATTGAAAATATTTAATTAGTACACGTACCTACTTATATTAATTACACTTTACAAGTTACAGGTCTTCCTGAGTTTCTGACATAGCATGGGCAGATTCTTTTGTCATTGAAAGGCTCAGTTTCAAAAAGAGCAGTACATGGATACGCTCTCTCTATTATCCTTTTCAGTTCCAAAGCATGCTCCAGGTTTCGTGTTTCACAAACAAGTTTAACCTGTAATTCGGTAGCTATTTATTTATGTAGCAAAAAGATTTAAAATATATAAAGTGATTGCTAATAAAAAAATTAATCTGCCCCATTTCTGGCTATACGAAGGGGGTGCAATAAAATATCGACATGTGAGCTACTTATAAAAATATTTTTTGTAGTATTATTTAACCGTAATGGCCGGGGGGAAGGGGATTGTTATTAATGCGGACTAACGAACCCATTGCCGGCAATGTACCATGTGAGGTCGACCTCCACGCGGTTCTTCCTGGAAACCATCGTGATAAATTCCTGATTAATTTGTCACGATGGGCTAATTGACCTGACTTCATGCTCATCTTATCATCCTTCACTGGTGCCCCGCCAGCGTAAACCGTTAGCGAAGGCGGATGCGCCATTCCATTACCATACCTAATGGCCAGTTACAATTCACAAATTATCTTATATTCGCCACTGTAGTGGGCCGATGTATAAAGCGTTACGTAATCAAGCTTCCACAATTGAATCCATATCCATACTAATAAATGCGAAAGTGTGTCTGTCTGTTAGTTACATTTTCATTAGGTACTTAACGGCTGACCTGATTTTAATGAAATTTGGTAAGAAGATAGTTTTATCTTCGTGATAGGGTGAAGGAGTCAGGATATATTTCATTTTAAAACATAATTGAAAAATAGAAAGGGCTGAAATGGAGGATCAAAGTTAGCACAGACGAAATCGTGGGTACCAGCTGCTATCTTATACAAGTATTTTAATTGTCGCTAAAATGTATTGACAAAGCCATATATTTGTTTGGTATTCACCTCAATGCTATAAGTATCGTCTTCAACCCATGAATTGTCTCTAAATAATCGCACCAAGTTGTATCCTCCATTTGCGAGAAGCTTCAGTAGCTGAGAATTTTCCATAGGGTTGTTTTTTATTCCCACCTGCGTTAGAAATAAAAAAAATATTTATTTATAATAATAATAATAATAATAAACTCTTTATTGTGCACATAGAAGAAATACAATAAGAAAAAGAAAAACAATAAATAGAAAATTATGAACAAAAGGCGGTCTTATCGCTATCGCTATAAGCAATTTCTTACAGACAACCTGCAAGATAGGACTAACATACACAGAAGAGGTAGATGGCACACACACACAAGACACTAGAATTATCAAACTAATTAATAGACATACATATATATATATATAAATAAATATACATACATATATTCAATATATTGGAAGATTTCAGAGTTAAATAGGAAAAAAAAAAAAAAAAAAAATTTGCTATAGGGACAGATAATGAGACCTTAGACGATTTTTAAATATTGTATGAGATTGAGCGGATCGAATGGAGAGTGGTAGAGAGTTCCAAAGGCGAATGGCTTGGACAGTGAAAGAGTTGGAATAATATGTAGAGGAGTGAGCAGGGATCGTCAGACAAAGGCTTCTGGTGCTACGCAAAGCAGAACCGGGGGATTTAGAGTGAAATAAAAAATTTGTTTTTAGATATTCTGGAGTAGAGGGTTGGAAAAGAATGGTGTAAAGAAGGCATAGTATGTGAAAATTCCTGCGAAGACGAATGGGAAGCCACTTGAGTTGATTGCGAAAATTGGAAATGTGGTCATACTTACGGAGACCAAATATGAATCGTATGGACATATTTTGGAGTCGCTCAAGTTTATTTAATTGTTCTTCAGTGAGATTTACATAGCAGGAATCCGCATAATCTAGGATTGGAAGTAACAAGGAATTTGCTAGCGCAATTTTGGTATCCACTGGTAGGAAGTTCCGCAACCTATTAATGCTTCCGACGGCTGCAAACATTTTCCGACTTAACTGTGTAATTTGTGGTGACCAAGACAAATTTTCATCAAAAAGAATTCCAAGATTTTTGACCTGAACGGAATATTTAATGTCATGGCCATCAAAGGTAACTGGTGGTAGATGATTGAAGTCTAATCTAGAAGTAAAATACGAACTTCCAATAATTATACACTGTGTTTTTTAGGATTTAATATAAGGCCATAAGCTTTGCTCCAGTCAGATATATAGGCGAGATCCAGATTTATATCGTGAATAGCATCGCTAATATTAGGCAGATCAGCTTGTGAATAAATTTGAAGGTCATCTGCATAGAGGTGGTAGGATGAACGAAGATGAAGTGTGATAGAATTGATAAATAAAGTGAAGAGAAGAGGAGATAATACGCCACCCTGAGGTACGCCCGCAGTCGTTGTACACCAGGATGAACTAATATCATCAATACGAATACACTGCCGGCGCCCATACAGGTAAGTACGAAACCATTCAATCACCGTTGGAGATATGTTAAGAGTACGTAGCAAACTGAGTAAGATGTCAAAGTCTACGGTATTGAACGCATTACTGAAATCCAATAATGTTAGCACTGTCAGCTGCGATTTGTCCATACCAAGTCGAATGTCATCGGTAATCTTGATCAGAGCTGTAGTCGTGCTATGACCAGGGCGGAAACCAGATTGAAGAGGATTTAGAAGATTATTTGTAGAAAGGAAATTGTATATTTGATTATGGACAAGCCGTTCTAAAACTTTGGAGAGGAATGGAAGAATGGAAATGGGTCGATAGTCTGAAAAATTCAGCGGGTTTTTGGTTTTGGAGAGAGGAATTATAAGCGCGTCTTTCCAAGAGGTCGGGAAGATGGCAGATGATATAGAAAAATTTAAGATAAAAGTAATGGTTGGAAGAATGATATCAAGGATAGGAATTATCATATCACGACTGACGTTATCATTACCGATGGCATTCGACGATACAGCAAGTATGTTTCTCTTAACATCACAATCGGAAAATTGAGTAAAAGAAAAGGAAGAAATATCAGGAGTTGACAAAGTGGAAAGAACATTTAGCGTGCTTAATTTATCATTGTTGTCAAAGGCAACGGAAGAACAGAAGTGCCTGTTAAGGCTTTCGAAGTCTAAATCGCAGTTTGTCAAATTTTGAGCTTTCCCAACTCCCAATGTTCTGAGAAATTTCCAGACTTTGGCTGGATCACCATTCTCTACTGATTTGTGAATGTGGCGACGTTGAGCATGCCTACAAGCCCTATTGCAGAGATTCCTTGCTTGAATGTAATATTCACGATATTTCTCAGGATTGGATCTGAACTTCGCTTTGGCCTTATTTTTTTTTAACCTGCAGAGCCCTGATCTCATCTGTCAACCACGGAGCAGGGAGATGTTTAACCCGTACTGGACGAACAGGAGCATGTCGGTCGTAGAGTTCCAATAAAAGCGAGTTAAATAATCTAATTTGGTCATCCACTGATGTTGCATTGTGAATAGCCACCCAGTCCGCAGCAGACGCATCGTTACGCAATCTTACCTGATCAATGCCACCAAAACTACGCCGCATTAAGACTTTATGTTTAGGTTTAGGAGGACGGATTTTGTAAGAAAGAAAAATGAGATTGTGGTAGGAGAACGCATCTGCAGGACACTGACCATGCCTAGCAACATGATTAAGGGAGGAGACAAACAGAAGATCTAATAGGGAAGGATTACAGTTTGGAAAGAAGTGAGTCGGCTGTAGAGGTAGAATATTCAGATTACAGGAATCAGCAAGAGATCTAAGGCGGTTAGCACGGTAGTCAGTTTTGAGTAAACATGTGTTGAAATCGCCCATAATAATAGTATGATGAAAGGAGGGGATAAGATTTTCGAGGGTGTTTTCAAGGAAAGAGAAATAATCAATGGAAGATGAGGGACTATAAAAAACACCTAAAAGAGTTTTAGAGTGCAAGAAATCAACATTAATAAAAAGAAATTCTGGTTCTAGAGAAGGGTTGGATATATCAGAGGAGAGGATAATTTTATAAGAAATATAGTCACGAAGATATATGGCAACTCCACCACCACCCCCCTTGACACGATCATTACGAATCAGGTTAAAACCGGGCAAGGAATAGGAGACAGATGGAAGACAAGGTTTTAACCATGATTCTGAAATTAAGATAGCATGTAAATTTTCGACATTAAAAGATGTTAGAAAATCAGGAAAATGGGCCGGAATGCTTTGAGCATTAATATGCACCACATTAAAATTTTTTACAGTATTCTCAAAGTTAATATTTAAAGTCTCATTAAGGGGAATAAAATCATTATACGTAGAATTATAACTAGATGTCGCACTCGAAAATGAAGAGTAATGTTCTTCCAACATATATTTACATACTAATTATTAAAAATAATAAACAAATAACTAAATAAATATAACTTTTAAAAAATTTAAATTAATTAACAATTTTTAAAAAATATTATCTACCTGCACATAAAGATCTCTAATTAATATTTTTACATATTAAATTTTTCAACCTTTAATATGCATAAACAAAACAAAAAAACAATGAACGTGCAACGGAACGTCTCTAAGTGATTATTTTACGTACTGACAACACTAATGAACACAGACAACGACATTTAAACTTGACATGATAAACAATGACACTACACTTGACATTTAGTTGACAGTTTTGATTAGACATAAGGATTTTAATATTTTACTTATTGACATGTTTACATATAAAAAAAAAAAACAAAATTAATTCGTAGGTAGCGTAATAATTATGAGTTTCTGAGGTAAAACTAAATTGAAAAAGTATATACTACAGTGAATCAGTAATAAAGAAATACTCGACATACAATAATAACAAACAATTCTACTTTCTATGGCGTTTTGATCGAATCGTAGTAACGGCAGGGTCTTTGGCAATGACTGGGGTCGATGCAGATTGGACTGTTGAGGCCGGCAATGAGCTAATTAGCTTGCTCAGCTCACCAGAACAACTTATGCGATGCCTTGTACCATCCCCATCAGCGACGACGATGAAACCGTCATGCGACCAACAGTTTTTGATGCCAAAGTGTTGTCGAGCTGCCATGAATACACTGTGTCTGGCCGCAGTCAGAAATTCTGACATGGTGATCCCGCTGCCCTTAAGTTTAGTTTTGGCATACCATACCTCATTCCTGATGTCTAAGTCACGGAACTTCACAACTATCGGGCGAGGCTTGTCTTTCAATGTACGACCAAGACGGTGACACCGAGAGATATGTCCTGTGGTGAAGTCTCCAATGTCCAGCCTGTCTATGACGACCTTCGCTACCACCTGGGCTACAGATTCCCGTTGTGACTCTGGCACTCCATGCAGCAACAACATTTTGCGTCTACTACGCATCTCCATCTGTTCTTGTTGGCGGGCAATTATTTCCACTTGCTTCTGACGACTAGTGAGTGCAGTTGTTATAAAGCTCCGGAAAGTGACAAAGTCAGATTCAAGCGAAGGCACTGTAGCTGGTGTGTTGTTTGCCTTCAGCTGGTTTTGGAACTCAGCCATAGTCTTATTAAAGTGATTTATATTAACTAAATATTCATATTAATATTATGTTTACACTAGAGCCTGTACCCTTCGTTTGTACCCTCGACTTTGTCGCCATGATAACTGAGAATTCGAACCTTTCGGTATCACCTAAATTTAATTTAATTCCGTCCGCTGGCTTATACACGAACTGGTATTCAATCAATCAACACAATCTTTTAAACTTTTATAAGAATTAGATATAATTAAGAGAAACAGTTACTTACGGTATCTATATAAATACCTATGTGTTACAGAAATACCTCATAATCTTATACGTTATTCCATTCCATTGGGGTCGTCGTAATATGTTTTTTTTTATTCATCCCTGTTCGTCATCTCGTTATCCATTCTCTTTTTTGCCGATATGGCAAGAAACAACAAAAGATCTTTAACACAGTCCATTCATCACTTTTTCGAGTAGATATAATTTTATGTAATTATTAGTTACCTACTATATTATATCTACTCACTGTAAACTTCACCAAACGACCTTCAGCTGCTAATCCTCTGTCCAGGCATCGGACCAGTAGTAGGTTATCGACATTACCGCCGCTCAGAATGCAAACTACGCTACAAGTGTATAACATAGGAAATTATTTATACGCGATGTCAAAAAGTAAGGGTTCTCAATTTAACATTTTATTATTAAATTATATAAAAAATATGATAATTGCATCTGACGGTTTACACGTCTTCTAATGGATTATGATATTTTTTGAAAAATATATTTTCACAAAAAACATACTAATATTATATACCTATCTATTTATTTATATTAAGCCCTAACAAAGTTGAAACGCCCTACCAGTTCAACATAGTTATCCTTGATAAGTACAGAACTGAACTATCTACCTATTGTTTTGTATTGTGATACTTATTTTATTACTTTTTTAATTTGAGCTCAGGAACAAGATTTCCAATGATTGTAGCCAGTGGACATGCTCCAGCCGCTTCAACCACAAATCGCTCTTTTTCTACTAAATGCAACATCGCACGAGCGATCCATTCCTCGTTAACAAGTAACTGGAAGATAATTATAGAATTAATACACAAACAATTTAATATTTAACGGTTTCTCAAAATTAAATTATGATAAGCTCACTAACTTTGCATACCTATATATTGTATATATGTTACAGTTATTACGTGTAAAAGTAGATAAATGTACCCAGCTATAAATATTTAAATCGGCGTTTTTTAAACAAAATCACTTTGTACAGTCACTAAATAGATTGTAGTTTAGGGTTCAGTACCCCACCTACTTAAATACCTAATAGTTGAGGTTTACCATTTTATCTAAAAGAGGACGAGCGTTATGTAAAGCGTTGACAGCAGCATTTGGTACAGCAATGGAGTCGGCAAGGGTTGACTGTCCTGGTACTGTTACAGGGCTACCGTCCTCAAGCGATTTAAAAAATACCGGCATGGCTTCAGTCTGTACTCCCTGTAAAGCATGTTTAGACATATTAATAATCTCACTGCCATATTAATTCTATTTTTAATTTTTATTGTTACGAATGATATCCCAAAAATGCTAAAATATATGTTTTTACCAGAACATTTCTTTGCTGTTTTAATTTTCAAATACAAAGATAGAATTACTTCTGTAACAGAAGTGCTTGGTTTATTAATTATTAGATTAAATAAATGTAATTGAAATGGTTATTCTCTAACATAGACAAGGCAGCGAGGTTTGACATGTTTGATCACAGTGGCGATTGCTGCAGCCAATCCTCCGCTGCCAACCGGTACAATTATTGCGTCCACATACGGCATTTGATCCAGAATCTCCAATGCTATGGTACCGTACCCAGCTAGGATATGCGGATGGTCACGTCTAAATTAAACAGAATGATATATATATAGGTAGATATTGTAGGTATTTATAACGATATTTTAATTTATTGCTAAAGAAAATAACGGAATTATTGCTACAGAAACTTATTAAATTTTTATACTGATAATTCCGTTATATTCATGAAATAATTTTTCGAAAAATTGAAACGGTTTTTGTTTGTTTTATCGTTAAAAAATGTATTGCTATTGTGCGTAGTCTTGGCGTAGCAATTTGCTACGAGTTCTGTTTTGCTGATATATAATATGTAGGTAGGTATACTAATATAATTCAGTGGTATTTTTGAGAGACGGTGTCTATGTGGACAGCCACTACTTTACCTAATCTTCAAAACTACAGAACTTATTCGAAATATCTTTCGCTATTCAAAATATTATTTTGAATACATAGGCTAGATAAAAAGTGTGTTGTATAATTTCTATTAAAATTAAAAAGAAATCTGATAAAGGCACTAAAAAGTCACGTGATACAATATTATTAATAGCTATATAAATACAATACTCGGTAATAATCTCATGAATTCCGTAACGAAATTATTAGTGTAGGTAAATAGGTATATAAAGCGTTGGATTTTTTAAATTACATATTTGTAACAGACATAGATAAATATCCCAAACCCGTTTATGTAAGTCAATCCTTTATCTCGTGCGATTGCACGAGCGTATCTCTGTGCTTCCATTAGATTGCCACCTTGAACCATCACCTTGGCTCCATGGTTGTGATACTTTTGAAGTTTAGCAATAGGTACACAGTTAGGCATTACTACTATTACGGGTACATTCATTTTAGCACCATAATAACAGAGTCCTGCGGCTTCATTACCAACAGAAGCTACGACCACCCCTATCTTTTTCTTATCCAAAGGGAGTAGCTGCAGTGCATTCAATGAACCTCTTTACTTGAAACTAAAAAAGGCATCGATATCAGTTTTATAAATTTATACGTATTATTTTGTTTAGATCATATTACAGAATATGTATGGTATAGGTTTTACCTTCCAGATTTTTGTTGGAATTCCAATTTGTAATATAAGTGCATAGTAAATTCTTTTTGGAAATGGGAAGCCTGGAAATTCGATAAAAATATATGTTCGGATATATTAGGTAATAATCGTCTCGGATCAAAGAGTGACCGTATTTCTGATTGTAAAATACGCTTGTTTTAGAAATTTCCTCAGTAGTATTACAAATGTCATTAGCTCAGTATGTAGCCAATGCAAACTTTAATGTAATAAATAGATGGCTTCATGGATTTGCTAAATAAATTATTAAACTAGAGTTTGAAATTATAAAAGATTATTCGAAAAATGAAAGTTTAATAACTAACCAAGCACGGGGTGTTGATAATGTGAGGCCTTATTCGATTTGCGGCATCTATTATATCTTGATATTTGATTACTTTTGGATTTTCGGGATCACAAAATTCATCAAAATCCTCCTGTGTACATTTATTAGAATATGAACAATTGATAACAATAGTTACCTACCAAATATGTATTAAAATTCGTAAAAAATATCTACATATAAAGTAATAATTTACTCACGTTTCGTCGAGACATAGCTAATGGAATGTTAAATCTAATTAAGTATATAAAATTTTGATAATATTTAGATATTAAAAATCTAATTTAATAAAATTTAAGGCGTAATGATATTTTTGTGGTTTAATTTATATAAATGTTTTATATTACTTCATAATTTCTTTTAGTGTCATGTCAATGACTTTTTTATTATACCTACCGGAGTGAGACAGTAAAATACAGAAGTTTCTACGTCTTTGTGCATGATGAGATAAATTAAACAGATATGGATGGAGATGACGATGCAATTATTTTAATGCACTTTATCATCCGATTTTAATATCACAAAAGCTAAATACACGTTTAATTTAATTTAATACACGCTAAAATCACAATTTATCGTGATGCCACTGCATGCTCTTATTAACAATTCTCCAATAACATTATTCCACGTAGTTTTATGTAAAATTGTCGATTAGTAATTTAGTTAGAATCAATTTTGGTTCTGTTAAGATTAATATAGGGTCAAATAAAAGAGGTACTGCATAGAATTGTCTAATTTACTTAGGCAAATCTACATCTTTGATGACAATAAAGTATCACATATAATATCAAACATGGCATATACGCTTATTTAATAAAAATGTAATTTTGCATACATAAAGTAATAGAAAATATAGGTATCTACTGAAAATACTTTATTATAAATTTAAATAATACTTTTGTAAATTTATGGAAGTTTCTTGGCAAAGCAGGAACATATTGGAATAGGGCTAAAAGGCTCTTCTAGAAAATGGCACATGTTGGGAAATAATCTTTCCATAACTCGTTTTAACGTACACGCATGTTTTATATCACGTGTCTCGCATGTAAGTGTTAACTAAAAATAAAATTACTACATGAGCGTAACAATAAAAACGAATAATAAGACAAATATAAAAAGAAAGTAAATATACCTACTCAAAATATAATACTATTTATTGGTTTCGATATTAAATATTTATGAAAGAAATCTTACGTAAATAGTATAGAAGTCGTTTTCAGTAAGCCATGCATGTTCGGTATAGTATTGTCGTACATTACAGCCCAAATTCGCAATTGTACTAAAAATTTTTAATTGCTCTGTCGTTTCGTCAGCTGGCAGAGTTACCTAAATTTAGTTAGTTGAAGCTATAGTAACTATTAAATACACCTACATAAACGGGATTGATTTAAAAGAGCAAGTATTAAACTAAGCTGGAAACCAGGTAGAATATCCATGATATAATAAACCAGCGCTTTAGGTTTCAAAGAATATTTTAAATTTCCACTTTACTTCTTGAGGAAATTTGTTTACTCCATATAATTTTATTTTTCGTTACAATAATTATAATACGAATTTCATACGGTCATTTTTATTATTCGACCTTCCACTGCTTTTGCACGCTCAATGCACCGAGGCAAGGTGTCGGTGTCGATGTTTCCTCCACTGATAACGCAGACCACCCTTAAACAAATATAGGCTATATACCGAATATTGCATGTGCAAAAAAAATTATATAGTAATTAGTATTAAACAAAAAACATAATTGAATTCAAATTATGCAATTTGCTGTAAATATCTTGACATGAGAATAATCTTATATTAAAATTATTATTGTTACAACCATGTACAACATTTCTAGAATTTTCTAAAATATCGAATAAGAGACTCCACAGCTCTTATACGTACGTATTTGTAATTGGATTTATTTGTAAAAACAATTTAAAGAAAGTAAAGATCTCTCACTGGTTTATTTATATTTTTATTCTAGTATAAGCTACTACAGTATGCTGTTATTGCTAGTTTTGACAAAAAATGTTACTTAATTAATGAAGTTACTCACGTTTTGCCTCGTAATTCCGGTAATATATTAGGAAGACCGAACAAAGCGCTCAAACTTGTAGCGCCAGCGCCGTCAGCTACAAATCGCTCTTCTTCTGTTAAGTGCAAAACGGCGCGTGATATCCAATCATCATTCACCAATACCTAGACACAGGCAATTAATTAATAACCATTACTTATTAAACATAGGGCTTAATGGCTTAGTGGCTTCTAGCCTAACGCCACAAAACGCGGGTCTCTACCCTAACGTCACTTAACGCAAAGTCCGAAGTTTACAAACACCGAAAAGCATAGCTTTTCTTTCGATATTAGACAACTGTTATACTTTTTTTGTAAATACACACATAATATAATAGAAAACACCCTGAACAATAAAAATGTTTATTACATGCTAGAAATCGAGACCACCACCAACAAAAATAAACACTTAATTTTTACCATTTTATTAATAGATGGTTTTGCAGTGTGAAAGGCGTTGTGACCTGGGGTGGATATTGCTAAGGAGCCGGCAATACTTCTACCCGCTATAATATGATACGGATGCTCATTTTTCATAGCTTTGTAGAAACCACAACATTTTTCTGGTTCTATACCCTAAAATAGTAAGATATAACTGTGTTTACAAACTACGATGTACTTCATTAGGCACCAGTAAAATTATAGACTGTTTATTGACTAGTTGTGCCCGCTATATCTGTGTAATTTAGAGCAATACTCCTATTTATATCTGTGTACAAAACTTCATTCTTATATTTGTAGATAAGTATCATAAAAGTACATATAACATAACAGAAGTATTTACATACATAAATCAATACTTCAGGTTTTATATGCTTGACTGCGGTAGAGATACCTGCTAGTAGCCCCCCTCCCCCCACTGGAATCAAAATTGCGTCGGTTTGTGGCAGCTGTTCCATTATTTCCACGCCGATGCTGCCTGCAGCGGCTATTGCGTATGGGTGGTCATAACTGCACATTTCAATAACTATTTAATACAGTGACAAAACAAAAGTTAAAGATACAGAAGTAAAAAGATATTAGAGGCAGATCTAATCTTTCTTGTTTTTATTATGTACATGAAAATGGCAAATAAAGACATATACATGAATAGCATAGAGAGATAGATATATATACACGTTCTCATGTGATGCGTGCTCATATACCACGTAATGATCCTCTTAGAAAGAGCTTTCTATAATAAGTTTTTTGAGAAGAGTTAAAGAACTATTGAGTCTATGAAGACTATTTCTTCTATCAGTTGTCAGTTTCTTGAAATAACACAATAATATAACACGCATTTTAAACAGACTGGAATTTAGAGAATTTGAGGTATTTATGAAATATTTGAGGAAATAATGTATTTCAGAAATTTTAGAGAAACAGAATGGTATGTGAAAGTTTACGTGGTTAACCTGTTTAAATAAGTAGCGCCACTTTCAGCGCGTACGATAAATGCTTGGTTTTTCGCTTCGGCAAGACTTTTTCCATTCAAAATTACAGTTGCTCCATAGCCTTTACACATTTCCACCACATTTATCAAGGTGTATAATGGAAGGACTGTAGTTACAGGAATATCAAGTTTATGCCCATAGTATGCCAATGCCTGTGAATCAACATGTTACATTTCGGGTATGTTAACCGTCACAACAACATAGTAACATACGTTCATTGGATAACGTGAAGGTAGGCCGAAGTCAAGGTAAATAATTTAATACATTTACCATACCATAGCCAAATAAATAAATATACCATAGCCCAACTTCCTGTTGATGCTGTAATAACTCCAAATTTACGTTGATTTTCCTTCAACATTAGCAATGTATATAATGCTCCTCTCTCATTGAAACTGTAATAGTGAGCGTTTTAGACGTATGTTAATAATTAATATGTACTAATAATTGTAACATAAATTTATTATACCTTCCAGTTCGATGAAATATTTCTAATTTGTAATTAACTTCCAATCCAAATTGAACGCAACACCGAGACCTCTAAAAATAATTCAAGTAGATATTTAGAGTGATGATACTTATCAATTTCATACTCATAGGAGTGTGATAATAGAAAAAAATATTCGGAACATATTTTTTTATTCAACTGTATTGTAATTTCAGATTTATGTAAACTACAAACTACATATATGGAGATGATACAATGATAAAATGATGATACAAGACAAACCTGATAATCTTTTTATCCTGTATACTGAAGCTATTAATACATTCAGGATAACTAGATACATGGAGTGTTTTTAGTTTAGTATATTTGGTATGTTTAATACTACATGACGCCAATATCGATTATTAAGAAATCAAGTAATCAATACAGACAAGTACTTAAATTTTAAATAGACGATTATGGGCACCACTGGTGGGTGTTAGAATAACGATGTCAATCCAGCGTGATTGTAATTTTGGCTTATTCCTGGTGAAGTGTATTCACCAGGAACTAATTACGATGGTAATGATGCATGATCAGGACAGTTGCTTGTTATAGTAACGCCAAACTTCATTTCTAAACAAATCCAACTCGCTAAAAAGCCATTTGGTCAGTAACAGTCTTTGTGACTAGATATGATGAGTAGATATCCCATGTTTCCACGAAATAGTAAAAGAACGGCCGAAATTATGATAATAGAACAGACTGTAGGTATCTTATATGTATATAATAAATCATTAACCAGGAGAGGAGTGACTGGAAAATGTTCTCTAAGGACATTCATTGCTTTTGAAATTTCTTTGTAAGTGATTAATTTAGGATTATTTGGATTACACCAACTATCAAACTCTATTTCCGGCTTCTGAAAACAAAAAATAGATTTACATATTTTTTTATAAAATCTTTCATATTATACTATTATTTTCTCATTATAAATAGAATTGTAGATCACACCTACCGGACACCAAATGTTTCTTTTGGCACTATCACGGTTAACAAGAGCACCAGGTGCTATACCTAATGAAGGCGTTGTCTCAAGATGCAGCTGTACCGTATTAGTCGGTTTTTGCATTTTATCGAGTTCCGTGCCCAAATATTTTGGAGTTACCTATTGGCATATGACTGGTTCAGATTCGGATTTATTACATTACTAATTGGACTACATTGTCATTATAATTTCTGAATGCGTCGTGTCTGTTGCATTGAATGATGTCATGTCACTGTTGATGGAAAGACAAAGAAAAGTATTCAGAGTAACTAT